TCGCGAATAACATTGAGTGTGTTTACCAGTATAGGGGACACATTAGCAAATCTCCGAATTTTAACTGAATATCTCGTCGGTGGATTTGGCTATTTTGGGTACCATTGGGTAGCCCATCGTTCAAGTAATCTTCTTATTAGTTTTTGAACCAATTAGATTCACTCCGTGCTGAGATATCTCATGTTATATTTACTCAGATCTCTGATGATATAATAATTTACATAAGCAATTGACTATAATCGCGAGAACCTTTGATCATATTGAAATCTATATTCATTTCTAGCTTGTCATATAACACACGCAAAAATTTTACTTGTACATCGATACTAGATACCTACTAATAAACGGCTTTATTACTAACTTGACCATAAAAGCATTTGTTAGAGAGCAAAAGAGCACTATCAGGTCGTTGTGATTTATGTTTTGCTGAGTAATGGCTTAGTCAGCGATTTTAGCTCGATTATTTAGCTCCTTTTGTCAAATATTTAGATTTAAAAGCCTTTCATTTTAACTTACAAGTTTTATGATTCATTTCAGTATTTTCATTTTCTAACATTTCTATTTTATTACAGCATCTAACGGTTGCATGTTGCTTGCACAATTTGGTGGCAAATATACTAGAAAATCACTCATCTTGTTCTTTCTTTGTTTTTGAAATATTAAATCAAGAGTTCATTGATTGAGTTGATGTTGAGGTCTTCAAATGAGATATCTCAAATCAAGAATATGTGAAGGATAGTACAATTTAAAGTTCCCAAATTTGGTTCTAGAATCCAATATGAGTGAATAAAATTAGCGGTCTTTAATTACTTTCAATATATCATTTTAGCGTTATTTTATGAGAAGCGTGAATTTGTAGAGTGTAAGCATTAAAGTGAGAGACATATTGGTTTTCTGTTCAACTAAAACATTATAAATTGGATCAATTTCCCAATTATATTCCATTCTTTTATTTAATCTCTCTTTTTACTTTTCATTACAATCATTTAATACTCTTTTACAATTACAAGCTTAATTAATACCAAAGACTATATACAATGACTTACAACGATACACCAACTACAAGACACAGGTCAAATGCAATTATCAGAACTTGTATTGATGTCAAAAGATTAACAATGTCTCTTAACAGAGATAAAGAGCATCAATACAATGATCCTGTTGTCTTTACAAACGAATTACAAACTAGATATAACAACTATTCAAGATATAGATATATTAAAATTGATGAATTATCATCGAATCCAGAAATTTTAATTAACCCAAATGATTCTCCAAAATCAAATGTTATTTATGAAAGAAAAGAATCATTTTATAACTCCAAATTATTTTATAAAGATTCACAAATTAACACTTATAAAATTTGTCAATATTGTGATCCTTTTGAAGAAATGTGCGATACCCATAAAAATCAAAAAGCATCAATCATGAGAAATGGTGAAAAAATCTCTTATAATATCAACTTACCATTTTTCTATGATTCTTTACATCATGAATATCAGAAACATTTAGCTATCCATCATGGGATCCTACCAAACAATTCACACATCGTCACTCCATTCATTGGTATCAATCAAAGTGGTATCAATCAAGAAGGTGTTGATGTATCTAAATCAGTGATGATTTGTCCACATCGTGATGATAATCAACACGATGGTCCTTGTTTAGCTCAATTCAAATTCGATTCCACTGTGAGAAACCCATATGAGAAATATTTGGAACATGTTTATTATTATCATTACAAAGAACCAGGAACAGATGTTGATTTCCCAATTGAAGCGCTTAATTATGAGAAGTATGATTCTGATCAAATTTTCTATCCTTATCATTTAGAAAAATTTATTGAATCATTATATTTTATGAATAAAGAATGTGGGAAACATCATGATGGCGGGTTGAAATTACCAACTGATGATCGTTTATTGTTTCAAATTCTTTATCAAGTTCATGGAGGTTATGGTGTTGATGATATGGATGAATATAGAATTGAAACCATTGTTTTGTATAACGAACCACCAAATTCTGAACAAAGGAAATTAACTCGCAAAATTAACTCAATGAGATATTTATTTGATTCTAGTTCTATAAAGAATTTATTCACACAAGGTAAATATTCTGAAAGATTGAGAAGAAATCCTGAAGATTTTATTGATATTGATTCAATCATTTCTAAAAATTTGCCTTCATTTTCTCCAGATGGTTATCCATTACAAAGTATTATTCAACAAAAGATGAATCAAGAGGATTCAGAAAATGGTGATGTTCAAGATATCAATCATTCAGATTCAAGTAGTGAAGGAGAAGATTTCAACCAAAAGAATAATTCAGCTGATGTTGATTCATTATATCATGTTCCACATTGGCCCAAGAACGAATCAACTAAAGAAGAACTTGAACAAGGAGAGCTACAACATGAACAGACTAATAATGAACCTTCTTCTTCAGAAGAAGAAGATTCAGATTCATCAGTTTCAGATCCAGAAGAATCAGCTGGATTAAGAAGAAAAAATGCAATCAGAAGACCAGATCCATCAATTAGACCAAGTTCATTACAAAGACGTGGTGCTATATATAGAAGTCGTCAAAGATCTGATGAAGATTTAGATTGCGCTACAATAACACCAGGCTTATTTGCAAATGATCAAGATAATTTAAGTTATCAAGAACATGATGATGATGTTGATAATGGGTTTTCAGATTCAAATTTAACATTAACACCAACTGGTTATAATAGTGAGATTGATCAACATACAAATGATGACGATGTTGTTGAAGAACCTTTAATCCAAAGATCTGATTCAATTGATGATGAATTAGATGATGTTCCATGTGAATTAGTTGGGGAAGATGATATTGAAGAAGCAAATATTGCTGATCATCGTCGCAAACAAAGAGGTTATATTACTGATATTCTTGGTTATCTAGTGGAAGCTACTGGTCCGGATGATTCAGTTGATGATTATACTCCTGTTGAAGCTGTTTCAATTGAAGAAGAAGAGAAAAGACAACATTTATATGAAACAGATATAATGGATTTTTTCGAATCTTTAAATGATCCATCAAGTCATGATATTTCTCAAGATGTTGCTGATTCAATTAAAAATGATCAAAAAAATGATGAACTTGAACGTGCCAAACTAGAATCAGTTCCAATAGTTGAATCCAAACCTGAATCCAAAAGTGAATCTGAATCTGAATCTAAACCTGATTTTAAAGCTGAATCTAAACCTGAACCAAAACCTGAATCTAAATCTGAATCTCCAATTATTAAAGAAAAATCTAAACAACAAATCGTTCCATTACCTCAATCATTTAGTGTTGAAAGAAGATTACCTGAAAGAGATCAAGAATTAAATGTTCTTTTAAGGAATGGTTCAAATATTTCTGATCGTTTAAGAAGAAATATTAATCAAAGAGCTGCAAAATTTGGTCCAGGAGGTGCTGGTAATAGATTTATGTCTTCATGATTGTTATACTTTCCTTTATATTTATTTTCTATTTATTCTAATTTCCTTCATTTCTTTATTTTGTTTTATTACATTATATTTATTTATTATTTGGCTACTACTATTTATTATTTATTATTTATTACTATTTATTATTTATTACTATTTATTGTTTGATATATGTTAATTAAAAAATTGAATCTATATTGTAGTCGATCGCGATGTCCTTTATAGGAACCCAGATAACCAATCTCGGTACATTTCAACCAGACTTCAACAACCGGATAGATCAAATTAACAAAAATGACTCTGCTCTAAAACTGACTTCTTTATAATAAATATACATCAAACCATCCAAAAAAGGATCAAAAAAGAATCAAAAACTTTATGTGTTTTGACTTTCAACCAACCTTAGTCGTATAATCTCTTATCTAAAATGAAGATTTCAAGATTTCTCGAGGTTTATTGTAGCAGCCACACACCAAGGGGTTTGAAACTTTTATACTCGGTGAAATAAGAAATAAGATTGGATCTTCAATATTTTACTTCCGTCTTTCAGATATAAGAACGTCTTCAATTAGCTGCTTTTTATTGAATCAATTCAGTCGATTGACAAATCATACTCCTTATTTGATATTCAATATTCAATTATGGTATTAGGAAAAGTCGCTGCTTTACAAGTTGGATCTGAAGCCACAACTAAGAAAACTTTAGAAAAAATTCTTTCATATGAAGAAGAATTAATTGAATTGAAACCAGACTTAGTTGTTATACCTGAAGCTACATTAGGTGGATATCCAAAAGGTTCAACATTTGGTTCATATTTAGGTTATAGATTACCAGAAGGTCGTGAACAATTTTTTGAATATTTTAAACAATCAATTAAAGTTCCACAAAGTGAAGAAATTAGTATTTTAGAATCGTTCTCCAAGAAAATTGGTTCTACAATTGCAATTGGTGTTATTGAAAATGGTGGTACTACATTATATTGTACTTTAGTTTATATTGATCCTAAATTAGGTTATGTTGGTAAACATAGAAAATTAGTTCCAACAGCTACAGAAAGATTAGTTTGGGGTGCAGGTGATGGTTCTACATTACCAGTTATTGATTCTAAAATTGGTAAAATTGGTGGTGGTATTTGTTGGGAAAATTATGTCCCATTATTTAGATCTGCTTATTATGCAAAAGGTTTAGATATTTGGGTTGCACCAACTGTTGATACAAGAGAAATTTGGAGAGTTTCGATGAGAACAATTGCATATGAAGCAAGAACTTTCCTTGTAAGTGCTGTACAATTCCAACCACCAGCACCAGAGGATAAGACTCCAGAAGGTTGGGTTAAAGGTGAAAATTTAATTAATGGTGGCAGTGTTATTGTTAATCCATATGGTGAAGTTATTGCAGGTCCATTATTAGGTAAAGAAGGTATAATTTCTGCTGAAATTGATTTAGATGATGTTGTTAAAGCTAGATTTGATTTTGATCCAGCTGGACATTATGCCAGAGGTGATGTTTTCAAATTAACAGTTAATGAAGGTTCAAGAGATGTTGAATTTAAATGAATTTGGTATTTGAATTTAATATATTATGTATTTTGAAGTGGGAATAAGTGTATTTATACGTGTAGTTACAAAACCTCTATATACAAGTAGCTATATCAGACAAATATAATACCCTATAATCGAGAAAGAACATTCAAATCCATCTAAATCTTGTATAAAAGTCTATATACTTGTCACAAACTCGACAGGGCAACCCCTGATTACATAAGCTTTTCTTGAGAAAATCAGTTTGTCTGAAAATTAAAAATTGCGTCCCTTGTGGACATTTGGTCAATTAGAAATAATACAGAGATGATCAGCAGTTCCCCTGCATAAGGATGAACCGTTTTACAAAGAGATTTACTATTTTTTTTGCAATTTTTTGTAATCTATGGTTTTTTTTAAAATAAAGTGAGTACTATTATAAATTTTTTGAGGTTTTTAATGGTTAGTTTATGAATTTTTATGTTCGATTTCAGGTGTAGGCGTAATTCCGAGATTTTATATAGGGCGGTTTTAAAATCGGTGTAATAATCCAAAAAACATTGGAAAACTAGTCTTTTTTATATGAGAGTATACTGTTTTTATTATATCAGAATATAGAGAAATTTTTGAAATTTGTAAATATATGGTTATTTTGGTGTTTTGAGAGATTTAAATTTTGGGCATTTTTGGAATATTTAAATTGAACTAGTAAAAATAAAATTTATGAGGTTAACAAATCTTTTGAAACAAAATTAATTTTCAAAAAAAAACTTAATAAAATAGCCAAATTTGTGCTAAATATATAAATTAGGAGATATTATAATACAATTAGCATAGTTTCAGAGTATACTATCATACAATTATATCCTATAAAATCCTTATCTAAAATATCTAATTACATAATCGAAGATTATCCGATCTGATTATTTTTAGCGGGTGTTTGAAATTTAAACAAAAAAAAGCAGACACGGCTTTGCTTCTTGAAATGGCTATTCTAAAGATCGGGAGGCACAGTGAACTGGTAATAAGGTGGTGATAATTTCAGAAAGGAAAGGAAAATATAAAAACTCTCAAAGCTTTCATTTGTGTAAAGGACTGCTAGTTCTATATATGGATTTCAACATCACTGATCAACAAAGATAAGAAAGTGATAAGACATAATGGCAATTAAGTTGATTGATATTACAAAAGATCCAAAGACTATTGTGAAAAATGGTCGTGGTTTGATACCATTGGGACTAATACTCTTGCTATTGGTATCTACATGGGTTATATATCCTTCAAACTCACAAGTTGATCAAGACGCGTTAAAATCAAATGATAATATCAATTCAAATAATGAAGAACAACAAATCAATTCAACAATCAAAAATTTCACCAATGAACCAAGTTTAATAACATTTGAAAATGCAAGTGCTATTTTCAATACAATAAATTCTGCATTAAAACCAAAACATTCACAAATTCATCCAATTGGTGTTAGTTTCATACCTGCAGTTATTCCAGAAGGTTCATTATTATATCATGGGAATACTGATGGTAATATACCCACAGGATTAGAATGGATTGCAATGGATCCTGAGTTCAGTTATTGGTTTATTGCTAATAGAGATGGTCCTGGTCATAATGGTACTTTCCCTGGTAAACCTGGTGGACCTGGCGGGCCTGGTGGACCTGGTAAACCTCCTGGTGGACCTGATGGACCTGGAGGACCTCCTCCTGATGGGCCTGGTGGTAAAGATCCTAAATATAAATCACCAAATGATCCATCTCATAAATCTACAGAAAAAGGAAAAGAAATGGAAAATGGGAAAGATTCAAACAAACTTGGAGGTGGTATCACTGGAGGTGGTGGTAAACATCATGGGAAACCATCAGGATCAACACATAGTTCACTTTTAACATTTCAAGTTAAAAAACCCTTGGATCGTATGATTTTATTAGATGGTTCAAGTGGTGCGAAATCTCATACTGGTGAAATGGATACTCAAATGATACTTGCAAAAGCAGGTGTTAATGAAACTATTAATGAATATGAAGCAGCTGAAAGAATTTGTAAATGGGGTGAACCATTTGGTCTTGATGGATTTATTAGAATTGAAATTGGATTCGAGGCAATTATTTGTGATTTCCAAAATGATAAATTAGAATTAGTTTCAAATGTTACAATTGGTTGGAAACAAGAAGCTATTGGATTCCCATTGGAAAAAGATTATATTGAAGAACCAGTTGAAGAAATTATTGATTCATTGGATGCTATGGCTGGATTTGAGTTTATGAATCAAGGAAATGCTCATAGTAAAAGAGATAGAAGAATTGAATTGGATTATAAAGGATTAGTAACTCCATTGAATAAGACATGGATACATCCAGATCCTTATTTACGTCGTGTTAATGATATAAATGATGATTTGAAAAATGAATTAATTGAAAATTTAGAGAATTATTTGAAAACCCCAATTGATACTAAAACTGGAACTGATTGGCAATTTATTACAGATGAAATTATCGATAAATTTACACCAATTTTGGAAACTTTAAATAATTCATTATCAAAATTTTCAAAAAATGATGTGGATGAAGATACTTTAATTAAATATGCAAAAAATTCAGTAATTTATACAAATAATTTTGTTAGAAGATTTAAAGATTATCAAATAAAAGATGAGAATGAACAAATTCAAACAGCTAAAAAATTTGCAATTTATCAATTTTCTCATCCATTAACTTCCATAACAACAGAATCTGAACATTTAATATATTCATCAGTTTCCAAAGTTGTTTCAGAGATTGTGGATTTCATATTTGAATTAAACACTCAATCAATCAAGATCTTAAAAACTGCATATTCAGATAAACAATCTGTTTTAAAATATTCAAATGTTATGATAGCTGCATCAAAAAATTTAACAAATTTATTAAATACTTTAAATTGGGTTGAATTCTATCAATGTGATCGTAAATGTAATTCAGATGAACTTTGTTATATCCCATCATGGGGACCAAGTCCATTTGGATGGTCTGGTAAAGATTTATTTGGTACAGAGGCACCAGGTGAAGGACAAGGACAACATAGTAGAATTAAAAACCCATTACAATGTATTAGTTACAAGACAATTTTGGAACAAAGAAATCATAAGCATGCGTGAAATTGAATGTATATATATAATTTTGATTGAAATCTAGAAGTAAATGTCTCTTACAGACCATTCAAGTAGATCTACTTAACTAAAATTAGCTATCAATCAAGATCTTCGTTACTTATTAGTTTATCTTAAACCCGGTAAACGCCACAATAAGGACCCTCGTAATTCAGACCGATGATCACATGATAAGATTACCCTCGTATTTCGATAAGACGTTTAACAATTGAATATTATCAACACCTTCGCCCCTTGGAAATGGAAATGACTTGGATATTTGGAAAGTATATAAGCTAAGCCATTCTTTTGCATTTTAATTCTTTTTGCTATAGTTCACTCATTTCACAAAAAAAAAAAGGTAGATATCATGTCAGAAGTTGTTTATAAAACTAAAACTATAGATTTTAATGGGAAGAGAAATATTCTTATTCAAAATGAAAATGGACCATGTGCTTTACATTCATTAGTTAATTCTATTTTACTTACAGTGGATCATTTAAGCTCTTCTGAAATCCATGATTTAGTTGCTTTGGTGAATAGTGTTGAATCAGTTCCATTAGATCAATTATTAAACTCTTTAAAACAAATTGTTACCGCAAATCAACGTTTATATGGAATTTCCCCAGAAGATATTCAATCAACTTTAAGTTTATTACCAAGATTACACGAAGGATTAGAAATAAATCCACAATTTGATGGTACTTTCAGTCCAGGTCATGAATTGAATTTATTTAGAAATTTTAATATTCCTTTGGTTCATGGTTGGTTAGTTGATCCAAATGAATTAGAATATGCAGGTGTTTTGAAATATAATTCATATGAAGCTGCACAAAATGTACTTGTTGAAGCTTATGAAGTTGAACAAAAACCAGTTAAAGATAATGTTGATTTAGAAATTATTCAAGATTCAAGACAAATTAAATCATTTTTCGCAAGAAGTGCTACACAATTAACAGATTATGGATTAAATTATTTAAAACAAAACTTAACTCCAGGTTCAATTGCTGTATTATTTAGAAATAATCATTATGCTACAATTATCAAAAATGATAATGATATTTTTTCATTAGTTACAGATATTGGATTTAGTTCAAGAAAATCATATATTTGGGAATCATTATTATCAATAAATGGATCAAATAATTCATTTTTCACAGGTTCATTTTCTCCAATTTTAGAAGATTCAACAAATCCATTTGATGATCAACAAGATCATACAGATTTGAATTCTCAAGAAGAACAAGATCGTGCTTTAGCAAGAACTATTCAAGAAGAAGAAGATAATAAAGCTGCAAAAAGATTACAACAAGTTCAAGAAAAACGTGAAAAGAAAAATGCAGCTAAGAATAATGGTTCTTTAAGTGGTGGTAAAAAATCACCAAAGATTAAAGATGGGAAGAAAAAGAGTAAGTGTATTGTTATGTGATGACAATACCTTTACCAGGGTGTGTGTATAAATAAGATTGATCAGGTATCAGATAAATATATAAATTACGATGTTATATGAAGAACAAGGAAAAACACAACAAAAAATTCGTAGCTCATTGTATAAATAATTATTATATACTTTATTAATCTCTTCTTTTTTTAGAAACTGGTGAATCTTGATCTTTATCATTATTGAAAAATTGATTATGAACAGATTCTTTAACAAATTCAGCTAATTTTTCTTCAGGATTTTCACTTTCTGCAATTTCTCTTAATTTTTCTCTTTGTTCATCATTAATTGTTAATTCAATATCTTCATTTTGATATTTATAACTAATTTCATGACCTTCAACTTGATCTGGTCTTGGTAATGAATCCAATATGTTCCCAGAATCATTATTTTCATTGGTATTACTAGAGCCTATATTTTCATGACTTAAAGATCTAAGATATTGTACAACTTCTGGGAATTCATCATCTTCTTCAATATAATCTGCCGGTATTTGACCTTCATTATTTTTTAATTTCCAATCAGCTTTGAAATCTTCAACTAATAATTTAGCAATAGAAACATCTTCAACATGATGTAATGGAGAATCTCCTTCAGCATCTTGAATATTTATATCACCATTTTGTGATATTAGATATTTTAATAAATCTATATGACCATATGAAACTGCTGCATGTATTGGAGTATATCCATTTGGATCTTTGGAATTTGCACTGAATTTATCACTTTCAATGTACTTTTTAACTGTTTCTAAATCATTATCAGCAGCTGCAACCCAAATATTTTGAACCATTTTGTTAAAGAATCTCAATTCAATAGTTAATTTTCTGATGAGTATAAAAGATTTAATTAATTTTTTTTTATGACATGAATTGAATTCCGACTTCCGAAGAAAAATCTCCCAAATTCCGACTTCCCACTTTAATTTTAAATCATCAACGAGTATTAAAGAACTCCATATCAAAACCAGATCAGAATCAATCTAGATACACAAATTTTACAGACACAATGAATGAAGATCAGATACCCCCAGCTATAAAGAACGCATTACCAAGTCCACCAGAGAAAGAATCAGACATCAAAGGCTTTGAATGGTGGAGACGTACAATGCAATATCAAACAGGTTTAGGATTAACAAAAGAAGAATCTAAAAAATATGAAAATGATAAAATTTATAAAAAAAATTTAAAAGATTGTGAAAAATGTTATAATTATAGAGATTGGATTTTGAATTATTCACCTACTGTTATATTTATGTTACAACAAATCAAAAAAACTGGTGTAGAAATTAAAGATGATGAAATTATTTGTGATTTATGTGATGAATGGAAAGGTGGTGGTTTTAATCCAGAATTAGGTATATTATTATGTCAAAATAGAATCATTGATAAATGGCATTTAGAAGATACTTTAGCACATGAATTAGTTCATTATTATGATAATTCAAAATTTAAAGTTAATTGGGTAGATTTAAAACATCATGCATGTTCAGAAATTAGAGCAAGTTCCCTAAGTGGTGAATGTAGAATAATGAATCAAATAAGTAGAGCTGGGTTAGGAAAATTTGGTAGAGGTCATCAAGAATGTGTTAAAAGAAGAGCTGCTTTATCTGTTAGTGCAAATCCAAATTGTAAAAATAAAGAAGAAGCTAAGAAAATTGTTGATGAAGTTTGGGATTCTTGTTTTAATGATACAAGACCTTTTGAACAAATTTATCGTTAGGGAAGTAATATATATTCGTGTAAATAAAATTCTATATAGAAAAAATGCAAGATCTTTTTTTGTGTTTTTTAAATATGTTTTGAAATATGTTGTATTTGAGAAAGATGGGCTTAAAATGTTAAATAAAGGGTACACATTAATGATGGACCACTAACAATACCAAACCAAAACATAACATTACCTAAAGTTCTTCTTTCTTTCAAATATTTAGATTTAGAAATTGCCACTAAAGGTAATTGAAACATTTGTAATAATAATAAATAACCTCTCATTTTATGGAAAAGTACATACATTGCCATTTCATGAACAATTGAACTTAATAAAAATGTGAAAATTGTAGCACTTGTCTTGGATAATTTAAAAGCACTTATAGAACTATGATAAACATGTCTTAATAAAAATTTATGAACTGGTATATTCCATTCTCTTGCAAATTGATCCCATGATATACAATTCCACCAATCTCCATAAAAATCACGATCACCAAATTTACTTAATTCTGCAATACAATTTAATATAGCATCCCAAATTAAATACCAAACCAAGATATAAATTAATAAAAAAGGTGGCATAATATTTAATAATAATAATGGATATTGTAAAATTCTATCAAATAATGATAATTCTCTTAATTGAATTGCTCTAATTGCTAATGGATACATATAATTTTGTGCAATAACAATCATTAATGTAATAACACCAAATATAGCAGCCAATTTTTCTCCAACATATTTCCATCTTATCTTATTAGTTCTTGGGAAATCAATTTGATAAACTAAAGTTGGAAACATTGTATAATTGAAAAAATTTTTCAAATTAATATTTTGTGGGAATGATTCATTTATTGATTGAGATTGTAATTCAAATTCACAAAATTCAATTGATTTTTCAATTAATTTTTTGATATGATCATCATCAATATCTTCATTTTTTTTTTGAAATGCCTTGGAAAATTCTAATTCTTCTTTAATTCTCCATAAATAACCATTATAAAATCCATAAGAATGCATCTTCATTAATAATACTAATTGATGTAAAAAAAGAAAAATTTTACCAATCCATGGGAAGTTCCGATGTTCTGCAATTGACATGAATGTATAAACATATACTAATTCATAAATTGATAAAATGATCCAACCTGTTTTAGTCCATGATATGAAACCCTTGGACACAAATGAATGTAATATAAATACAAAATATATGGATAAATACATTACCAAATCAGTAAATGCAATATCAAATAAATCTGTTAATAATAATGCCACAATTTGAGAATGGAATCCATTTGTTAAGATATAATTAACAAAAGAATCAATAACTGTAACACTAACACCAAACCAAAATAATATATAAAATCCAGCAAATCTATTTGTCTTGGTAGCTGAATGATCTAAAATAGAATCAACATTTGAAAATTTAACATCACTTAATTTTGATTTCGGTAAACCATCTTTAAATCTTTTATTATCCACTATAACTTTAGTTTTCAATTCATAAAGATCTTGATCCGTAGCTTTTCTAACCAATTTTAACTTTGGTTGATGAGTTTTAATTTCACCAGCTTCAACTTTACCTAATTTAGCCTCGATATTTGTTGATATTTGATTCAAAGGTTCAGGAGTCCCCATATTTGTTGTTGAAGAGCCGGACCCAGAACCAGACCCAGAACCAGAACCAGATTCCAAAGGAGTAGGAGTCTCATTCAAAGCCATTTTAGAGCTCTCATAATCTTCATCAAATGCTAACGATTGTCTATTTCTGTTCATAGACTCCAATTCCTTCAATTGGGAATCATCTGTGTATTTTCTCTTTGGACCTTCCATCATGTGGCAATGTGTCAAATTAAATGTAATGTACCGCTCTATTTCAACAGAACCAGTTGTTTCAAAATCACCAGCAATAAATATAATTGAGTATCCCTTGATTGATATTCTTCTTTGATAGCTTAACCGCCCTGTTTGTTTGTGATCTTTTGGTTCTTTTTTTGCAATTGATTTTGATGATTTTGGTTTAAAAACTTGTTGATGTCAATTGAGATTTTTGAAATCCTTTTTATATCCGAACGGAACGAACGATCTTGAAAAGCCGGTAATTTAAGTACACTTAATTTATCCGTTATAGTTAGTTATATTGGAAGAATTGGGTACTTATATAAATCAGTTTGAATATAGAGATATTTATTTCAATCGAATTGGTTTTCTTTGTATCATACGTTATATCTAAATGATGAATTTTGTATGATATAATCGATTATTGATTTATTGATTACATAATATCTGCCACCATCTCCCGTGTATTCAACTCGATCCAAATTTTTTTTCTTTCCAAAAGCTCTTAAGTAAATAAACTCATCACAATTTTATATCAAATTATTTTAACTAATAATATCAAGAACTATAATATAAGATGTCACGTCCTGAACAGTTGGCACCACCAGAAGTGTTCTATAATGACACAGAATCATATAAATATACATCATCCACCCGTGTGCAGCATATTCAAGCCAAGATGACATTTAGAGCTTTAGAATTATTAAATTTACAAGAATTCCCACATTTTATACTTGATATTGGTTGTGGTTCTGGATTAAGTGGTGAAATATTGACAGAAGAAGGTCATATATGGTGTGGTATGGATATTTCAACTTCAATGTTGGCAACTGGGTTAGATCGTGAAGTTGATGGTGATTTATTCTTGGCTGATATGGGTAGTGGTATACCATTTAGAGCTGGTACATTTGATTGTGCTATAAGTATTTCTGCTATTCAATGGCTTTGTAATGCTGATAGTGCAAATGTTGATCCTAGAAAAAGATTATTAAGATTTTTCAATACATTATTTGCTTCTTTAAAAAGAGGTGGTAAATTTGTTGCACAATTTTATCCAATGAATGATGAACAAATTGATTCTATTTTGGGGGCTGCTAAAGTTGCTGGATTCCAAGGTGGGCTAGTTATTGATGATGCTGAATCAAAGAAGAATAAAAAATATTATTTAGTTTTGAGTGCAGGTTCAAGTTCAAATGAAATGAATTTATCAGGTATAACAATGGATGCACCTGAACAACCACAAAAATTAAGTAAGAAATCAAAGAAAAACATAGAATCAAGAAAAGATTATATTAATAGAAAGAAAGAATTAATGAAGAAAAGAGGTAAAGTTGTGGCAAAAGATTCCAAGTATACTGCAAGAAAGAGAAAATCAAGATTTTAATATTAAGATCAATCAATCAATTCATGTATTTATTATTTCACATTTCACATCCGTTTTTTCTTGTTCTTTTTTTGCATTATATTATAAATATCACTTGTACATTATTTAGGTCATGAAATAAATTAGGGGATTATTAGGTTATAGATCAATAGAAATGTAGAGTAATAAATTGTAAATTATAGTAAAAGTTTATACCATCATTCTGAGGTTTACACTGACACACACTTACCGCGCGTATAATACATCACTAACAAATATTACTTTTCCGCGAATTTTGACTTCGCGAATTCTATCTTTCATTAATTTTTATATATGATGAATTGAAAAATCTCAACATTGGAATATCAAATTACGTATAAAAGATTTGATTTAAATCTAACCCAAGATGTTTCGTCCAACTATACTGAGTAAAGTTGGAAGACTTTCATTAAAACCTATCCAACAAACAGCATCATACATCATCCCATCAAAAACAAGTATGTATTGATACATTCGATAATTAAAGTTTTTTTAATACTAACTATTCAAATTAGAGAAAAATATACCAGTTTATCCACCATTAACTCAAACAAATACTAAACCTGTATTAGATATTTATAAAGAACAATGTTTTGAAAAATTAGATCCAGAAGGATGGAGAAGAGCTTTATTAAAATTTAAATCACCAACAGAAATTAAAACTGGTGATGTTATTCGTGTTGTATATAATACTCGTGCTATACCTCCATTTATGGGTCAAATCATTGGTATATCTCGTGGTGGTGTTGAAGCTTCAGTTGTTTTAAGAAATAATATTACAAAATTAGGTGTTGAAATGAGAATTAAAATTTTTAGTCCTTTAATTTCTCGTATTGATATTGTTAAAAAACCATTAAAGAGAAAACCTGGTAGAAAACATTATTTTATTAAAGGTACTAAATTAGATGTTAAAGATTTAGAAGCTGATTTGAAAAAATCAAGAAGAAAAAATAAGAGTTTTTAGATAGAAAATAATAAGATTATGTATATAGTATAAAAATTTCATGAGTTTATAGTTTTTATGATTTTATGTAAATTTTTCAATCGCGGTTATACATTGGACATATCCATCATAACGAAACCATTAACCAAAGAATGTCAGAACATGAACAAATCATAAAAGAATATCATGATGGATTCTTCAAAGAGCTAGAAAACATAGGAGATCATTTATCAATCAAAACACATGAAGATGAAATCTATAAAATTCAATTCACAAATTCAGGTTGGTTACTAAATGAAACAGAATTATTTGAAACTTTTGAAAGTTGTTTTATATCGAAAAGCTCAGGGTTCAAATCAAAATTTCATGGGAAGTTATTTGATAAGTTAAGTGCTTTACAAAATGATGATTCATAAGTCTTCAAGCTTACTTTTGATTGTTGAGAAATTGTGGATATTGATTGGTATGATATCAATATTATAACGTACCTGTTAAAAAAGTAAACATAGATAACCGCCAGAGAACTCCTTAAAATGATACAAGAATCCAATCAGAGATATAAAAGACACACCAATATCATATGATTACTGTTATAGTTTACCGCCATGGATTAGTTCTTCATCAGTTGATCCACCATCATATGATCCAAACAATTCAAAATAAAACCAGATCTCATGCAAACATCATCAATTGATTTCAATGAAGATCTTTATATAATAAACGAATTGATAGTACAACCTCAAATTCAACATTTATAGCTTTGTAGTTTTGTTGTTTCAACGTCATTTTCATAATCATGTCATATTTTTTATAGATTTCGTACTTCAGGAACGAGATCTCAGAAAAATTGTTGAGTAAAGTGGCTGATGATCAGGGCGCTAGGTTTTCAACTTGTCAACTTGTCATATGATGAATATACGTTAATCTAATCGTTTCAAAGCCTAGTTTTGAACATATTCTTATCCCAATACATCATAGAGATCTAGATTCAAACAATCTTTTATACGATCATATACATTGAACTTATAATTTTGAATATGTATTGAAAAACTATTTACATGATATTATTAAGATCATAAGGCCATAAATTCATAAATTTCTATAGAAGGGTAAGGATAAAAAAACTATTAAACAAAACAATACATTAAACAATTAAGGCCATAAAATGTAACAATGAATGTGAAAAGATGTGGAAAGGGGGAAAAAATCAGACAGTATTATTATTAATTGGATTGATTTTTTTGAAACAAAACAAATGTGTTATTTTTCATATGTAGTTATGATTATCTTTATGATGATGATGAAGAAGAATCTGAAGTTTTATAAATATTAACACGTTTATAAGTACCAGGTTCAGCCTTTTTATCTTCTTTTGCTCTTATTTCTTCTTCAGCTAAAATTCTTTTCCAATCATCATTTTTTTGTTCACCATAATTTTCTGGATGTTTTTCCTCATCATAAATTGTAAGACCCATACCTGCTAATAATAAAATAACTGAAAGAAATTGTGCATACATTCTTGCTTGAACTAATTTTTGAGCTCTAGTCATGATTGGATCTCTATCAACATATAACCAAGAACCATACATAGAAGCAGCCCATGAACCAACAATAATTTTATATTTGTTATTAACAACACCAGATAATAATTTTTCACTTAATGGTAAATTTGACCATTTTTGATATTCAGCTAATTTTAATTGAGATTCATAATCACCTGAATACATATCACGATCAAAAGCATTTGAAGCTTCTTCAGCACCAATTGTAATACCAACAGTTGGAGGAGAAATGAAAATTGCAGTTCTAATAGACCATGGTAAATTTTTTGGGAAATTTGGTATTTTCTTTGCACCAATTTTGAAAATAGCACCAGTAACTAATAACCCAGCACAAAGACCTTTTAAACCACCACCAGCAGTAGCATAGAAATGAGAATCGATTTCACCTTGAGTTAATAATTTCATGATTTAATTGTGAATTGTATAAGAATATTGTATAATATGTCTTTCACTGATATTGCTAATGATTTTGTTTATAAAGAGAAATTGTTTTGCTTTTATATAATCCGCAATTTTGAAAAATAATTCTTAAACGGGAGTGCACGGACTGAATAATTTAGTATAATAACCAAAGGCCGAAGAGCGTTGAAATCAGTTCATTTAAGGAAATTGAAAGAATTTTATTTTGATTTGTAATTGATTGATTTATTCATTTGTATTCATTCGTATTCATTTTGATTTATTTTATAATTCAATTGTGTGGGATGTCGTTGTTATAATGTATAATTCCATGTTGTATTCCATGTTGAGTTGTTCATGGTGCTCATTGGCTGTCCCGGTTAATAATGCTCTGTTATTGGATAATCTCTGGGAATGAGAATATATACAAGCTTAGCAGAAGATTTATTAAGTTTCAAGCTATAAAATGAGTCTATGTACTCCAATAGTATTCAAGTATATCAATGGAATCATATAGATATACTAATTATTCAGCAACTAGATTAATTGGAACTAATTTTTGCTGTCAAAAGTAACGCATTATCCGTGGAAGCATTGTTGTTGATGTCATCACTGATCAGTTTGGATAAACAGGAACAATATTGCTGATAAAGCTGGTTAAAACGCTTTATTTGCATATAAACGATGAGCTATGGAACGGCTAGCACAGTTACACATAGATATAATACATTTTAAACACTTTTAATGATCAAACTCATTATATATCCAAAATTCAATCAACACCAACCAATTACTATTACTACTTTAAGTAAAATTACTCGTTTTAGTTACTAGAATATGCTGCCCGTACCGCAAAATCACGTGAATTTAATCACTTTTTGAATGCATAAGATATTAGTCATACGCCAGATTTTCCTTAAATATTGGATCTTTGGCCGAGTGGTTTAAGGCGTTCGACTCAAGAAATTGTGCTATCGAATATCGTAAGATGCAGGAGTTCGAATCTCCTAGGATCCACTAATATTTATTTTTGCTGATGTCGGATTTTTGCGCTACCTGATGTTGGATATGTGAATGAATAGCTACACCTATTTTTAAAGATACTGACTAGCTGGTGATGTAGTGAATCTTAATTTAAAGAGAAAGATCATGGCTCATGTGTTTCTTCTAGCCTGCGATATGTTGCTAATCCAATATTGTTCTCTAGCTAATTAAATCACTCATTGATGTGCTCAAAGTCAAAGAACAATTACTTCTCATATTAATCAGGTAGAAAAATCTCTCAACTTTCAAGTGTAGAATATTTTGAGTTGATTTTCAGTACAATTAAAGTATAAAAGGACTCTCTTCTCCTTTAATTTAGAAATTTCATTCATTCAGGTTTTCTTCTTTTCTCTATGGATCTTGATTGAAAAGGATTGTCAATTGTCAAGTCCTTTAACTGTGAATATAGTCAAGGTCCATCAAAACCAAATTAATCAGCACCTATTACCTAGTGGGTATTACAAATGTGTTATGTCTTGATCAATGATGATATAATTCTTTTTCATTCAATGATGAACCAAAACTCATTTACAAGGATGGTAATCACTACAAAATCAAAGTGATGGGATCTAATATCAAGCTTTCAATAATTAAATCAAATCAATAAAAACAAAGATTTCATAACAACATTACTACAAAACAAATCTTGCACATTAAATTTTTTATTATTTTGATCGCTTATCTATTTAAAGATTTTATTCGGTAAAAACCCATGTTCAACGAACATTGGTAAGAAATTTGGTTAATGTTTCATGGGAAAAATTTGAATCAATATAATAATGTGTGCAGCAATTGAAGCTGTTTATAAAAAGGTTTCAAGTAACAAATGACTTGTAAAGTTTTCAACGAATTTGTTGTTTAATTGGTTTTCAATTCTAAAAATTGGAATTTTTAAATCAATATTCATGATTAATCTCATCTAGATCTTCCCAAAGCAGTTCCAATAAAAATATGAAGCTGCTAATCTCTGTCAGCCTATGCTGTTTGATCATTTGGTAATACTTGAAATTAATATGGATAACATCAATGATGTTTAAATTGGTGATATAATAATTCAGCTTTTGGTAAATTTGATGCAATGATAAACTCTTTACAATCAGAACTTTTTCATCTTTATAATCAATAAATTTGGCAATTGCTTTGTAAAGTTTTGAATCCCGGAAGAGCATATCATCATGATCAATCAGATAAATTTTAAGAGCCCCTGATAGGGTCTTCACAATAACAATGTGTTTAATTTCCATTTTAATTTCTTGGTTGGTGGACCTATTGAATGGAAATATTTTGTTTGAAACACATGCATTCAATAATCTTGAATCTAATGATTTTTTACCATAACAAAATTGTATGTCATTCATTTAAATATATCTAAATTTTTTTTCTTGAACCTATTCTAAATCAGCGTAAAACCTAGCAGCAATGAAAATTAGCAGCACGTAAATTAAAGTCTTCTTAATGTGAGCCTCTGTCTGTGAGTTTGAAATGTCGGTAATATTGTTGTATTTTTAATCCAATTATTACCTGAAGATTGAAAGAATACAATTGATTTATCATTGAGGAGGATTTTAATAACTTTTATACCAAATTTTCACCATAATTAGCCGCCGACACAAAAGTAAACAATTGATAATAAACAAAAACTAAAGCATTATGATGTATCTAATTGATTGGAATGAATCATTAGCCATCCAGGTTACCATTTAATGAGATTGTAAGGGGAATCTAACTTGATGAACATTGAAACTTTGGAATTTATTTGGATCCATCAGCACCATCAGCACCATCAGCACCATCAATTAAGTCAGCGGCTAGACTCCAGGGCATGATATCAGCCAGCAAATACTTGATATTGAATAGTTTGCCCTTGAATTCCCCATTGCAATAACTCAAAATACAAGCGCCCTTTTAAATCAATAGGTTCAGTAGATTTGTCAAGATGAACAATACAAAAAGTGTTGATGTTTTTAAAAGTACCCGCGAATTCTATCAAACGGAAATTAATGGTATTCAAGCGCAAAATGTATAGTTTTAGAGTAGAAATTTTCATTCTTTTTACAAATTATAGCTAAGATACAATCTAATTCTAATTTAAACTCTGATTTAAATGCTCTTTGACTATTCATCTTTCAATTATGGACTAAATCACCAATTTACATTCAATTCATTATCAGAACACGGTAAGGACCACATTCATTAATTCAATTCCATAAATTATACTTGAACTTGACTTGATTTAACCATATCAACGAAAACAAAGCATCAACAAAGGATCAACAAAAGCTGGTCAAAGGGACAAGTCATAACAGATCAATATAGGGATTGTGGAATTCCATCACCAGGGCTAATTTTTCAACATGGCGCTTGTGCAGGATAGGAAGTTCTTAATCAACCAAATACGTGCTCAATATCTTTCAATTGCTGATAATGATCAAAGTAGGAGAATAATACGACGTTTCAGTTTAGATAATGAAGATACAGAATATCCAACTCAAGAAATCAATGAAGATTATGAATTGCTGCTAGAAAGAGTAGAATCACCACCTATACCAATCAATGTCTTGGAAGAGAATGAATTATCAAGGAAATTACACCTTTCAAATGAACAAGTAAATACCATAATTCATGAATCTGATGAAGAAGATACAAATATAGAGCATGAACCAAAACAAAATACATTAGAAGCACCTGTGATGATTGATCCACATAAACCAGAATCCAAAAATTCTGTTTCTACAATTAAATTAGATCAACATGATCATGATATTACACCTCAGGCTCATCAAGATGAAATATTACATGATTCACTAACACCTCAAATTACTCAAACTTCTTCTCATATGGGTAAAATGTTACCTAAAATTAGTTATAAACCACAATTTACCAAATTATTTAGAAATTCAAGTGAATCTTCATCAAATAAAAGTACTTTGGATTCTAAAAAGAGGGAAAGGAAGAAACCAAAAGATGATATAACTGATGATGATGACGATGATGATGATGAATATGAAGATGATGAAGATGATGAAGATCTGGATAATGATGAGCTTGATAGTAACAATACATTTGATGAAAGTGATCTTTACAGTGAAACTACAAGTGATCGAACTGATAATCGTTCAAGAGCAAACACTGGCGGGAGTGAATTAGTAAATTTAGAAGATATTGATGGAAGTAATATTAGTAGAAGACAAGATGAAAATGGTATTCTTGTTGATCAAAATTATTCAGATGTTAATACCACATCACAATTAGCTGAACAATTTAATGATAGTAAATATCTTTATGGTGATAATTCAATTTCTTCAGTTGATGATCAATTATTATTAGATTCAGATTTTTCAGATGAAGATGAAGATGATATCATTGATAATGCAAGATTACAATTATTACATATCAAAGAACAAACAGGTTCAGTAAGTGGATTAAAATTAAATAATAGAAAACTATCATTTGAAAAACAATCAAGACCAAAATTAAGAAATAAAAGATCTTCATCATTAAGTATGAAAAGTAATGAAATTACACCAAATGATAATTTGAGACCTATAAGATCATCTTCAAATTTCTCAACAACTTCTTCTTCAATGGAACCTTCTTTATCATCATCAAATTTTGAAAAAACAACAATTATCCCCTCCAAATTAAAATTAACTTCACAATTAACAATGATGATTAATAAGAAGAACAACGTCAGTAATATTGATCCATTAGAATATTATGTCTTTGTATCTGGTGAAAGTATATCAAATAGATTTGATGTAATTAATATGACTGTTTATTTACCAAATGAAGAAACAATGAAATTGAAAATAAGGAAAACAGTTACAGTTGTGGAAACTATCGGATTTATATTATTAAATATTGTTAAAACAAAACCTGAATTATTATCATCTTCAAATTTATTGAAAAATCCAAATAAATGGTCATTACATTTAATTGATGATGATGGAGAACCTTATGAAGGATCATTTGGTCTTATGGACCGTACCAAGATAATATCTTCATATGGTGAAGATGAAGTTGCAATCATTGAAGTTAATGATTCAGAATTTCAATTAAATGAAATTAAAACTCCACAACCAATTTTGGAAACTGAATCTAATTCAAATACACCATCACCTTCTAAAGGAACAAACTCAAACACAATTAAACAAAGAAATTATTCAACTTCTATAATACCCAAAATTGATAATGATATTAAAGATGCTGCTTCTTGGAAATTACAGGTTTATAAATATCCAGCTAGTCAAGATGCTTCATATACAGGTATTGAATTACCATTAACTGCTAAATTAAATGAAATATTAATAAGGTATACCAAAATTAAAGATCTTGATCCAACAGATTATCATATTAAAGTTGTTGGTGAAGATTATATATTAGATTTAAATGACTCAATAAGTTCTTTAGATGGTAGTTATAGACTTGAAGTATTAACTAAAAGAAAAGCAAGAGAATTGAATTTAAGAAAGAAAAAAATCTTGGATAATAGAACTTTACCAACTATTAATTCAAATTTAACACCACAAAGTTTATTAGTGACTAATGATATTAATAAAGATATTAATGAACAACGTCAACAGGACGAAGATGAACAATTAAAACAACAACAATTACAAGTCCCACAAAGACCTTCAATCTCAAGACGTCATTCTCTTTCATCAAAACAATTTTCATCATCATTTACAAAACATGGTATTTCTTCATCTTTTAAAAATAAAAATGGTTCTAAAACTACATTGAAAAATCCAGATCAAAATAATAGTAATTTACCGCCAAATATAGTTACAAATGAATATCAAAAATATACAGTTTGGAGAAGATTACCAATGAAATTTATAAATCGTCATGAACGTTCTTTTGCAATTGATGGTGAATATGTTTATATCATGCCTAAAGATGAAAAAATCTGGTATGAGAATAGCTTTAAAACAAGAACTTTTCATGTTAGTCAAATAGTTTCATGTAAAGTTTCAAAAAGAATCCCTGCAAATTTTAAAATTGTGGTTATGAAAACAAATGGTCCTAAAAGGTATGATTTTGAAGCTTTAAATCCTCAAGAATCTTTGGAAATTATTTCAAAATTACATAAGTTGATGGAGGTTTACAAGAATTATCACTCTTCACTTTCTTGATATATAAATAATTTGACTTTAATACGATGTTACGATTATAGTATTTCAATTTTTTTTGTGACATAAGCTTATATCCCGGTGCTCGTAACAACTTTCTGTTAGATAAAAAAAAAAATTCTGCGATGAGCTCTTCTAGTATACTTAAAGTAAACCCAAAAATATCAAATTTATTACAAATTGTAACAGCTCATCGTTCTATTATCAATTCAAAATGGCTTTTGATAAATCTGCACTTTCATCAAACTGGATGAAACTTAAAAAGAAGACAAAGAAACCTTCAGTCGCTTCAAAACTTACTAAAAAGACAAAGAAGAAAGATTCTACAAAATCAATTATAGATCAAATAACGAATGATATAGAGAAAAAGGAAAATAAAAATAAGAATCTTCCACCAACAGATCCAAAAGAATTAACAAAATGGGCAGATGATAATGATATCCCCTTAGATGATCTTTCAAAAGTTTATGATATTTCATCAGAATATAAACAAGCATCATTAACGCCCGGTAATTTATCAGATCAAAAAAAATTACCAGGGAAATATTTAGCTATAGATTGTGAATTTGTTGGTGTTGGTCCAGAAGGTGCTGAATCCGTTTTGGCTCGTGTATCTATAGTAAACTTCCATGGTCATACAGTTTATGATAAATTTGTTAAACCAAGAGAAAAAGTTACAGATTGGAGAACTTGGGTTAGTGGTGTTACACCTGCTCATATGAAAAATGCTATTGATTTTAAAACTGCACAAAAAGAAGTTGATGAATTATTTAAAGATAAGATCTTAGTTGGTCATGCTATACAGCATGATTTAGATGCTTTATTATTATCACATCCAAAACATATGATTAGAGATACTTCCAAACATCCACCTTTTAGACAATTATCAAAAGGTAAAACTCCTGCATTGAAAAAATTAACTAAAGAATTATTGAAAATTGATATCCAAGGTGCTGAGCATTCATCTGTTGAAGATGCAAGAGCTACGATGTTGTTATATAAATTGCATAAAAAAGAATTTGAAAAATTGCATCAAAGATTTAGACCAAGAGAATAAATAAAAGTTTAAAATTATGTTTGCAAATATTGTTAACAAGTTGTATTATATCTTAAAGTAGTATTATAGTCATTGCACGAGCTGGTTCTAAAATAACAGTAAATGGTCATAACATAAATGATAATTATACAATGCAACAAAAACCTTGATTTAGGTTAACAGAGAAACAAGACTAAAACAAAATGTTGTATAACGAATTTGGAAATAAAAAGTAAAAAACAAATGTTCATAAACATTAAAATATGTAATAATAGTAATATGTGATAAAATAAATGAAGTGAAAATTATGTGTAGAATAAACGATAAAACATGGCATTGATCATTAAATCAACAATCTATTCAGTTTGAACCTTAGCAGCACAAATTGTTTCAATCAATGGTTTCATGACTGAACCACGAGATTTTTCGGATGGATTATTGGCCCCCTTTTCATCAAGTAATACTGCACCTTCAGGGAATTTATATTTGTAAATACCACGAACTGAGTTTTCATCCAACACTTGATCAGCAAAATGTTTGAACTTTTCATCCTCTTCATAGTCTGTTTGAATACTTGCAATAGAAGCTAAGTTAAAACATGCAGTAACTAGAGGAACTGAGCTTGAATTGGTACTAATGATCTTTCTAATAGTTGGTCTCAATTTGAAATAAACTTTCATAACCAATCTCGGATTTCTTTGACCAATATATTTCAATAATAATAATAATCTGATCATGGATTTTTCGTTTGGTTCACCTTCTTCAAAATGAACAGCAGCTTGTAACAAGGAAAGGTTTGAGTTAATGTTATCTGATAATAAATAGTTGACCAATACTCTTGGAACCATTGCTTGTTCACCCAATTCAATAACATCATCACTTAATACATCGGCAGATCTTAATAAAGATTTCACATCATCAGGTTTTAGCAAGATATAAAGGAATAACAAATATGAGTGAACACTATTATCAAACACTTGTGATGGGTCAGTTTCAACACGAGCAACCTCATTCAAATATCTTATGATAAAGAATGATTTCAATGATTCAATTGATGTTGCTCTAGCATATGGTAACTGTAAACCTTTAATAGTATAATGCAATAAGACTTGATCAAAGGTATCTCTAGTGGCAACAATTTCATCATGTTCTTCAATACGATCAAGTAACGCACCAAATGGTACCTTTTCTTTCAAAAGTGTTCCAACAACATCAAAATTAATATATTTATCCTTAGAATGCATAGCTGTCAATACCTTACATGCAAATTGAAGACCACCTTGATATAAAGCGACTAAATCTGAATGTGTAACAACAAGTGCAAACCAAAACATTCTTCCAAAGAATGGTGATGTTGGTAACAATCCTTCCGATATTCTACTCAAAGAGAAAACGGTACAAATGGCCAAATAACGGTATTTAGTGTCACTCATATCCTCTGAGGCAACTTGTGCAACCATTTCCATAACTCTAACAACCATCGTATCATTAACACCAGTCTTAGATAAAACACCTAATAATAAAAGGGCTCTTCCCTTTAAGACAGCATCATCTTTTGAAACAGCATCAACGACATACCTATTCCATCTAGCAACCCATAAAGCTTTGCTGTTCTCAGAACCTGTAACTTCAATGACTTCCATCAATGCAGCAACCAATGTTTCCATTGTACTAACTCTGGTGGCAAATTTAGATATTTCAGTTGGGAAATTATCAGCTGTATCTCTATTTAAACCGAATAAAATTCTTGATCTATGAGAAGTAAAATGAGAGATTGTATTTCTAATTTTATCTTTGGCGAAATCATTTAATGTTGGTTTAGTTAAAAATGATTGAAGAACATTTAACAATAATTGATGACTTGCAATTCTTAGATCCAATGGACCAACATCAACTAAAACAGTAACAACATAAAAGATTTCAGGTAAAAACATTTCAGTGAACATCAATGAATCAAAGAATAAAGAAACACAAATTTGAACCAAAACCGTGATTTCAATCCAGCTACTATGTGAAGTAACAGAATAATTACCATTGCTATCAGGGAATGGAATATGTGAGATTTCTCTTAATCTTTGAATAACATGACCACATAATTCAACAGTTGGTGTAGATGCTAATAATGCAATGATAGATTTCCAATCAGAACCTTCAGCTTCACGGTCAATAGCAGTCAAGACAATTTCATTAACCAAAATGGTACTGATTCTATCTTCTAAACATAATTTAGACCATATTTGGGAATTAAAAGCACTCAGGAATACTGGATCAATAGATGAAACAGCTAAGAAGTTTCTGATAATTTCAGATACAAAATCAGGACCATTTTCTTCATCAACTCGGTAAACATGCTCATAAATGTTTGGAATCCATGGTGCAACATAAACAATTGCATTGAATCTTTGACGTGGTGTAACTTGTTCTCTATAAACTTTAAAGAACGCACCAATAACCTCTGGTGTAACTTGTGGATAAGTTTCAGCTAATTTTTCAGAAATGGTAACGACAAAAGTATTATTATCACGTGGGAAATAGACTTCTGGTGATGATGCTAATTCTCTACCAAGGTCTAAATTGAATTGTTTTTGCGCAGCAGCTAAAAGATTATAAGAAATTGATCTAATTTCTGCTGATGAAGATGTGAAACCTAAAAATACAATATTGAACAATTGACCAAGCATATCTTCTAATGATTTTTCAACATTTTGTTTGAACAAAGTTTCAGCAGGAGCTTCAGTTACTCTATTTTTAGTGAAATACAATAATCTCATTATATCTAATGATTTTGGTGAGCTTAAAATGAATTCAGAACCATTTTCAAACACAATTGTTATTTCATTAGAAACACCAGTCTTTTCAGAAACCGAAACGGAAGAAATATCTTGTAATCTGAAAACGTCGTTAAGATAAATTTCTTTCAATGTACCTTTAATTTTAATTCTTTGTGGTGTTGTTTGGGTAATTTGAATAAATTCATTACCTATCTTAATAACAACTGGGACGAAGCGACCATTATCAACTTGATATAACGAAGCATCTGTGAATTTAGCTCTAACATCATGGTAAGCTCTAACTGATTCATTTGGTAAGCCCAAATTAGCAATAGTCTTATGATCATCATTTCCATGTGGGAAGAAATATTCAGATGGACCTTGGTTAAAAAAATTACTTGGTGACTTTGAATTTTTGAAAAAATTTGGAAACAAACCCGATGATAAATTGAAATATTGAACAGAAACACAGTTATCACGCATTGGATTAGGAGCTAAGTTTCCTAATAGAACTAATAATCTATAAGGAAAAACTTGAGTACCATTATTTCCAGTACAATCAACAACAATTGAGAATTTTTGATCCCAGATTTTTGAAGCAATTTGAAAGATTCTGTATAAAGCAATTTCTTGATCAGCATTTTTCAACTTATAAAATTCAAGATAAGAAAATACCAATAGTGGTGTACCATCAGAGCTGATCGCTTGATAAATAAAGTTTGAATCTTGAACTTGACCTAAATCTTTCAATGAATACTTGCTCATAAATTCAAATAATTCATTATTAGATTCTGGAGAAATTGAGGCAGGAATTTCATAACCAAAATTAATAGTTGGTTGACCCAAAAATGATAAGATATCCATAACATCTGTTGATAACTTCAAATGGACCTTTAGTTCATCTTCATTTTCACAATTTCTTAAACTTTCAGCTCTAACCACTTGCCAATTTTCATACATAAATCTATGGAAGAATCCAAAATCTTGATCGTTAACATCAGACATTTCAGTAACTTCAAATACAACATCATCATCAAGTTTGGTACATTGATCTAAGAAGCCGAATAATTTTTCATTGAGTTCATTCAATTCTTCAGTTCTAGATTTTAACAACGGCCATCTTAGAGAATTTAATGAACCATTAGCCATGTTTTGTAAAACTTTAGCCAACATTAAAAATTTTCTTTGAGTTTGACGATTTGGAATATCAACAATTTTTTCAGATTCTGGACTAACAATAGCTGGACAGAAGAATCTTAAAAAGATGAAAGAACCAACTGCAATTATTCTATAACTTGGGAATTTACCTTCAACACAACTTGAAATTGTTTGACAAACAGCTCTAAATTCAAGTGGGAATTCATCAATTGATCTAATAATAACATTAACCAATTTTTTCAAATAGTGCATAAAATTATTCAGATTTTGTAAACCAGCAGGATCTTCTGGTGATATTTTCTCCACTTCAAGATCTAATTCAGAATCTCTAATTTCTAATAAAATTGGTCTTAATGTTGATACTAAATATTCACTACCTTTGGATCTACCAAAAGCAGATAATGATTTACTTGCAAAACTATTTCTTCTTAAAATATCACCATAGTTATAGCCATTGAAAATTTCTTCTTGAACCAAATATGAAACCAAGCTTGCACTTTGATTAACACTATCAGCTAATGATAGCGAACATGATGCTAATGCGGAAGCATCACTAGTTGGACATGATCTTGCAATTGACAACAAAACTTTTGGAGTTGTAAAAATTAATTTGAAAATATCATTCATCAAAGCTCTGGTCTTTTCATCATGGCGACCATCATCAACTTTATAAGTTTCCACAATTGATACAAAGACTTTCAAAAATGCAACTCTAATTGATAAATTTGAATGATAACCAATTGGTAATGCATATTGTAAACCAACATCAACATTTGATTTTAATAAATTAGTCAAACAAGTAATAATATGATCACTAACAGTGGAAACTTTATGTTTAACACTCAATGGAAATTTTTCTAGATCTGAATATCTTTCTAAAGCTTTCAAAAAAGTATTGAAATATATACTAAATAAACTAGCTTTTGAAAATTTCAATTCACGTTCATTAATAACTTGTGGTGCTTCTAACAATAATGAATCCAATAATAAAGATAATGCTTTAACACTTTCAATAGCAATATCAATATAGATATAATCAAGATCTCTACCACCTGTTGAATGTTTTTGATGTTGATGGTGTGAATGATCATTACAATTACAATCATAAGCAATTGCATTATCAAACCAATTATAAGCATGTCTCAAATAAGTATTTCTTAATTTATAAGCTCCTCCAATAACTAAAACATCATTATGCAATTCAATTTCATAGAAAAATCTTGACATTCTAATTCTTAATTTTAATATAGTAACATCAACTTCTGGAACTGAATCAATTAATCTTGCTAATATACTTGCACAATTTAATAAATCAACTGAAACAGAGAAAACTGTTTCTCTAGCACCATTATTTAAAATAGCTTTTAACAAAACTATAATATGTTCTATAACTGTGAAATCTAAAACTGATAATCTTTCTGAATTAGCTTCATAATTCTTAACAATAGGAACCAGTAGTTTAACAACTCTACCATAGGATAATGGATGTGTTTCAGCAGCAAGAATTTCTCTAGCATTTTCTCTAGTGACTAAATTATCTTCACCTAACAGAACCAATTCTCTTTGGATAAATTCATCGATTTTTTCAGTGATTTCATGTTTAATTTCTTGAGTGAAACCTCTTTCAGCATTAACATTTGAATTAACGAAAATACCTGAAACTGATGATAAAAATCCTGCAAAATTACGGAATTCAGCTAATTCATTTTGTGACATTTCAGAATAATTTGATAAAGCCATATCATTCCATCTTTCATAAATTCTTAACCAAACATTTATAACAGCTGCACTTGGTGTTTTAATTTTTAAAAAATATTTTCTAATGTTTTTCTGTAAGGCAACCAAACCAGTGGTTAATGAAGAATCACCAGAAACAGCCAGATAGAAATCTTTATTGATATCTCTTTCATAGACATGATTTCTTGATCCATTAAAACTTAATTCTGAATCAACAGCTCTGAAACCTCTTTTTATCAATGGATATGTATCAAATGATGGTGTACATAAACAAGTTAATAAAGCTTGTTCAATTAATGAGGTTGCACTTAGATAAAATGATTTTTCTAATGATTTGACTAATGGGAAATATTCATGATGTTCTAATAATGTGTTTAAACCAACTCTATATTCTAAAAATTTCACAAAAATTTCTAAAAGTTCTCTTCTTTTCAAATCACTTGAAGAACTTGCAATTAATGCTTTAGCTGTAGCATTCAAAATTAATAAAGAGCCTGCAAATGAACACATAACATGATCAAAATCATCCAATATAACATTTGATGAAATAAAACTTAAAAGATATTGAGTAACAGAAGTTGTTAATTTTGGATCAGAATCTTTAATTGAAATTATGAATGGATCTAAAACAGAATTTGAACTTTCAATTAATTCTTCATATTTCTCATTATTTGATAAATCATTTGAAGTTAAGAAATATAATTGTGGATATTTTTTAAAAATTGAATATGAATTTGCTAATATATCTCTTGATAATTTTGAAACTTTTTGAGCTTGTTGTGTACTATCAATTGATTGATCTGATGTTGCAGTATTTGCTCTACTTGTTGAAGCTGATGATGCAGAAGTGTTTGTACTATGACTTGAACTTTGTTGATGTGCTGAATTTAAATGATGAGATCTACTGAATATACTCTTTGTAGTATCTTTGAATTTTTCAGATTTTGGAGTTGATACTGAACCAGCTGAAGATGAAACAGTTGATGAATTTTGTCTTGATTGATCTGGGAATTTAATTTCAGTTTTGAAACTATATTGAGAATAAAAATCTAAAGAATTACCAGAACTTGTTTTGCCCAAGGAAGAAGTTTCAGTTTCTTCTTCATAAATAGATGGAACATAAGTTGAACTTTGAACTAAAGTACTCATTCTAACAACAACTCTCTTCAATAATGGGAAAATTTGTCTAACCAGATTTTGACTTGATTCTTTTGAATGTAAAGTTGATGAAAACATTTTCAAGATTGAAGTTGTTAATTTCAAAGATTCTAATGAAGTACTTTCATCATTTAATATATCCATTAATTTTGGAATAAATTCTGATGAATTTAATACACAAAGACTTGAAAAATATTCTAATCTTAATTCACTGAAAACTTGATTTTCTGATAAAGTAGCATGTGTAATCAAAGGTGAATTTCTAGTTGAAGAAACAGGTACCAATACTTTTGTAACAATATCATAATGTAATAAAGAATATTGTACCAAGATATTTTGAGGATCATATGGATAAATTGATGAAGCAATATTTGCCACACAAACAACAAAATCTAAACTTTCCAATACGGAAACATTATTTTCCACTTGAGTTGAAGTTTCTTTATTATTTGATAATATTTTAGTGACATTTGATAATAATTTATGTTTTTTATTTGTATTGAAACTTGTAAGTTTTTTCAAAGCTGCTGTTCTATTTGATTTTGAATCATTTTGATAAGTAAAACTTTCAATTGCTCTTGGATATAATGTTAATAATAATGCTAAGAATCTATATGAACTTTTAAATTGTTTATTTGTACCAGCATTTGAAGATATTTTTGAAGTTCCACCTTCCAAAAATGAATAAACTTCATCAAATAATGCATCAGCTTCCATTGATACATTTGAATCAGTTTTGGTACAGTTTAAATATTCTTGAGGTCTTGAATTAATCCAAATCTTAACCGCCTTCATAAAGAAAGTTAATAATAATTGACGATAAATTGATCTTTTAATTGTTGTCAATATATTTCTTAAATGTTTTAAATATTCCAATATATAATTTTCATTCAAATAAACTGCACTGAATAATTCTAAATATGGAACAAATTCACCTTCATTATTTATATTATGTTTCAAAACACTTAATTTCATAATACTAAAATTTAAATATTCAACTGGATTTGACGCAGCAAAATATCTTAATAAAGTTTCCACATTGATATCAATTTGATCAGTCATTGATCTCATACCATATTCTTCATTTGAAACAGCAACTTTCCCATTAATTAAAGCCAATTCATGAACCAAATTACTTGTAGATTTGAATTTTGAAATTAAAGCAATAGCACGTCTTGCCAAAATTGGATCAAGAGAGTTTGGTTGAACAGTATGAAAATCAACATTTGCAGTTGCAATACCAACACCTTCACTTGAAGAAGAAGTTGTTGAAGTATTTGAATCTATTGAATTTTTTCTTGATTTTGGTTCTTTTGTATCCCAATTAAATTTCGATAAATCAGCTAATAATCTTAAAATAATTAATAAAGAACTTAATGAAGGTAATTCACGTTGCCTTAGGACCAAATAATTATCTCTTTTATTCAAATCTTCCAATATCTCTAAAGCATAAATCAAAATATCCTGGTATAGATTGGAAGTTGATAAATTAATCAAAGCTTTTCTTGAACTTAAATAAAAAGCATGAGTTTCCACTTCATATATACTCAAGTCACTTTCTATAGGTAAGAGACCTGATATCTTGTTGAATATATGAGCCACTAATGGTAATTCTGTGACAGATTTTGCCGTTGTTTGTTGTGATCTAATTGACGCTGACATTTTTGAATATTATCTTAACCTTTGTATAATGAATCTTGAGCTAGATAAACACAAACATACACGCACTGAGAAACCTTTTATAATTTTGAATTATCTCAATCCAATGATTTCAAACTTGATGAATGTGTTGATGAATATGACTTTAATCTAACCTTTGTGGAATGGATAATTTGATTTGAACAGTGTTTTTAAGCACAATTAAACACAGCGGATGTCTTGAAAATGGGATTATCTGAACCGTGGATGTTCTTTATGATGGAGATACCACTTGATGAACTGGATCTCTTCTATGAGGTGTTGATTTGTTTGGGGTTGAGTTGGTTCTTATTGAATGGGAATTTGGAGTAACTTGTTCAGAAGTTTGGTTCAGAAAATCACAGTTTGAGAATTCTGGCCAAAAGAAAAAAAAAACGGCTTTCTGATTTACACACAAATTTTAGAAGGGAGAAGTTAGGCAGAGACGCAGAGACGCAGAGAGAGTCCCGACTGCCGAAGAGCCAGACAGAGTAATTATACTATCGAAGCCTCAGGTCAGATATGGACAGAATTTAGTATAGTTCAGACTAGATGCCTTAGACTAGTTTGAATTTATAGTTATGTTTCCACTCTATGTTTGTACTGTGTTAGATGGGCTTAATCTCAACGGTTCTAAATCCCATCAAGCAAAGTTTAATCTTCCTTTCAACTTCCACGATTCAAGTCAAAAGAAGTCAAAAGGAGCAAATCAAATGTGGGTTTAGGCAGAGATTAGACAGACAGAGTTTAGTCATGGTTATATAAAGAATGAACACATTCCTAAGTTCTAAATCTATAAGAAGCTGGGTGTTCTCTGGCTATAAAACTATGCTTACCGTTGCCTTATAGGCCCGACAGCCTGTTAGAATCTATCAGCCTTTTCAGCCTGTTTAATTCCTGGTTTTAAGCGTAGATATCTTCACCTGTTCAAAGCTGACTAGACTCCAAAATTTAAATGTCGGCCCGTAAAGATCAGCAATCGCACAAACGTTGAATTTTCAAAAACTTGTTCCTACATAAAGTGACAATTTCAATTCGAAAAGGGAAAACGAGCCACCCAAATACAAAAATTCTAACCTGCACACAAATTCCTGAATTATCCTAATTATTCGTTTACAATGGTTCGACTAATTGCACCGATTGTTAAAGTGTCATAATGTCAGATGTTAGATTTGATAAATTACAGTAAAGTTTGTGGAATTTCTTATATATATTGTTGGAACGTTGCAAGTTCCAAGTAATTCCTGATTTATCCATAGTTAATGAGTTGATCATGAGTTTACTAGCCACAACGTCCCACGAGTAATGACGTCGTGGACCAATAGCCAATATTATATATTAATTGATTATAACGTGGCGCACTAACTAATTAAGTAATGAATATTAACTTCCAAAGGTACTTACACTAGCTTATTAGAGGTTCTGCTGGGTCCTTGTAATTTGTAACTTGTGGGTTGTGGGTTGGCCTAGTTTGACAAAGGCGATCATTTCAAATGCCGATAACTTACAAGTTGGTCATGAGTCAAGAGTTTATATATGATAGACTCTAGAGTATCTGGTAACTAGTTGTAAGTTGTAAGTTGTAAGAGGGAAGCGCTTGAAAGTTAGAGATTCACGGTCAGGTTATGTTTAAACGTTTAAACCTATTCAGCCTTAATTAGAAGCCTTGAAACCAATAGCCAAAGAGTGTGATCAGTACTATATATTCCAATCTATAGTGGGTAATAAGGATATATAATGTATAGTACATCTAAATCTAGTGTTCACATAGCTTGATTAATTTCAAGTTGATCTAGTTATATCGGTATCAAGTATCACCTCAATATAAGCAGTGATACAAACCTATTGTTTAAATACCTGACAGCTTGAAACTCTGCATTTAAGCAGTTGTGCACAAATTGCAGTACTTACTACTTAGTGAATAACGGATCTAATACTTTGTTTATTAAACCGTTTAGAGTGTTAGGTCGATATAAAACATAGAAATGTCTCACGATAGTTATCATGATACTATGAACTAAAGGACAGTTTATATGTCTATCTATAATCATTAAAATCTAGGGTCCCTTCACTTTTTGATTTGAGGCTCACCCACCAGTCAGTGGCTACTCAAGTCTCACAACCTTGGTACTAATTATATATAGTCCCGAAGGATATGATCATGTCATGAGTTAACCTTAAATATATATTAAGGCGTTACAATTTACTAGCTGTTGCTTTACTTGCCCAGCTAGCTCATAATTCGAGAACATAATATCGAAAAGTTAAGCTGGCCTTATCCTGATAGTTTGTCCACGTAGATCAATGAACTGTTGCACAATAATGATCAACGTCAAATGATACTACCACAGTCCACTGTAATTGAACGGTTTTTAACCCTAAATTAAGCATATAGACGTCCCATATTGTTCTGGAGCTTAAAGTTTCACACATAAGATATATTGGGGTTACGGGTATAGTAATTACAAGTTTCTACAACACTACAACTAGCCTCAATGAGTGTAATACCAGTATACCGGTACTAATATATAATGCGATGGATTATCAATATCACAGTATACATCTGCAACGTGTCAATTTTATCTTTTTACATTCCATTATCACATGTTATATCTGGTTTAATTATATACGCTTGAACGTTAATATGTATCGGCTGAACATTCGTGGCTGGACGCGAGCTATCGACATGAAGTCCACCAAAATCCATCGATCGATCATATTAATAAAGTTCAAGAGTACATGATATGAAGAAACGACTGACAACTGACAACAACCCATACGTTTATTATTCAATAATTTTGTGTAAAGCTTAACCTCAAAGCGATATTATGCTGGGAGCGTAAAGTAAACGTAAAATGTATAGATTGCTATCGAAATAATTTGGTCCATACTTCATAGTGTCACTGTCAAACATTCTTTCAACTTCTACCCAAAAAATAAAACTGTACGTAAAAGTTTTGATCGGAAAAATGGCTAAAAGTTCAAAGATCATATTTCCGATACGTCTAACATCAATATTCAAGACGTACCTATTTGATTTATATATATAAAGTTGAAAGTTGACACTGTTGACTGTTGAAAGCTGATAATATAATGAAGTTCTGCAAGATACCGTCTATTACATCTAGCCCATGATATAGACATCACTTATATGTTATGGGATCTATCAGCGTAGAGTACCAGCCAGAACTTATAAGAAGTCAGTCTTAGACGTCGTACTTCACTTGGTAACTCTCGACCAGTACCTCGAGAACGTTCAAAGAAGCTAGTATAATACAAACTGTATATAATACGACTATCATAATTTAGCTATATATACTGGATTATACTGGATATATATATGAAGAAAATACAGGATTTGCAATTAGACTTAATGAACGAAACTTTATAAACGTAACGGTTATTTGATCATTTTCCCGCAATTATCCGCAGAGTGATTATATCATCAAGTAGTAATCATTATACTGAGGTATGATCTTATAATCTGACCATTATAATTGATGTTTAATTTCTACAAACTGTGTTACTGTTCTCAAATTCATTTTTGTTCATAAAGATATAAAATATACAAATATATCCTTTTTTTTTTTAACCCAATTGATTTTGAAATCAATATAAATTCATCCATATTAAAAAACAAAATCATCAATTCAATAATGATCTTGTATTCAAGAAATTTCCACTTCAACACAATTTAATAAATAAATAAAAATAAAGAAAGAATTGTTGAAAATTACATATATTAATTTTTCATATCCTTAATATATATAAAAACAACAAAATTAACCATTTTCATTCATCTTTCACTCCCCATTTGTTTGTTGTAAAAAGATATAGTAATAAAAAAAAAACCAAAAAAATTATAATAAAAACTAATGCACAAAAAGATATACCAGAAATTAAACGTTTAACAACTTGATATAAAAAATAGATATAATATAATAATGACTCAATTCAAACTCCCATAACATATAAATGACATATTGTTTTTTATTTTAATAAATCTTTATAGTAATAAATTTTGTATATATGTAAATTGTAAAATTAATGACACACATAAAAAACTTAGAAGTTTAATTTAGTGAAGAACCATTTGTTTTTACCAGTTTGATATTTTTCTTCAAAGTTCTTTTTAATAACTTTTTTAGCATTTTCTCTTTGTGATGGTTCAGTAAAAGTTTCACTTGTTAATTCATTTTTGAATGATTCAACATCTAAAGTATATCTAGTTGGTAATAAATGGTTGTAGTTAACAACTTTGATGAATGGTTTAACTTTAGTTTTTTTAGCTAATTTTTTAGCACCTACTCTTTTACTAACTTTTGATGGATATCTTTCAATACCGGCAACAATAGCATGTGGGAATTGATGAGCTTTTGAACCTTCATCATGTGGTTTAACAATAACAACTTTTTTACCGGCGTAACGACCTCTGACGACAATAGCGACTTTACCTGATTTAATGAATTTAGCCATGGTTTATGAAATTGTGGTGATATAAATGGTATATGGGTATCAACAAAACTTCAAAAGTGTAATTAATTATGTTAAAGTATAGATTTTGTTTTTTTACCTAAGTTTAACCACAACTCCCAACCAGACAATCATACAAACTCCATACTTTTTTCGCACTTTTCGCACTTTTTGTTGCAATTTTGAAAAAAAATATCGTAATTGTTAAAGTTTGGCAGAAAAATTGGAGTTATGTGTTGCGAACCAGATAATATTTTCACACCCGGACATTACAAAGGAATGCCCTAAGACAGAAACACGTGACTATTGAACCATAATCATAAGCCCTCAGACAAAAAATTAAGTTTCACTACACTAATTATTAAAAATACAACTAAATGATATAGGATTAAAATACACGATAATGAAATGAAATGAAATGGTTATATAATAATATCACATTCTCTTTTTTTTTTAAATGAATTGAACGTACGTCTTGTTTTTTTTTGTTGTCTTCATGTCGTACATTATTTTTTTTTCTTATCATGATGACTTCTAGCTAATAATCTTGAATTCATACCAGTTATTAATCTTGGTACTTGACTATTATTATTTGAAATACTGTCACTGTGATATGCATTTGGACTTGATGTAGTACTAGTAGTACCTGCTGAAGTGGAATTTCTAGTTTTTGGTGTTGTTCCTCTAGATTGGTTTGATATAGCTGCAGATGCTGCTGCAATTAGTGTATTTCTTGAACTTGTATTATTAGATTGATTATGTTGAATACCACTTTTCTGTTCACTTGTGGTTAATGGTAATCCATAATGTAATTGACCATTATTTGGTAATTGTTTTCTATTAGATGATTGTCTTTGAGCAGTTCTTGATTTAACAAGATCTTTCAACATACCTTCATGTTTTCTAGTTGTAGATTCTTGACGTCCTTGTTGTGGTGATGTTGCAACAGTTGATGGTTTTTGTCTTAAAGATGCTGTTGATGTCTTTTTAGGTGGTGATTTTGGTGGTACTGTATCATTAAAGCTTGATAAGGTCAACATAACTGGTGATTTCAATTCATTTGAATCATTGGATCTTGCACTTAATGGAGGTGAGTTTATAGTAGCTAAGTTAGCTGCACTTTTAGCTGCGTCAGAACCTAAAATTGTACCTGCATCACCAGAAGGATCATCATCAATTAATTTTTGTGCAAGTTTTTCATTTGGTAATGTTTTAGATTTATATAATACTTGAGTCCAATTTGTAATTTCAATTTGTGAACTTTCAAAAACAAATGCAGTATTTTGAACTTCAATAACGAATAAACCTCCAGTATTTGCAGATTTAATTGCTGGTGGTAATAATTCTCTAATTTTAACAATTGCATTACTAATATCAATTTCTGTCTTCAGTTCCAGTGAATCATCTTTATCAACATTTGTATGGAAAATTAAAGCTCTACCATTTGAAGTTGCAATTAAAGTTCTTAATCTTTTTTCATTTTCATCTGTACCACCACCAAAGAATTTTTTAAATTTAGCCTTAGCACCTGAATTATCCTTTTCATCAGATTCAATTTGATGATTTATAATTAAACTTCCAGAACCATTATGATCCCCAAGATCATGACTTCTTAATCCACTTAATGAACCATTAGCAACTTGTGATAACAAACTTGAAGTTGTAGATTTATTAATACCTAATGGTGAATCAACTAATCTACCTCTATATTTTCTTTCAATTGCATCTGTAGTTGTAATTTGTAAATTTAACTCACCTTTTTTCAAGACTCTTTCATCAACAGTTTTCAAATGATTTGCAAATTCTAAATCTAATTTTGTCATTGGAGAAACTGTTAATGTAGTACTTGATGGTTTCTTACGATCTCTAAGAGATGTCTTGTATGAACTTGCACTTCTTGGTTTTGGAGTTGTTGAAGCCGCTGTGGTGGTTCTTTGTTCAACTTGAGTTGGTGTTGATTGTTGAGCAGTAGTATCCTTAAATTGAGAAGATGCACTTAAAGGTGGGGTTTTAACATCATCAGGGGTTTGAAGTTTATCCAATTCTTGTTTAACCTTTCTGTCCTTTTCTTGCTTATCATTATAAGCTTTGATGATTTGATCTGGTTGACGTGATAATGCAACTGATGCAGCATTTGCAGCGTTTCCTGCGCTTGGAACTCTTTTATTAGATTCTGATTGTTTTCTAGCTGCAACTGTTGCCTTTGCTTTAGCCAATACTTGTTGACTTTGAGTTGGTTGTGTTGATCTAGAAGTATTTGAATTATCTTCGGTGGAATCAGCACTATCAGCTGAGGCAGGAACAGAAGTTGTTGAAGATGATGCATTTCTTTTAGATGGTAAATAAATTTTGGATCTTGAATTAGTTGAAGTATCTAAACCTGGAACTGGTAACATTGATTTAGCATTGATTTTATAAGGACCAAATTCAGGAGGATCTGGATTCCAAATTGATTCTTCTGGATTATTAAAATCAACACTTTGGAAAAAATGATGTTGTTGAATTTCCTTTATGGTATATCTATCTTTTGGATTCAATACTAAAATTCTTTTAATTAAATCTCTACAACTCATTGGGAAACCAGCAGTAAATGCAAATTGTAATTTCACAATTTTTTGGAATGTCAGATAATCATTTGGTGCTTTAAATGGTGGTTTACCAGCAATCATTTGATAAATAATACAACCAAACGCCCAAATATCACAAGCTTTACCTATGGCTTTTTCATTTAATAATTCTGGAGAAACATACTCAGCTGTACCAACAAATGATTTAGCCTTTGTATCAGATGGATAACGACCAGCGTCATTTTTTTCTAATAATTTAGCAGTACCAAAATCTGTAATTTGAACTCTATTATTAGCATCTAATAAGATATTTTCAGGTTTTAAATCTCTATGAACAACACCATTATCATGCATATATTTCACAGCATCAATGATTTGTGCACCATAATATCTTGTAGTTTCTTCATTTAATGTACCATGTTCTTTGATTAAATTCAACAATTCACCATTTTGTGCATAATCTAAAACAAAATAAAGACTTGATTCATCTTGGAAAGTGAAAAAAAGATGAATTAACCCATTTCTTTTACCTAATCTATTCAATGTGTTTTTTTCAATATTAACATATTTAACTTTTTTCTCTCTAATAATATGACGTTTATCTAAAACTTTAACTGCAAATTTTCTATCAGTATTTTTATCAGTTGCTAATAAAACAGTTGAATAAGACCCAACACCTAAAGTGTCACCAAATTTAAAGTCCTTAACACTTCTTCTTACAAGTATTTCTTCAGTTTCTCCTGTCAGTTCATTGGTTTCTTGTTTAATAATTTGTGCATCACCTTCTTCTGCATCATTAGCTTGAGTTTCTGTATAATCCAAACCAGGTTTCAATGCAGAAGCATTTGATGGACCTCTTGATACAGGTGGAGTTTCCAGAGTTATAAGACTATCATCTGTACCATTCGGTTGATTCAGTACCAAATGTGTTGAAGTTAATGCACGTAATGGATGATTCGGTCTTTCTTGATATGGTGTAGAGACAGGAGTTGAAGGCTGAGTTTGAGGATTCCCATCGTTTAATAGATCACGATGACTTGATATATGTGTTGGTAGATCATATATGTGGAATGAGTCTGGATGACCTGCTGTTGGTGATGGTGTATTGATATGTGTGTTATCTAAATCATCTTCCAAAGTGTAAACAGATGAATCATCCTCTATGTTATCATTTGTGAATGTGAATTGATCTGGATTGAGTTTCCTAGGATCCAGTGTCATTGTGATTTATTTGAAGTGATTTGATTTGATCTTGTGTGTTCTTATTGAAACGTATTCATAAATATATCCAAAATGTTCAACACAATAATGTTATATGTCAAAAAAAGTTTAATTATGGCTGAATTAATGTATGTGTTTCTTTTTGAAGTAAGATTAACAGTGTAGATAGGTCAATCCAATGGAATATATCTCAGAGTATGAATATTTTGGTTGTTGATGATATACTTTGTCCACCTTGTTTGTTGACTTTGAATTGAAATTCTATTTATATAAGGGGAAATGAACGATAAATCTCGAATATTGCGGTAATTCCAGATCCCAAAACAGTGATAAAACGAGTCCCAGTTGTGTATAACTTTGTGCCTATGATGCCAATGGTCTTGTGAGATTGAATTCAGCAGCCTAACGACCTTTTTCTGGTGTGATTTGTCCAAGTTGTTCTGAGTTTCACCTTGTTTAGAAACTTGTCCAGTGGTGAAATAGGCCTTGGGATGTCAATTTTGAGCTTAGCCGCCCATCACTACCCGCGAATTCTCAATGTTTTGATTTCAGTTTTGTATAAGGATTTCAACAAAAATTGGTGAGTTTTACACAAAAGAGGATGGTTAAAGCTGATAGAAAAGAGTGGATTGAAAAGATATTTACTGTTCTTACAAATATGTTACTTAAAATGCACTTCAAGCGCTGTTTTTACTAGGTCGTTTCAGCTCTCTTGGATGATATTTGGTTGGTTACTTATCGTATATGCTTTTGTGTCATTTGAAAAAATCAAAGTGTACCAAAATTCTGAGTTATACTAGTGAATATCGTTTTTTTTGGCCATATTATGATGCTATAAAGGTAATTTTTGTCTGGTATTAGATTGATCAATTGACCTGGAGCTGTTTGACGGTGGTTATTATGAGTTTGTCTCGAATATTTGGAGAAGAATCATCTATAGAATTGACTTATGATTATGATGTTAGAGATTTAGATCGGTATCTTATAAGGCATCATCTGCAGAGAAATGTGGAAGCTCCATCGTTTTATCACTCACCAATTCCAAAATTTATACCCACCATAGTGTTTAATCGTGACGTGCAGAGACTGGCAAATGAACCAATACCAGAACAATTTGAAGGTTTACCAACTCAAATCGCACCAAAACTTTTCAAAGATCCAGTTTTATTTGGATTGTTTAGAGGGAGATTTTATAGTCATTATTATTTTAGGTTTAGGAATGACCCAAGTTTTCAATTTTGGAGGAGTGTTAATGCAGATAGAATCAAACGTGAAGTAGAAGAACAAGAATATGAAATGGATCAAGGTGAAAATGTCCAACAAAGAATAATAGAATTGGGACTTGATCAACCACATGATATGCCTTTATACACAGATGAAGATATTCTTCCACAAGATTCCTATCATAATCCACCAAGTGATAATAATGAAAATGTACATGATAATGATGGCAATGGTGAAGAAGAAGAAGGAGAAGGAGAAGGAGAAGGAGAAGGAGAAGGAGAAGGAGAAGGAGAAGAACAAGAAGGAGAATCATTTGATCAAGAACTGGAACAAAATAACCATATTATCGATAATGATGTACAAAGTTCAAGAAGATCCAGAGGGTTCCCCTTTTCCTTACATATGAATGGAAATCAAAATCAAATGGGTGGTAATGTAGATGGTGAGGAAGAGTCTGATTCAAGGCACAGAAGTAGAGGTCATACAGGAATAAGAATAAGATTACAAAATAGATCAAGATCCGGATCAAGATCAAGATCAAGGTCGAGATCTAGAGTAATTAACAACATTGGAGGAAGATCAAATAGATCACCTGATAATGCTATATCTTCTGGTGAACAAAATATGAATGATAGTAACTCTGATGAAGCTGTGGAAAGTCAACCTTCAAGAAGACATTTTTTCAGAAGAACTTTTAATAATATGTTGAGAAGAAGTGCACCAGATATTGTTAGCTCAAGAAATGAAAGACCTCCAACAAGAACAGGCTCCATGTTTGCAGTTGTTGATGAACCACACGATGGAGAAACTGAACGTGATCCAGATGTTAGACCATTTGAACCGACTCCTTTAGGTTCACCTGCAAGTGATATTTCTGCTGGATCAGCGATTTTATCTACAGGAACTGAAAGTGTCCAGATGACAATTGATTATCTTGATTTATCAAGTGGAACTAGTGAAGATAGACCTGACATCTTAGAAGAACGTGCTAGAGAAATTCTTAATAATCAATATAACCGGAGACGAGATCAATCTATAGATCCACAGGAGGTTGTTGTACGTGCTAACTCAACAAACAGATCAATTGTGTATGATTCTGGTCCTCAAGCTAGTCCAGGTGATATACCAAATTTACAACAACTCATTCCTTCATTACCTCCAGCACCAAGAATCCCACACGCTGAGTTATATCGCCCCAATTCACCCAATATACCATCTCCACTACCCTTTGAAACTAATTTTAGAAGGAATTCATCTGGTACTACAATGCTGAGGAATCAAAGAAGAGAAATGATTAATGTTATTAGAAGGGATAGTATTAATTCAAATAGAAGTGATGGTAATAGAGTTGAAATACAATCATCCAATTCACTTAGACGATCTCTGACGTTAAACCCATCTATACAGCCAAGTCCTGAACTTGAGAGTACGTTGTTTGTACAGACTCAATCATCAGTTGCTCAACAGTTAAGCTTGAATGAAGAAAATTTGTCAACGATTCCAACGCCTGAACCAACATCAACTAGAAGAAGAACTTTGAGACATTTAAGAGGAACAATTGGTCGTTTTAAAGATATATATACAATGATGGGGAGATATGATGATAAAAGTGGTACAGAATCTTCACCTGACGTTATTACAACAGGAGAAACTAGTGCAGAAAGTCCAAAAAGTCATATTGTTAATAGTGGTACCAGTTCCAATGATCTTAGATTCAGACAAAGATTTTCACCGTTAAAACTCTCTCCTGTTCGTTCTAAAGGATTTGATTTCTCAGATGTATGAATATTTAATTGGAATATCAATATTTGATTATTGTTGATTTGAATAATTTTGTAGGAGGTTAATTTATTTATATTTCCGCGGAATTACCACCGGCTTATAACCTCGTGTTCTAACCGAAAATTTCTGGTGATGTTTTTCAAAAATTTAAAATTAATGGAATATTTTTGAGGTTGGGTATTTGAAACCAATGAATCATATTTTGTATTAAGGTCTTGATCTATCTATTCACTAGTACAATGACTGAAGAAATCACTAAACAAGCACAAGAGCTCAAAATCAAAGAAGTTGAAGCTGCTAAAGCTGCTGAAGCAGAACAAGTTGTCACACCATGGGAAGTTGAAGGTGCAGTTGTTGATGGTCAAGCACAAGTTATTAATTATGATAAATTAATTAAACAATTTGGTACAAAGCCAATGACTCAAGAAACATTAGATAGATTCACAACAGTTACAGGTCATGAACCACATCATTTCTTGAGAAAGGGATATTTTTTCTCAGAACGTGATTTTAATAAAATTTTAGATCTTTATGAACATGGTGAACCTTTTTTCCTTTATACTGGACGTGGACCAAGTAGTGGATGTATGCATTTAGGTCATTTAGTTCCATTTTTGTTTACTAAATGGTTACAAGATGTTTTTGATGTTCCTTTAGTTATTGAATTAACAGATGATGAAAAATTTTTATTTAAACCAAAATTAACAATTGAAGATGTTAAAGGATTTGCCAAGGATAATGCTAAAGATATTATAAGTTGTGGATTTGATAGAGAAAGAACTTTTATTTTCAGTGATTTAGATTATATGAATGGTGCACTTTATGAAAATGTTGTTAGAACTTCAAGACAAATTACAACAAGTACAGCAAAAGCAGTTTTTGGATTTCAAGATTCAGATTGTATTGGTAAAGTTCATTTTGCTTCAATTCAAATTGCTACTGCATTCCCTTCATCATTTCCAGATGTTCTTGGATTACCACCTAAAACCCCATGTTTAATTCCATGTGCAATTGATCAAGATCCATATTTTAGAGTTTGTCGTGATGTTGCAGAAAAATTAAAATTTGCTAAACCATCATTAATTCATTCTAAATTTTTCCCTGCATTACAAGGTTCTACCACTAAAATGAGTGCAAGTGATGATACAAGTGCAATTTTCTTAGATGATACACCAAAGAAAATTGCTAAAAAAATTAATAAATATGCATTTAGTGGTGGTAAAGTATCAGTTGAAGAACATCGTAAATTTGGTGGTGATCCAGATGTTGATGTTGCATATCAATATTTAAGTTTTTTCTTGGATGATGATGATAAATTAAAACAAGTTTATGATGATTATAAAAAAGGTGAAATTTTAAGTGGTGAATTGAAAAAATTAGCAATTGATGAAATTACTAAATTTGTTGTTGAATTCCAAGAAAGAAGAAATAAAATTGATGAAGAAGTTTTAGATTCATTTATGAAACCACATAAATTAACTTGTGGTACAAAAGAAAGAAAAATTCCTGCAAAACAAAGAGAAAAAAAGGAAAAGAAATCAAAGAAATAGAGATATTTAAATAGAGGTGGATATAATATAATTTTCTAATGTAATTAACTCATATATATATAACGATTTCTATAAATTTATTTAATTCTTATTAATATAATCCACTAATTGTTCAATAGTTATAACTTTGATACCCTTTTCTTTACCAAATTTAATACAATCATCTAATCTCATCATTAATCCATCATCATCTCTAACTAATTCACAAATAACAGCAGCAGGTTCTAAACCAGCCAATTCAGCTAAATGAACACCAGCTTCAGTATGACCTCTTCTTTCTTTTAAAAGACCAGGAACAGCTCTTAAAGGTAAAATATGACCAGGTCTCATAAAATCCAAAGGTTTAGAATTTGGATTTGCCAATTGTCTAGCAGTTAAAGAACGATCATAAGCACTTATCCCAGTAGTAGTACCTTCTCTATAATCAACAGTTATGGTATAAGCAGTACCATGTCTATCATCATTTTTAGCAAGCATTAAAGGTAATTCCAAGGCATCAGCACGTTCTGTTGATAATGGAACACATACATAACCTGATGAATGTCTTACTAAGAATGCCATTTGTTGTTGTGTGATATGTTGAGCTGCTATGATTAAATCTCCTTCGTTTTCACGAGATTCATCATCCATTACGATGAGGAATTCTCCGTTACGATAGGCTTCGATGGCTTCTGGGATTGGTGTGAATACTTGTGACATTGTGAATGATTTGATATTTGATGATATTTGAAATATAACCTTATGATAAGTTTGTGACTGAACTATTAGCTTCCAGATTTGATGATTTCAATAAAACAGTTCTTGAATGATACTCTATCACAATCTAATCTGATCTGATCCTTTTCTTTTGTGTCTTTTAAAGGGAATCAACTTGTTTTATACTCGTTCGTTGATGCGTTCAAGGTCCAACGGTCAAATTTCTTATTTTTCTCGGTCATCGCTTAATAATGATTATCCACAATTTGTCATACAGAAAACGGGAAATGAACTCTAGGAATAAAAGGGAGAATGAAAGAGATCTTACTAAGGTTATTTATATGATGAGTAAAGGGCGAAGTGGTTGTGTGCTTATATGGGATACTCTTTTCTTCCAGGTTAAACTAGATATTTATGAGTTTTGTGTGTAGAATTATGAGGTATGTACTCATAGTCTCATAGTTTAAATGAGAATTTTAATGGGATTGTTTTCATATGGATCTATTAACAAGATATGATGTCTTGGGATATTGGCTTGAATTATGTGACTGGTGAGATGAGTACACTGTCAGATGAATATATTTATTAATATTCTGATCAAATTGTACTGTTTAGCTGCCATTTTATTTGTATTCGTATTGGGTATTAATCAATTGAGTATGAATTATGGCACAAATTTTAAGACAATTCAGAACAAAAAAAAGAAGAATTAGCATTAATAAGTGTTTCAATGCAGTCAACCTGAATAACACCACCCACCGTGCAAATCATTTATTACTTTCAAAACCTTTTGATTATAATCTTGTTGTACTAAATAGAAATAGTAATTACTAATCTCTTATGTAATCACAGTAAATATTGTTTAAATTCTTTAAAATTTCACAGTTTAAGCGGTAGAAAAAACCAATAGTAACAAACAAATAGATCTAAACCGAATCATCATATCCATTCCACTCCATCACCACCCCTTCCCACCCCTTCCACCACATCTTCCCCAGATCAACCAATGAAAAAGTTCAAGTTGACCCGGTTTTTCGCACTTTTTCCAACTTTTCGAGGAAAATGAAAATTAAAAGGGAGAACGAAAATAATAAAGACAATTTTGAATATTAATAAAGAGTTTATTCAATCTTTTTGGGTTTTAATTCATATTCATACATTCATCAAGTCATCATGGGTTCCGCTTACACTGTCCTCGGTAGAACTGTTCCAGCTCATCAAGTATGTTGATTCATTGTGTTTTTGGAAATCATTGGGTATTAATTCATATAAACAATATGGATATGAACACCAATAGATCAGAGACATGGTTTTTTTCAAGTCAATTACTAACTTATATGATATAGGTCTCTATTGCTACTTTAGGTCTTGCTTTATTATTCGCTGTTCCAAACCCATTCAAGGCTGCTCCAACTACTCCAAGTATTAATGCTTCATCAAAAGAAGAAGAAAAATTCATCAAGTGAGTAAAATTCATTTATTATGATATATATAATTGTTCTATACTAACATTCAAACAGTGATTATTTGAAAAAAGCTGAAGAAGCTGAACACAAAGCTGCTGAAAAACATTAGATATTCTTTTTCATACATATACATATAATACATACAAATTAAAATAAAAAGTAAAAAATTTGATATTTTTTAAAAGTTGAAAAACATACATTTGTAGTTTTATATAAATTCTAATATACAAGGTGTTATTACATTATATCCATCATTTAAATAATGAATCATTTGATAATGGATCAGCAGCTAATACATTATCTCTTTTCTTTAATTTCAAAGTTTCAGCAGCATCATGTCTTGCTCTTGCTTCTTCAGCTTGTTTTTGTTTCAATTGAGCTCTAACGAAATTTGGACTAACATATTGTTTATTTTCATAAATCTTTGGACCACCAAATGAACCTTCTAATATTAAAATTGGTGTAAGAACAAATCTTGGACCAATTTCAACTAATGAAATATCTGAATCATCATCTGAATTTTTTTTATCATCTTCTGATTTTTCTAATATTTGATAATTTCTAACCCATATTTTACCATCAACTATTGAAAATGACATAACATGATCTGTAAATGGTTTAATTTTTCTTGAACCTGGTGGAACACCAAATGTATGAATAAATATTTCCTTCATCAAATTGAAATGAGCACCTTCATCAAATGATTTATCAAATGATAATAATGGTCTTGAACCTTTTAAACAATTACCAGTGAAATTTAATTCTTCAGTATTATGAATATTTTGTACTAAAAATTTAATAGTTGGACCATTTGGAGGTTTTGATAACCAAAGATATAAATCTGTATGTTTTCTTGCTTCAAAATATAAAATATTATTACAATTATATAATTCTGCAATTTCATTCAATTGTGATAATTGTTTTTTACCATCTAATTTTGGTTCTTTTCTTGCATGTGGTAATAATGAATATAAATCATTAATTAAATAACGATGTCTAAATGTAATACCTCTTGAAGAGATTAATAAAACTCTTTGTCTATTAATGTGTGATTTTTTTTCGGTTTCAGCCTTGGTAGATCTCCCAGAGAGCACTTTGTAAATAGCAGACATCCTAAACTTATTCTTATTCCTAATCAAACTACCTTTCTTTCAAGATTGTGTCTATAATTTTTCAATTTCTTTATAAGTAATTTAAATTTTTTTTTCTATGCGATGAGCTAAAAAATTCGCGAACGGTTCTTAATTTTTTTCTTTTTTACCCGGAAATTCGAGGACGTAGTAAACTTTGGGTATTAAACAATTGAATTATAACCATTTCCAAGTAAAATATCATCTTATTCGATCTCAAATTTGTTCTAGTCAAGGTCATTTAAGACGGTTACAACATGTCCTCGAAGGAGAATGAAATATTCAACGCCATTGAGAATGGAACATATAAACATGCTCAACAATTATGTGCCAAAGTTTTGAAAAAAAATCCAAATGATTCATTTTATAAAGTTTTGAATAATTATATCTTAGCTCAATCTGGTAAAACCACGGAGGCAATTGAATTATCTAAACCTTTTTTAGAGGATCCACCATCAGACCTAAGATCATTGGAATTATTAGTTGAATTGTTTAATGAATTAGGATTATATGATGAATCATTACAAGTTTTTGAAAATGCAGCTAAGAAGCATAAAACTTTTGATATTATGAAAACATGGTTCCATTTTGGTATTGAACAATCAAATGTTAGAATTATTCAAAAAGCATCAATGGGGATGAAGAATCTAAGTAGATTATTTAAACTTTGGGCTGCATTTTCTTGTTATTTAGTTGCAAATTTATCAGATGCAACCATGATGGAAAAGACATTATTCCCCAAATTAGGTTTAAAAACAATTGAACAATGTGAACCTTTGAAAAATGAACAAGAAATTTATATTAAAGTTAAATTATTACAACAAACTGGTGGATTACAACAAATTCCTGATGAAATTTTAAAATTTTCCAAGGGGAATAAATTAGATTTAGAATTACAAATTATCTTACTTGATACTTTTAATAAATTAGAGGATTGGGAAAATTTATATAAATGGAGTCATATCGTGCTTATTGATTATAAATTGGATGATTTTAATACATGGAAATATTTAATAAAATCATTAATTAAATTATCCAAAGATATAACTAAAATAATTGATGATTATCAAACAAGAAATTCTAAATTAGCTAAATTGGAGTTGAATGTCCAATTAAATCAAGATTTACATGATTCTGTTGTGGAATATTTGAAATTTTTAGGTCATAAAGCTTGTGCATTCCCTGATATTAAATCATATTTTCATAAAATCGATTCTGAAAAATTATTATCATGGTTAGAAACCCAACCACATTCAATTAATGATGATAAGGGACTTATTTGGAATGTTAATGTTATGAAATTCAAAGCTCTTGCAAACCCTGAGCTATTCAAATCTGAAAAATTCATTAATGAGAATATCAAATTATGGAATTCTTCAAAACATTTATTGTCCTCAAAATCTAAAACTGATTATTTTAATGGTGATGAATTCATATTATTTATTATTCAATCCTTATTATCAATTGAATTTTCCACTAAAAACATTATTTTGTCAATCATCATTTTGGAAAATACAATCATAAAAGATGAACATGAATTCCATTTAAGACTTTGGTTAATCCAATTATATTCATTAATCAATTGTTATACGCAAGCAAGATATCATTATAACACCCTAAAGATCAAAAATGTTCAACATGATATCCTAGATCAATTTATTATATCAAGATTATCAACACAATTCCCAAATAATGAAGATTTGAAAATTTCTTATCAAATTTATAAATCAAATGAAGTTGAAACTGTTCATTTTAATAAGATTGGGTTTAATCAAGGTTCTTTTAATAAATTAGAAAAAATGATTGAATTTCAAAAAAGGTTAGATACTTCAATTTTGAAAAATCATGAAATTTTACAAGGTTTAAAAATTGGTAGGGTTTTAAATGATAAAGAAATTATAAATACTTATAAGAAATTAAAGATTAATGATGAGGTTAGTGATAATAGAGATTTCCATATCTTATGGAATGTTGGTATTGATGAAGAATTAAGTTTCAAAGATGAATTATTACAAAACATTCCAGGTGAAAGTTATATTAAAGTTCATAAAATTTTCGAAGATATTATTAATGATAAAGATATTACTATTTCTGATGGTTTAGATACATCAGATCTTTCCACTATGGAATTTTGGTCATTTGAATTATTAACAAATTTATATAATTTCATAAAGACCAAGGATACTGACTTATTAACCGAAATTAAAGAATCATATAATGAAGTACCAGACTTACCAAAAGATTTAAGTTGGGAGATTAATAATGGGATCATAACAATTTTGGAAACAACAAAATCTATTCAATCAATACTTTCAAATTCAAATCAAAAGATTAATAAAAAAGATTTATCAGATTTGAAAGAATTAAATGTTTCATTATTACAAAAAACCAGGGATGATACTATATTAAACAAGAGACAAGACATCAAGAATTTGATCATTTCTTTAAAATCAAAACTTAATGATGATGAAATCTTATCAAGTTTGAAAATCAATAATGGTTCAAAGGATAAGATTTTAGAAATTATTGAAAATTCAAATAATGAAGCTTTTAAGATTTTAAGATTGTTATGAAGTCATGTATATAGCTATAGCACATATTTTGAAGTTGCAAGAAATGGATATGTTACATAAATAATCGATTGTAGGTCTACTATTAATTGAAAAAATGGGGTTCATATATTAGGAATTGATCATCCTAGAGTGGTTAATCATAGAGACTGAATCAATTTTAATACAATAGGGGTAGTGATATATTTAGTTTATCATTATAGATATCAAAGGAGCGTATCCACAATTCATATAATCTGCTAAAAGTATAGACATTCACTATCATACTTTAATGTAAACTAGTTTCCAAACGAGAAAGCTCCTTGATATCAAATTTTTAACTTGTGGTCTATAACTAGATAGACTCTCATCATCAAAACACTATATTAGTGTAACTATAATTTTTGGTTTAATTAGATCCCAAAGAAATGACTTCATGATTAAGATACAACAATACCATAAATCTCAATACATTAAGTAGCTGTGTATTAAAGTAATTATATATCAAAAAAAATTTGAGCTCATTTATATAATAATTTCAGACAAGGCCACCGGTGATTAATTATAATATCGTTAAACACACATATACATGGTGTCGGCTGATAATATATGAGCTTATATATTTCCAATATATGATTATAAGAAATTATACAATTTATGCGTTATACATAGATTCTTATTATCGATATACAATTGTGGTTGTAGAAGTTGAAATGGAAATATTCGTAATCAATATTACAATCAATATGGGACGTCTTTGTGGACCCGTCATGACATTGTGATCTTGTACTACAAGTAACTGAAAGATATGATTGAAAAATGATAGAATATATATTGATAATTGGTCATCCCAGAGTATGAAACTGAATTCAATCATGGAGAATGAACCAACTTATATATATATAAATTTATGTGTAATTAAGTAGATCAGTACACCAAACAAATTATCAACTGATCTGTTAACTCAACTTCATTAATTTGTTCAAACCATTAATGAAAACAACCTATGAGATAGAAGAATCAAATAAACATTCTGTGAAAGACATGCATCAGAGGTAAGCTATTGGACCTTAATATGTTGCTAATATTTAATCCAAAACATTTCCCTCTAGAATGCTAATATTAAAACTCAAGACCTAATAAAATAGAATATCCCAGGATTAAGGTTCAGCGAAATATCATACTTCAAAATGCCAATGTCACAAAATAAAAAAAAGTGTATAATGATTCAATATCAATTTGATCAATTTATTAAAAGTTGATGGTATAAAACCAAGTTGGTCATCGCGATAGAATTTTTTCATCATGTATCTTTCAAATTCATCAAGACACGACAGAAATACAACAATTTAAAGGGGTGACTTTACTATATGAATATTGGTAGCAAAAAATCTGTACTTAATATTGATTTAATTGGCATGTTCGTATATGGTGTTCTTTACTTAAGTATATAAATGCAGGCCTTCTACAATATATATGTAAAATTAGTCCAAAAAAAAAACTTATATATTAAGAATTAACCATCCCAGAGTACAAATTGAATTGAATCATGGAGATCGGATAAACTTTGATATATATATATGTTTGTGATAATTCATTATATCATGAATGTATAGATAAATAATGATCACATAATTGGTTTATAAGTCGTGACGACAATATTAAAAATGTACGTACTAAACGACTTCCAATATTCTAGTTACTAAAAGCAATTTGATGTCAAAAGAGACCAGTGCAAAATCTGCCATCGAGATATCTTTAGTATAATTCGGATCCAAATAGGTGAACTTAACAGCCTCTATAAGAATTTTTCAATTACCTAGATACATTATACAAACATACAAAGTTCAAAGTTCAAAATATCCTTTTTTTAAAGCGCGACGTTAATCATTAATCGCGGCCGCGAATACTTCTGAATAGTACATAGCTAGCTCAACACTATCATTCAATTAGCAACTATGGCAAAAAGAAGTGAATTATCTAATGATACTGGAAGCTCAAAGGAAGCTTTAAAGTATAAACAGGTAGCTGATTGGTCACGAGCCGGCAAAGTCTTAAACTACAAAAGATATTTTATATAGGCTACAAAGTTGAAACTATATCGAGGATTAGCCATACTTTTATCTACAGGTATACTATAGTTAGTTGTTAGAAAAAATGGGATTCATATATTAAGAATCGATCATCCTAGAGTGGTTAATCATAGAGACTGAATCAATTTTAATACATATATAGTTTAATAATATACTAAGTATATTACCAAAGATACCAAAGAATTGTTGTCACAATGTCACAAAGAGCCGAAAATATTCACCTATTATGTTGTTTGTAAACAGCTAATTGCTAAACGTGAGGACACTCCTGAGTCTTTGGTATTAAATTTATAAAAGAAAATAATAATTGACAGCTGTTATTTATGGTCCTTAAAAAATCAGAAACTCGTTGCTAATGAACCTTGAACAAATATCACAAACAACGCATATAATAGTTAACAAAGCTAATAATGGTAATACTTTTATATATCAATCCAATTAATATGAAAGTTTCATATATATATATATATATTCTTTGATCTTAAAAAATTTCAATGAAACAAGGGCCTTCATGATTGTTTATTGTTAAACACACATATCATGTGCATCAGCGGATAATCGAGCTACTATATACTTTATAATTCTAGAATCTAAACTACAAATTACCCGAGCTGCAGTGAAAAAATCATCTTTGATCCCCTGACATAGTCTTAATTAATATGATCATGGTATATCATGGTAATTCAATAATATGAAAATGATGAGCTCATATTTGTAAAGTGTTAATGTACTTCTGATCTTGTTATCGACAACTAACGCGACTTTCATTTCAACTATGTTCTTCAACAATTCTACAGATTAACCGTGGAATATATTGAAAATATGATAGAATATATATATTTAGAGTTGGTCATCCCAGAGTACGAAACTGAATTCAATCATGGAGTATGAACCAACTTATATATATATGAACTTATGTGTAATTAAGTAGACCAGTACATCAATCTTGAATGAAAATTAATAGCCAAAGCCTAGTTAACAACTCCAATCAACACACAGAAGATCCAAATATTATTTCAAAATTTGTAGCACAGTTGTCCTAAACAATCTGATCAATCTAAAACTATCCTGCAATTTAACAGGAGCATGAAATTAGACATCTTCATACCGCTTTATAGAAAGTTAAATTGAAGACCAATTACCATATCCAAGCAAATTAAATGCGATCGAGGGTCTGAATTCATCAAATTGGACAAAAAGTTCAACGTTATTCAACATATCAGTTGAACAATACTAAAGGTATAAAACAAAGTTGGCCATTGCGATAATTTTTTTTTCATCATATTCTTTAAACATCAAGACACCAACAATGATAATATACTTGTCAATTGATTTAATATAATATAATTAAACCATATTAAGTAATGGTATACAAGTTATTATAATTCGTAATCTCAATATGTGACACATGTATCGAGTGATATTGTGTTTGAATTTAATGATTATCTACATGATGTACTTCTAGCTGAAAAATAAGTATAATATATATTAACAATCAACCATCCCAGAGTACAAATTGAATTGAATCATGGAGACTGGATCAACTTTGATATATGTAATTTGTGATACTTCATTATATATTAAAATTAATTAGTTATAATGAGCTTAGTTGAGTAGTAGTATGAATTAATACAAATAAATGAATATATGAACTGAATAAGATTTTTTGAACTCATTGGAAGGACAAAGCGCCTAAAATTTGATAAAAGTTTATAACTAATAAAGGAATAAAACTGTTTGATGAGCTCAATGAAGCACGTTGATCGTCGACAAACTTCAAAACTTTTAAAATATGAGAATAAGATCTAAAATTTTTTTCCAATGTACGCGTTTTATATGAAAAAAACAATATTCGCGATTTTTTCTAGTATTATATAACAGCTTCAACAGAAAGTTTAATCAAACAGCTAAGAAAAAGAAGAGAATTTCATCATCTAGCGACGTGAAGTGTGAGAGGAAGCATAGTATAGTCATGGACTTTACTGACGTGGATGAATGATCTAACCATGACACAAACCATGAATTGAAAGTTAAAGCTATATTAATCTACTTGATACTTGATTGTAAAAATGGGGTTCATATATTAAGAATTGATCATCCCAGAGTGGTTAATCATGGAGAATGAATCAATTTAAATACATATATAATCTAACAATATACTCAGTATATCATTAGATGAATATCAAAGAAGCGTAGTCACAAGGTATTGAATTCATATCATCTCAAAGAAAAGATATTCATCTTATATCATGCAGCTTGTGAACTAATTTCCAAAGGGTGTAACTTCTTGATATGTAATTACATATAAACTTTGAACAAATGATTAACCAAATCAACAATTCGGTAGCGAATGCACAACATTTTGTATACAATGCAAAGTTTGGGGTCACACAACATCAATCTTTACATTCAATATTAGAAGCTGTGTAATTCATTCAGTCTTTCACCAATTTTTGTTTTTTCAAATCAAGGGGTTCATTATATAATATTGTTAAACGCACAGATATCTTACCCTATTAATATATTAGGAAGATGTCTATAGATAATAGCAGATCGTGTTTGTGATTATATATACGATTACAATTCTGATATGTGTAATTGATATTGTGGGTAAGTGATATAAGGCCTCAATTAAGTGTAAGTTATATGCTAGAAAATGGTAATATATGTGACGAACTCATAACTTTGTACTATCCTTCATAGCTTTGGTGAGATTTTCATTAAGTAGGAGGTCGACAATTGTGTACTACAAGTAACTGAAAGATATATTTGAAAAAATAACAGAATATATATTAAGAATTGGTCATCCCAGAGTACGAATATTGAATTCAATCATGGAGAGTGAACCAACTTATATATATGAACAATTATGTGTAACTAAGTACATCAATCTTGAATATAGATCAATAGGCAAAGCCTAGTTAACATCTCCAATCAACGCACAGAAGATCCAAATATTATTTCAAAATTTGTAGCACAGTTGTCCTAAGTAATCTGATCAATCTAAAATTTTAGCCTGCAATTTAACAGGAGCATGAAATTAGACATCTTCATACCGCTTTATAGAAAGTTAAATTGAAGACCAATTACCATTTCCAAGCAAATTAAATGCGATCGAGGGTCAGAATTCATAAAACTGGATAAACAATTCAACGTTATTCAACAATATCAGTTGAACAATGCTTAAGGTATAAAACAAAGTTGGCCATTGCGATAATTTTTTTTTCATCATATTCTTTAAACATCAAGACACCAACAATGATATTATATAGCTTAGCTAGTATGCCAATTGGTTAATATAATTAAACCATATTAATTAGTAATGGTATAAAAGTTATTATAATTCGTAATCTCAATATGTGACACATGTATCGAGTGATATTGTGTTTAAATTTAATGATTATCTACATGATGTACTTCTAGCTGAAAAATAAATCATTATATATTAAAAAATCAATCATCCCAGAGTACAAATTGAATTGAATCATGGAGACTGGATCAACTTTGATATATGTAATTGTGATAATTCATTATATCATTAATGTAGATATAATTCATTATATTGAAGTTGCAATTGTAAACCTGTGCGTGGATCATTGGTTGTCACGATACACGACAGTAGTTGGTTCAGCGTTATAGTTTAAACATAATGGTGAATGGTCATAGCCTTAAAACAGAAAAAAACAATTATGTGGCTTTATGAAGGAATTCCAAAAAATTTCACAAATATCAATTTTAATATGTGGTCAATAAACCATACTATTTAAAAGATTTTAGAATTGCAAAAGATTTGATCCAAAATTTTACGCGTTTTAAATAAATTTTCAACATTCGCGAATTCTTTTTTTAAATTAAATATGCATACTGCGTTTAAACAGAATTTATTTGATCTTTGAATTCTTGTTCTCAACATCATCATTCAGGTATTATTTGAAGTATTCAAAGAGATCTTGGTAGATTTATTCATCTTGAACATACTAGTGGTTTATATCCCTTATCACCACATAACAACAGTTTTAGCTCAACTTTCCACATACATTCCTTTAAGATCCAGGAGATCATAGCCCAAAAGTCTAGAACCAGCAGGTACTGGGTAAAATACAAAGTGTTAATATAACAAGGTCAACAAAATGCTAGAAATATCACATTCAATCAATACACCAACAAGAATATTTAAAAGAGAAACAGTTTCATCAGCTTCTGCTACAGGTACAGATTCAAATGGGTGTGTTCAATGTGATGAAGCCCCAACATGTCCAGATTGTGGTCCAACTGGTGATTGTATCCAAACAGTTCAAAGTTGTACCCAGTGTCCCAAGACTTATTGTAGATCAATAACAGGTAGTTCATCATCTGGTCCAAATGGCAAAACTATTGGTGGATTAGCTGGTGGTATTATAGGTGGTTTAGTTTTATTATTAGGTTTAGGTACTTTTTTATTTTATAAATATTATTGGAAAAAAAAATTAGTTTTCAATAGAGTTAAACATAAAGAATTTTATTTTGATGATGATATTGAAATTAATTTCCGTCATCATAATATTGATGAACAATTACCAAATCAAAATCAATCTTCAAGAAATTCTTTAGCTACTACAATGTTTACAAGAGCTTCAAATATAATTCCTATTGCTTATATCCCAGGTGTTACTATAGGTCCAAATGCCAATAAACCAGCAAGTGATAGTAGAGCTTCACAATATTCAGAAGCAAATACAATAGATTCAGAATTAATCGGTGATAGATATAGTAAAGCTTCCATTATAGGTAATCCATCACAAACAACAACAGCTATAAGAGCAAAACCTAAATTAGTCAACATTCAAGATCAACATGGAAACAATATAAATCCAAATCAAGATTCTGTACCAAATACAGCAGTAAGTGCTTCACAATTAGGTGGTGTTCAAACTGTCAAGATCAAAGATAAGAAACAAAATCGTTATAATCCAGGTTTACAAACTGAGATTCTCGAGGAAGAAGAAAGTGATGAAGGTTCAGTTCAATTACAACCTCAAGATCAAACTAATTCCCAGGATTATGAACCATTCATCATAGATGATGATGATGATACCAATTCAGAAAAATCAATTGAAATAGGACAATCTACACCAGATGATAAAAGTATACGAACAAAAAGAGATTCAGTGGCTTCCAATGGGAGTGTTCTTCTTGAAGTGGAGATTGATAGGAATCCATTGAGCCCGTTTGATGATTCTTATGAACTGAATAGTAAGAGTGATTGAGATTTGTATAGAATTTGTTATGAACGTTTTTATTAGTTTTGAATAATTTTGTACTTTATATCTTTGGTAGGAGCACGCAAAATCTGAATGTTCGAGAAAAAAAAAGAAAAAAGAACCATCAAGATTTAACAAGATCTTTTTGACACCAACCAACTTTTCACTTTACGATTCTATAATCTCATTACTTTGAATATAATATATTGTTGTTAAAATGGTTGTTAATAATCCAAATAACTGGCACTGGGTCAATAAAAACTGTTTACCATGGTCAAAACAATACTTTATTGATAATTTAGAAAATTTAAAATTGGATAATGATGCTTATGTCATAACAATAACAAATTCATCAATCTCTGGAGATTGTGATGTTACTCAACGTAAAGGTAAAGTTTTATGTATTTATGATATGGTATTAAGTTTTGATGTTGAAGGTGAATTTAAAAAATCTGGGGAATCTATTAAAGGTAGTGTTAAAATTCCGGAATTTATTCATGATGAAGATGATTATGATTATCAATTAAATGAATTTGGTGATTATAAAGCACAAATTAGAAAAGAATTCATTCCTTTAATTCATGAAAGATTGATCAAGTTTCAAAAAGATTTGATTGATTCCCATTCAAAAGATGTTCAAGAATAAAAAAAAAGCTTAAATTAATATATACAGGGATTAATAGGGATCATCATATAGCTGTAATTAGGATCCAAAATCAACACCAATAGATAGTTTTATTTCTACATTATAAAGTATAGAATACACATCCAGCATTATTTATATATAAACACAAAAAAAAACAACAACATTCATTAATTCATTAACGTTCTCTATATAACCAAGAATAGCTTAAAATTTAATCATCAAATCCTTCAGGTACATCCTTTGCATGTTTTTTAAAATCTCTATTAACAACATAAGACCCACCAGTTGGGAAATCAACCCAAGCCCATGAACCATTCTGTATATCTTTAATAACTTTATAAGCATCAACACTACCATATGGTAACCCAGTTTTAGGATCAAAATACATTGCAGGTTTCCCACTAATTAAACATTGTTTCTTATTACCATTAGGTAAATGAATTCCTGATGGTGATTGAGTCTTTAAAACAATTTTAATATCTTTTCTGGTTTCCAAGATGACTTGTTCTTTTTTAATTTTATTATATTCACCGAATTTAGGGAAACTTTGTAAGATTTCAAAATTTGGTAAATCGTCAAGATCTGTATTGTTTGAAGAAATTTGGGAATCTTGATCATCCGATGCACGTACTTTATATATAGTTTCAACATCTGTAGATTTCCTTAATGGACCTAATAATGATTGTGAACCAAATAACAAGGTTTTAATTTCATCAATTGAATATTTTTTGGTTAATTCCTCGAAGGATATGAAATTTGCACCAACTTTTTGTGGAGGTCCTTCAAATATAATTTTTGGTTGTTCTGGAATAGGTTCTGAAGTTTCACGAGATGATGATGGTTCTATTGATGGTTCTTTTGATTTTGATTCTTGATTAGATTCATCTTTTTGATCAGGTTCATCATCTAAGAATTTGACTGATTTGATTGGTTTGACTTCTTCAGGTTCTTCAGTTTTGATTTCAGAAGCTGAATCTTTTGTAAGTTCACTTGATTCTTGATTTAAAGGTTCAGCATCATCAATTTTGATATCACCATCAGTATCTTTATTTTCATTAGGCACTTCAGGTTTATCTTCAGTTTCGTCTTGTTGTGTGGCATCATCTTGTGATTTATCATGATTTGTAGATGTTGCTTTAGCTTCCTCAGATTCAGCTTTATTCTCGGTCTCTTCCTTCTCAGTCTTTGCTTCATCATCTTTACGAACCTCTTCATCAACCTTTTCATCATCTTTATGATCATCTTCATGATCATCCTCATTAATTTTTTCTTTCTTTTCTTCATTAAATTCCCTTGGTGTAATTAATAATATTTCATTATCACTACTTTCTGGATCTGTAATTTTGAATTTTTTATGATCATTTTCATCTTCATCTTGATCTGTTGATAAAAGTCTTTTTTTATCATTTGTTTCATCTTTAGATTCTGTTACAGTATCATCTTCTGGTTTTGTAACATCTTTAGATTTTGTTACAGTTTCAACTTCTGATTTTGAAACATCTTCTGAGGTTGATTCTTTATTATCTTGATAAATCTCAGTATCTTGTGATGTATCATCTTTAGACTCTTTAGGAATTTGTGATTCATTTGTATCTTCATCTTTCACAGTAGAATCATTCTTTTCATCACCTTCAGATTTTAATTCGGATTTCAATTCATCAACTTTTTTCTCGTCATTCTTCTCTAATGGACCACCAAATCCAATTGGTTCAACTGTACTTTCTTTAGATTCAGGAGGTACAGAACTATCAGGTAATTCTAAATCTTTCAATTTTTCCAAATTTTCTTGTCTTAATTTTTTTAATTGTTCAGGACTTGAAATTGGTGATTTTGGTTGAATAATAAACATTGCAGCTCTTTTCTTTCTTGCTTCTTCCAAAGCACGAGCTTCTTCTTCTTCTCTTTTTTGTTTTTCACTTTTACGACCACGTCTATCTCTTTTCCTTCTTATGGTATCTCTATTCATTAAAAATCTTTCTAATTCATGTTCTTCAACTGGTGTAACAAAAATTGGCATTGTTTTATATGATATGATATTTTCTAATTTTTTACGTTTACTTAATTGTAAAGCACGTTGTTTCTTTTTCTTATCAATTTCTTGTTCTTTATATTTATTTAATGTTGAAATATTATATTTTTCAGTTTCTAAAGCTTCTTTTAATCTTTCCTCTTGGGTTAATTCAACATATTCAACTCTAGCAACAGGTTTTATACTTGAACGACGTGCTTCATCTTCTTTTAATCTTTCCACAAGATCCATTTTATTTTGAACAGCAGTCATTCTTGATGATTGACGACGACTTAATGATAATAAAGTATCAGCTTTTGGTTGATCAATTGGTTTTTTCTTTGATTTTGATGTAGTTTTCTTTTGATTGATGATTTTGGGCACTTGTCTAGCCTTTTTCTGGGCTTGACGTTTCTTTGCACGTTCTTGTTTTTGTAATTCTCGTTCACCTTCATCTGAATCGTCTTCACCAGAATCATCATCTTCTGAATCACTAAACATATCATCATTGTCCTCTACTTGTCCTGTATCTGAATCATCATCATCACCGCCTTGTTCATCTTTGCCATCTTCCTTGACACTAGCTGATCTAGACCTTGATCTGGGTCTTGATTTTGATTTTGCACGAGTATCATCATCATCGTCATCATTGTCATTATCACTATCACTTCCAGCTTCATCATCACCACTTCCATCCTGTTCCTCACCTTCTTCACCTTCACTTCCTTGATAACCATATCTATCCTTATCACCAACCTGGAACTCAGCATCGTCATCATCTTCTTGGAATAACAAATCAATCTCGTTCTCATCCTCGTCGCCATCGTTCGCAATTTCTTCGGCCTTCAACAATTGCTTCAACCGCGATCCTGCGTTGGCTCTCCGTTGCCTCGTCTTTGTCAAAAGCTCTTCGTCACTCATTGTCAGTGACTTCTTTTTTCCTTTGTAATTGGAGTTGTTGATGTTTTGATTGATTCTTTTTTGTGATGATTTGTTGATGTGTTGAATTTTTGAAATGTTGATGGAGGGCATAAAAGATTTTTTCGCGTATAGAAATAAAATCAACAATCTTTCAAGCCAGGAACTTTAACAGCAAGATCTTCAAATCAGATTGAAACAACAAACACACAGAAATGCTTCCAATAAAGAGACAATTGAGGTCTTTGCCTCTCAAGAACTATGTCATTAGAGCTCTTTCTACATCAAGACCTTCTTTGCATTTCCCTATAGATAAAAAGACATCAACTTCACAAGATGAGATGGATCATTTTAATCAATTGGCTTCAACTTGGTGGGATGTTGATGGACCTCAAAGAATCTTACACAAGATGAATTTATTACGTATGGATTTCATCCAAGAAACATTAAGAAATTCCATTGATTTAAATCAAGATGTTGAATCTCCAGATGAAGAAATTTATATCCCAGGTTATAATATTGATTTACTACCCAAACCAATTGCAGAACAAATCATAGCAGAACAAGAATTGAAAAGAGAAGAATTGGTTAAATCTCAACCTAAATTAAAAGCATTGGATATAGGATGTGGTGGTGGTATTCTTAGTGAATCTTTAGCAAGATTAAAACAAATTGAAAGTGTTAAAGGGGTAGATTTATCAACTGATGTTCTTGAAGCTGCCAAATTACACCAAAGATTAGATCCTTCTTTACACGATAAATTACAATATCGATTATCTGCAGTGGAGGATATTTCAAAAGATGAACAATTTGATATAATAACAATGTTTGAAATGTTGGAACATGTTAATTATCCAAATGAAGTTTTGAAAAGTGCATTAGGTCATATTAAACCAGGTGGTTGGTTATTCATTTCCACTATAAATAGAGATTTCATTTCTTGGTTTACTACAATTTTCATGGGTGAACATGTTTTGAAAATTGTTCCAGTGGGGACTCATCATTTAGATAAATATATTAATGAAACTGAATTACAAGATTGGTTTAAAGAACAAAAGGATTTTAAAGTTGCTAATAGTAAAGGATGTATTTATTTACCATTTAATGGGTGGAGTTTTACTGATAGTCCAAATGTTGGTAATTTTTTCATGGCTATTCAAAGAACTAAGTGATTTAAAGACACAAAGCTGAGTTTCAATCTTGTGTAAATAGTTTCAAAAATGTATCAGCTCTGAAAAGTCCACGATCCATTCTGTAGTACATCAACATGGTAATCAAAACTGGATTGATCTGATAATTGTACGTACTAAAAGTTTCATGCGTTTATACCACTAAGATGAGATCGCCCAACAGGGCTGCTAACTTGCAACTCTTAAGTCAATTTTACAACCGTGCTGGACCGAAGTTCGAACTAAATTAGCGTAGGATTGACGGCTCAAGGCGTTTAAATTACAGGTTTCTGGTGTCATTTTGAATGAAAATGCTTTAATTGGAATTGAATTGAACTATTTAAAAAGAGTTGATATCCATGGTGAACTAATTTGATATTTCAATTACCCAACAACCACCAACCGTATCACCAACCAGCCAGATGCTTCCTACATTGATCGCTTTATATTGTTCAATACTCACTTTACCATTAGTTTGTGGTCGACCACCAATTAAACTTCAAACAACAACTCAAGAACCATTAACATTCACATTGAACTTGACACAATTCATTCACTGTACCAACATAACCAGAGATCAAGTATCCGTATGGAAAGATGCAGATGAATCCCCTTTGATTACACCAAACAATGAAACTTCTAATTATGATGAAGATATTTGGTTAGATTGTGTTGCAGAGCAAGATGTTGGTGCTTTAGTATCTGTTAGTGATGGAACTTATTTTGAAGATTCTGATACTAATGTTGATCAAGAATCAAAAGATATATTAAGATGGAAAGGATTTCGTTATTTTGTAGCAAATCCTGATGAGCTTTTATTAGATAGAGATGTTCCTTTGGTACCTGGTATATTTGGAAATGTTTTCGATACAGCTTGTGCAGTGTGTTGTGAGGGGGAACAAGGTCAGGCATGAATATTTCAACCAGCTCTTTTTATCGTGTTGATCAAATAGGCTGAGATCAGTTAGGTTATCGTAACTTATTAGTGCACTTTCATTCGTATGTACTCAAATCTAATCTATAGTTACATAAGGTAAATATATCGTATTTATATGTTAAACATCGGCCAGTAATAACATAATCTTTCTAACCACATGTAGTTGTACTAGTCAATTTTGACATGATTTCAAAGCACAACTAAGGACATCCAGATTTGCAATGATATTATAGACATCCTCCAGATTTTACTGATCGACGGCCAGTGTAACTAACACCAAACCATGGTATATATAAACAATCTAAGATCTAACCAATTACATCCTAGGAGATAGGTGAAAAGTTAAAACCCAATAAAGTACCGAATCATATTTGAAAGGAGATTTCTACTATCAACAAACATCAACTCCCAAATCATGCTGTATACATTAATCACCCTTTACTGCACATTACTGACTTTACCATTAGTCAATGCATCGGGAAGATCGTTCACCGTTGTACCAACAAGCCAAGAACCATTGTTATTAACACTAAACTTGACACAATTTATTCAATGTGCTAATACCACAAGAGATCAAGTAACTGTGTGGAAAAGTGGATGTGGGGATTATTTACTTATGCCAAACAATCAAACTACTAACTATGATGAAGATGTTTGGTTAGATTGTGTTGATCAGCAAGATGTTGGTGATTTGGTAGCAATAAGTGATGGAACTTATACTGAAGATTTAACTAATGTTGATCAAGAATCTGGTGATTTCTTATCCTGGAGAGGGTTTCATTATGTTGCTGCAGATTATTCTTCACATTCAAATTCTCATTCACACTCATCAAAGAACTATGCTGTGGTATTATTTGTGATGTTTTTGATATTTCAAATAATTACAAAACTGAAGATTCTCTATATGAGAAATCATGGACATATTGTCCAGTCTCTTGAGTGGAACTACAAGGCTATAAATGAAAACATTATTGGTTACAAACTCAATTTATATGAAATTTATCATATATCTAGACCTCAATATTAACAATTGTGATATATCAATCCTTGAGGGTTGCATTACATAACACTTGAACCATAACTTGGTGGAAGTTCATCATTATTACCATTGATGTTATAATTTAAATAACCAGGAATCAATGCAATCAACCTTTTATTATGGGGTTCAGATAATAAATCATTTGATATCATATAATTTAAATGTTCCAGAATAAGTTGATAATTTTGTAATGTTATTTTTTCACCCCAACATACCATAATTTTAAGTTGATCTTTATAATTAAATTCATATGCTTTAACTATATGATCATATGAACCATGTATTTCATATTCATCTGACATAAGATATGTAACTAAGCTCTCTAGTAAGGTTCTTAAGGGTAAGTATGAATCAATATTGTGGTTTTGGACCTGTAAAATATTTATATATAGCTTATTTTTTTCAATCATATCTAAACCACTACCAAATAATTCTGTATTCAAAAATTCAGGTATATCACCATGGCAATTTTTGATTAAACTCGATAAGACTTCAATTGAGAGATCTTTGGGATCATACCCTGGTATAGAATAAAATTCCACTTTATATGACTGTACTGATGACTCATTAACTTTTCTCCATTCCATTGAAATATATTTGTAATTTAATGTAAGTTCTTTTAATGGTTTAGGAATTTCTTCAAGCACATTAATCAGTTTGTTATTATCCTTGTCTTTATAGAAACTATTGAAAGTCTCATGTTCTAGCTTAAAATGCTTTGGTGATTTGGCAAGTAATAAGTTATTAGCTAATATAGAATGCTTAGATTTAGATAATTGTCTAGACCGTAATTTTTCATATGAGCCCGCAAAGATTTCAATTATATATCCTGATTTTTGAATGATCATGATGTGTATATTATATAGATGATACTTCAACGAGATGTTATATGGATAAAGTACGTTTGATTAAAAGTGATTTTAACTAATTTACAATGAGCTGTTTATCTATAACATATATATATTTAAATCAACAGCCTAGCTGAACCATGTGAGATCTTTATTTAAAATTCTCATTCATCAAATGTTTGTATACTATATATAAAATTTTTAAACTTCTCATATTAATCAGATTAACTAATTAACTCAGAAAATTAGATGGTCTTCAGTACCGAACGTTTATACGATTATACTTAAGTGATTGACATGATTTTGGTGCTTATTAAATGACTCAATTTTTCAACCATCTAATTCATGAATAATACTTTCAATAAACTCAAACTGTTCTATTCTATGTATATCACGCTCAACATAAAATCCCTTCAAATCAAAAACAACTTGTTGTTCACCATCATTATATAATGGCCACTCTGGGACTTCAACTTCAAAACCTCTTCTTTCTGAATGTGATCTAGGATTTGGATTCAAATCATTAATGAAAAAAATCCAAAGTTTTGAAAGTGTATCAGAAATTCCATAAACTTTATTATTAACTTCATTTGACTTTTTTAATGATTCGTTATTATTGAAAACATATTGAACTTCTTGACCATGTGTTGAACCTTTATAATAATCTTCTCCATTGGTTTCTAGATTTGGGATGTTGAATCTATACTTATAAACTGGTTGATTTAGATTAACATAAGCTTGAGCCGTGATCTTGGTTGCTGCTATATACAAGACATCACTGTTTAACGTTGTTAAGGTCTTATACTGATCTCCTATTGAATCTGGGTACTTTATTGGGCCTTTAGCATAATTTGGATCAGTTGGAGTTATTGTACCTGGTTTATTTGGATATAAAGCAATCAATTTATCAATTGAATTAGATTTCAAGTTTGGATAGAGCGTTCTAAGATAATCTTTAGATTCTTGCACCGATCCAATGGATACATTTGTGAAATAACTACCTTCATCACTATTTGTACCAATTAATAATGGTACATTCCATGTAGTATTACCAGCTTTAACCGTATTATAACCTGAGTCTGGTACAACATCATTATCAATACTTGGGAACTTGAACTCTCTTGAAATGATTCCATTACTGATATTGAATGCTTTTCTTAGATCATCAGCATCAACTTTTTGTAAACAACTCAAGGCATCTGTATTATTATAATTTGATTCACAATTAAAATATCTTACAACATTATCAAAACTTTCTTGATTTGAGGTTGTAACCCCCTTTTGAACATTAACGAAAACATTAGCACCACTTTCCAAGATACCACCTTTAATATATGGACCTAAATATTTATTATTGTTCAATAATCTCCCTACTGATTTCCCACCAGCTGATTCACCCCATAATACTAAATGATTTGGATCACCACCAAATGATTCAATATTTTCATGAACCCATTCAACAGCTTTAATCTGATCTCTAAGACCAATATTTGTCCAACCTTTCTCAACAATCTCATTTGAATTCAAAAACCCAAACCCATTCAATCTATAATTAAACGAAACAAATAATATTGGTTTTCTTAAAATTTCAGATTGTTGAACAATAAAAGACCCATTAAACAATGAATAAGAACTTGATAAATGATCAAAAGAACCACCATGGATCCAAATAACAACAGGTAACTTCTCCCCATAATAACCATGTGGCTTTACAACATTCAAAGTAAGACAATCCTCAGACTGTGTAGCGTTCGAAACTGATTTAGTAGCTGAATAACAAGCATCACCATACTCTGTAAAAGATTTAATACCAGACCATGTTGTGTTATATGATTGAGGCGGTTGGAATCTTAATTCATTTATTGGTGGTTCAGCAAATGGGATACCTAAAAACACGTCTTGGTTGAATCTAGGTAAGTGATTACCAGAAATTGTACCATTTTGTAATTTAACAATTGGTGTATGAACTTTTTGTATTATTGATGAAGCATTTGATAATATTGATAAGTACAATATGATACATGGGTATAATAGATACCAGTTCATCTTAATGGGTTTTATCTGTAGCTCATCTTCAAAATGGATTCGTTGATCATTAATTTGCGATTTGGGTTCATTGTGATTGTTTATATATCAATTGTTAGACTTGATGATTGCATTGTCTTCGAAGATATCCACAGTTATAGAAAAAATTTATTCCCGGTCCGAACTGACGATCCTCAATCTGTACTCAGATGATAGATCTCGATAACTAGTTTTCTAATGAACTCGGTGGACAACTACAAAACGTTACTACAGACAAATTTCAGTCTAGCAAAATAATATTGTATATAATTGTTAAAGAATAATATTTAGAATCAAAAAAAATATATAAGAACATCAATTAATAGTTGATGATCACGAAGTTGAATAAATAAATAGATAATATAGTATCATCATGAAGAATTGACATCAATCAATAATCATTACTTCACACACAACACCCCAAGTAACAATCTAAAATGAAAGATCAACACCACGGTTCTTGGCTGAACGTTGAACCAAATCTTTAGTGAATTGATCAGTTGGTTTTAATGATTCTAAAGTATTGATGTATTTGTTTAATGTTTGATCTTGATCTTTATTTGAAGGTTGTGTAACAGTTGAGCCAGCACCTGATGCAGCATTCTTATTGACACCATTGAAAGCAACTCTATTTGGAGTGTTTCTGTATTTGATTGATTTCAAAGTACCATTAGAAATAGCACCTTTAGTTGATAAAGTAATGATTTTTTCTTGAAGGTCACCAGGCAGAACACCTTTTTCTAATAAAGTAGCAGCTAATCCTGCAACAATTGGTGAAGCCATTGAAGTACCAGAAAATTTAACAGGATTTTTAAAATCATTAATGTTTAATGAGTCAACATCAACACCTGAAGCGAAAACATCAACTTTGGAACCATAGTTTGAGAAAGTTGCAATTGTATCAGTTCTATCATCTAATGCACCAACAGTAACAACTAATTCTGCACTGGCAGGACTAAATAATTGAGCATCTTGGTTTGAATTACCAGCTGCAACAACAACAGCTAAACCACCTTTAACAGCTTCATTGACAGCATCATTGATTGGACCACTGAAATAAGAACCTAATGATAAGTTTGCAACAGCTTTAGAACCATTCTTCTTTTGATCTTTAAAAGCCCATTCAATACCTCTTAAAATAGTATCAAGAGAACCAGAACCATCTTTGTCCAAGACTTTAACTTCAACTAATGTAACATCTTTAGCAACACCATAAGTCTTTGATCCAATAAGACCAGAAACATGGGTACCATGACCTGCATTGTCACCATCACTTTCATTACTAACAAAGTTAGCACCTCTTTTAGCTCTACCTTCTAATTCTGGATGTTCAATGGCAATACCAGTATCAATAACGTAAGCAACAACACCTTCACCTGTAGTATCATAAGTATATTTGAATGGTTCTTTTTGTAAAAACAACCCATCTCTTGAAGATAATCTAGCCAAATGTCTTGGAGCATTATTTTGAACTTGAACACCATCTTCTTCAGTATCTGAATCATCATCATCTTTTGGTTCTGAAGATGGAGAAGCCACGGCTTGACTTAAAGTTGTTGTATCAAAGATATTAAATTTGGCATTTGGGAAAACATCATTAATTAAAGGACTTTCTAATAATTGAGTAACCAGATTGTCTTCAAAATCAGCAACATAAGCTTTAAAATTCCCAATTTCTATAGTTGAACTTGTATCTGAAGCCTTGATACCTAAAGATGCAATTAATGAATTTTCCAAAAACTCAGTGAAAGTTGTTGTATCTTTCAATTGAACCACAAAGGGTGAAGCGGCTAAGATGGATTGGATCAATAACAGGATAGTTGTTGTTTTTAACCACATTGTATAATAATATATCGTTGACAATGATGATGGGGTTTAGGAATCTAAATGGAATTATAATTTTGGGATTCAAAGGATTTAAATACCACAAATTTTCGATATCCAACTAATTAATTTGGTCTTTGGTTCCACAAAAAGAATAAATTCATGATCTAATATGATGAAATGTCAAAAACAACACCAAATTCAAGCCACCAAAAACTTCCAAATTCCAGTACCCAATTGTTTGTACCTTCTACCGATCTGAACATCTGCTTATCTTGCTTGCGAACTGGTAAATTGGCCTTTGATCAACACGAATCCTCTTGTCTAAATTTCAGCTCGACGTTTATCCTCGTAGATCTTACCCCCGAACCCTTAATTTTAAAGCTGGTCTTCGGTTAATTGTGCTTTTGTGTCAATCAACTATACGCGTGGAGATCTTGATCTGTTGACTTTTGGAATTTGACTATGATCAGATACACAGCTTCAGCTTATTACACACATTGATTAGAAGGCATGTCACTGAACTCTGTACAGAAGATTATGGTGGTGATGTGGATAATGGTAGTTCGCCACTTGAATTAATCAATTTGTTGATGTTTTTTTTATTGTTTTGATTTCCGTTCCCCTTTCAACGAAACGCATAAATACGCGTCATTGAAGTTAATGGTACGCACAGCAAACATAGTAAGTAATACTAAATTCAAATTGTCATAGATCTAATTTGAGCTTTTGACTATATATTATCGTTTATACTGAATAATAGTTTAGGTTAAGGTCATTAGTTTTAGTATATGAAGATAGCAATCATATATTAATGTAATGATTCCTAAGCTGATCAATGATGGCAACGACGTACCCAATTTATATGATCTTCTATATCAATGTATCTAATTAAGCTTTCCAATACATGACAGTGATTCATTGTGTGTAAATTGGTTTTGACCTAAAGCAGTTTGTTAAGCTTATATAGATCAACATGAATATAATGGCTTCAAACTCCATCAGATCTTCGTATTATATAGCGCGCTTAATTACACACATTTGGATCTCTGATCGATTAATAGATCTATCTAAATATATGCTATTGATCGTAGATTGAAAAGTAATTGTAATACTCATGTCATAAGTTTAAATAAGAGTTTGGGTGAAGCTTGTGAATATCCATAAGATTCAAAGTATGAATACATGATATATATGTGCCATCATTGAGTCCTCTTTGAACCCTTACTGAGTCCTCATACTAGATATATAAAAAGACAAATTGATAGGAAACATGAGACAATGAGATGTGGATCATTAGTAATGTCTTCGAACTAACATTAGCTCTTAATTGTGGAGTCTAGTAATCATTGAGCCTTCACAATACATTTGAAAGATTCACATTCTAAATGAACATCGAAGGTCTCCAGCGCCATAGTACATCCCACTAATATTCTATATATTACATCAAAGCTTAGCTTTCATTAGATAAATGATCATTGAAGTGATACATGTGTTGAATCTATCTGAATTTAATTCTTAATTATCAGCATCAGTATTCAGTAATATAATATCATCCTAAATGTTAAGACAGCTCAAAGTATCACCATAACATCTATTCATCTACAATACCAAATCAGTTGTCTGATGTTATTTGGACACTCATGAGCTATATAAAGATATAATTATGCCAAAACTTGTCCAGTGTCCATTAAATAGTCAATATCAGCTAAATTAATGGACATCGACGTGTCTTGTCCTTCGTGTCTTAAATCTATTAATTTGGTCAAGTGACAAATGGACAATTATAATCAGGGTCGACGTCACACAGTGAACTATCAGACTTGTCCTGTCTTTTTAATTAATAAATAGATTCAAAATTTTGTCACTGTATATATTAATGTCTAAGTTATTGTTTTGTCTAAAAATTAGCCGCTATGTCTTGATCTTTAATTGCATGTCAATCACGCACAAAAATTATGATAATTTGATTCACCTAAACAACAATGAATAAGATTAAGCAATTGCATGACATGAAGCATAATTCAAATAGTGCATATTTTGGGAAAGTTTAAAGATAATAAAGTTCACGATGATTGCATAAACATTCATGGTATTTATGTATACTGATGATATTTAGATCCTGCATATAAACTTTATGCACATGAAACCTAAAGCTTGATTTCAGTAATATTATGTACCTTGATTACAATCACCCAGATACACTGCTGAAAGTAACATATATTTCTGGATCAGTTCCTCTAAATTTATAAGTTTCAAACAGTTCAAGAAAAGCACATGGGGGTTCCATTTTATTTTAGTATGTTTAATTTACAATAATATTACACATAATTAACAAGGAAATTAACAAATCATGAAACAATAAACTTCAAAATTAATATATATAATCTAACAGAAATTTAAATCAATTACCAATAAATTCACGCAAGTCTTCATCTTGCTCCTGAGTTGATGGATCATCAATTTCATCATCAGTACTTTCAACACCATTGTTAGCAACTCTATTAACAGTATTATCATAATCACTATTATTTTCAAAAGTTTCTTCAGAAATTGCATTCTTTGTTGATAATTTGATAATTTCATCCTTCAATTGATCTTTAGAGATACCTTTTTCTAATAAAGTAGCAGCAAGACCTGCAACAACAGGAGTAGCTTGAGAAGTCCCATAATATTCAGTTGGTGGACCAGTGATCTGTGAATTCAATGATTCAACAGCAACACCTGAAGCGAAAACATCAACATCTGGACCATAATTTGAATAGATTGCAATAGTATCTGATCTATCATCTAAAGCACCAACTGTAATGACGTTTTTAGCACTTGCTGGACTATAAGTTGAAGCATCTTTATTTGCATTACCAGCAGCAACAATAACAGCTAATCCATCATCAAAAGCAGCTTCGACAGCTTGATCTAAAGCTTGACTTTTTTGACCACCAAGAGATAAATTAGCAACAGCGCTTGAAGATTTATTCTTACGATCATTATTAGCCCATTCAATACCTTTTAAAATAGTCTTGGTATAAGTAGTACCACCATACCCAAACACTTTAACATCAATAATTTCAACATCTTTGGCAACACCATATGTTTTGGAACCCAAAATACCTGCAACATTTGTGCCATGACCAGTTTCATCTTTACTAACTGGTTCATTTGAACCACCAGCTAAATTGACACCATATTTAGCACGACCTTCAAAATCTGGGTGTGTAACTGAAATACCCGAATCAATAACATAAGCTGTAATACCTTTACCAGTTTCTTTATAATTATATTCTAAAGATGATTCATTGAAAATACCACTTCTTGATGATAATCTTGCTAAATGTCTTGGTGCGTTACTTTGAGTAGTAACACCATCATCTCTTTTATCAAATACCGATTCTGATCTTTTTTGAAGAACTTGTCTAGATCTTTTTGGAGTCTTATGAGTTAATGCATTAGTTGGGGTATCAAAGAGACTGATTTCAGCATTTGGGAAAATTGTGTTAACAATTGGTAAACTTAATAAATGATCCAAGATGTTATCTTCAATTTCTGCAACAACGGCTTTAAAATTACCAATTTCAATAGTATCATCCTCACTTGTGTTTAAGTTTAGTCCATTTATAGAAGAACCTTGGGCTGAAAATTCACCAAATGTTGATTGTGTGTTCAATTGAATGATATGACTTGAAGCAGCAAGAGCAGTTTGAGCAATCAAAGCGAGAGTAGATAATGGTAACCACATAACGAACGAAATATGTTTTCACTGGGTGTGGATTAAAAGCAAATTCATCTAGTTGTTGAAAAATGGGAATTCTGGACGTTTTATAGACGTTGTATTGAAATTTTTAGCTCCAATCAAACTCCACTAAACATTCAAGCTTTATACGATTATCTCATCATTTCACAATACAACTAGTGTCAATCAATTGAAAAATGTAAACAACAGCGAATCAATAGCACACAGCTATGCGAACTTGCAGATTTTATCGAGGAAACCACTCGAAATATTCGGCTATTGCACAAACATGAACCCACAGAGCGTATTCTAGACCTTAAACCACACTTTTATCAACCAAATAACAACATAAAGTATGCTTAATCACTTGAAAAGCTCTCCATATTTGATGAAATTTTGACGCAATTTGAAGCATTCGAGTCTCGAAAGTTTGTGGCCTACACGGTTCTAAAACGCAAACAAGGGTCTTGCGCGAATTTCTTATGAGGTTACAATTCGCGGGTCCTCTGTGCTTATCTAAACATAATGTTTGTATTATAATTATATTAAAATCTATGTAGTAAAGTGTATGTAAAGAAGTGAATATGAAGTAAGTGATTGAAGAGACCAGCTCATTCAATATAGTCCTTCAAGGTTGAGTCTTGAGTTGCAGTGGAAGGATTGGAAATCTTGTCACTGGAATCGGAATTAACACCGTTGTAAGCAACTCTATTAACAGTGTTATCATAATTAGAGTTATCATCATAAGTTTCTTGAGAAATGGCATTCTTAGTGGATAAATCTATAATCTTTTGCTTTATATCACCAGCAGATGTACCTTGTTCTAATAATAGTGCTGAAAGACCAGTAATGATTGGTGTAGCTTGTGAAGTACCATAATAAGCAATTGGATTATTGAAATCTTTATAATTTGTTGATTCAACACCAACACCCGAGGCAAATATATCAACTCTTGAACCCCAATTTGAAAAAAGTGCAATGGTATCAGATCTATCATCTAATGCACCAACAATTATAGGTTCTTTAGCACTTCCTGGTGTATAACCCGAGGCATCTTTGTTTTTATTACCAGCAGCAGCTATGACTGGAATGCCTTCATCATACGCAGCATTTAGAGCATTATTAACAGCTTGGTTAATATCTGCTTGAATTGAAAAGTTGATAACAGCTTTAGCACCACTTGTAGAATTCTTGAAATCATTCGTAGCCCATTCAATACCTTTCAAAATTGATTCAACAGAACCACCATTAGTTCCCAAGACTTTAACATCAACGAGGGAAATACCTTTAGCAACACCATATGTTTTAGATCCAATAATACCTGCGACATTAGTACCATGACCTGCATTATCACCATCGGATTCATTAACAAATGTCTTTCCTAATTTAGCTCTATTTTCAAAATCTGGATGCTTAATTGCAATACCAGTATCCAAAACATATGCTGTGACACCTTTACCTAATGAATCATAATTGTATTTCAAAGATCCGCTAGTGTTATATATACCATGTCTAGATGATAATCTTGCCAAATGTCTTGGTGCATTATTTTGTGTATATTTACCAGCAGAGGTAGTAGCTTCATTTGAACCTTGAGAGCTAACAGAATCGTTCCCACTTGAGCCTTGAGCAGCAATTGAAGGACCTGGAACACCAACACTAGTAGATGATTGTGGTGATAAGACGGTAGTACCATCTGGCGTTGAACCTTGATCTTCATCATTACCCAAGTTGATCTTAACATTTGGGAAGATTGCTTGAATTATAGGGTCATCTTTCAATTGATCAATAACAGATTCTTCAAATTCACCAATAAATGCCTTGAACCCACCAATTTCGACAGTATTATCAGTTGTAGCTTGTAATTTCAAAGTTGTCACTAAAGCTTGATTTAAAAAATCTTGTATAGTATTCCCGGTATTAAGTTGAACCACAACGGAAGAACCAGCAAATATCACTTGAACAAACAAAGCAAGTATGGTCAACGAAACCCACATCTTGTAGTTATTTGGGAAATCATATTGCAAAATAGTTTGAAAACAACTGGATTGTACAATCTCTTTATACTGGTGATTCAAAATCCATTGATCGTATATAATACATTGCAATACGCGTGAAAAATTAAATTCTCAAGGCAATGAAAAAATCTTCATGGATCGCCAATGGTTCAGCTTCTATGTGCGTTATGACAGCACAAAGCCTTCAAAACCATCAACCAGTATACTTATCACAAACTGCTGTATGATCTAGTACTTGTTCCTGTAACTAAATGAAATGAAATAGGTTAGTAAATCATGGAAACTTCGAATTTCAACAAGCGAAATTGATTCAAGGTTTTAAATTACCAGCATTAACTCCATTTGGAAAATTACATGCATGTAGGACGATCTCTTGATGATCTTGTACTTGATTTGAAGTCATTGCTCGATTTTGATGGAAGTTTTAACAGCTTAAAAGGGGTGAATACTATCAATGAGCATGCTTTATAATGACTATAATATAAGTAATGATATATCTGTGAAAGCCCGGTCGTTTTTAAAGGGCTCACTTACCATTAATCTTTAAGAACAGCTCAAACCTGAATATTCACCAGCAAACTTCAATCACGACGTCAGAAATCACCTAGGATTACGCTTTACTAATGCTGTATGATTGACTCATATTGAGTTAGTCTGTACATGATGATTTAGCTTATGCTTGCGGTGATCATTACAAGCTTAAAAGGGTTTATATTATTACATGATAGCTTGTAGCTTGTTAATGAAAGGCAGTATAACTTGAGGTTCATGTCTCATAATTTGATGCAAGTGAACAAACCATGGTATGGTTCAAAGCTAGGGATATCAAACTTTATTTATCGCTTAAGGGTTGTATCTTATATCCATACGACTAGTTTACTTTCATGACACTGAGCTCTGATTAAACATACGTACCTTTCAATAATATGGTCAGTAATCGATCGATACATCAGTCATTTCAACACAGCTCAGATTCTAGCAGAATCTTAGATTCACGCCATCCGATTTGCATTCATATACAATTCCTTTCAGATCAGCATCTAAGCTCGCTAAGTTACCATCTGGATCTTTGAAATCTCAAAATCTCTAATTATTGCAAGTAATCGAGATCTCTTCTTTGTATATGATTGCTGGACGTAGCTACTAGCTGGCGGTCAATGTGCGCTTAGCGGAATACGAATTTCAGATGTAAACTAAACAAGAAGTCAAGTTTGACAGAAAGGGACATGAAATCTGGGGCTATAATTTAGGTTGTATATCATGGTTAAGTCAGACAATATATCGGTGGTTTGAGATAATATATACCTGATACTTTATATTAAGTTACGTCAAACATTAAACTCTAATGAATTTGAGGATATAGATTGCAGATATAATAATCTACATCATGTCAAATTAAAGAATTCTGAGATCGATCAAAGATCAGAATCAATTCATTGATTATGGGTATACGTACCTAACTAACATATCTCAATAATGATAAGTTTGGCTTTTTGGTTGATGGATTATCAATTTCATCATCTGTATCTTCAACACCATTATAACCAACTCTATTAACAGTATTATCATAAATTTGATTTTCCTCATAAGTTTCTTCAGAAATTGCATTTTTAGTTGATAATTCAATTAATCTATCTTTTAAATCATCTTTAGAAACACCTTGTTCTAATAAAAGAGCAACAATACCAGTGATACTTGGAGCAGCCTGTGAAGTACCATAAAATTCACTTGGTGGTCCAGTAATGTTATTATTTAAAGATTCAACTTTAACACCAGAAGCAAAAATATCAACTGGAGATCCATAATTTGAGAATGGTGCAATAGTATCAGTAAAATCATCTAAAGCACCAACTGTGATGATATCATCTAATCTAGCTGGACTATAATCTGTAGCATTTGCATTACTATTACCAGCAGCAGCGACAATGGCTAATCCGTCGTTAAAAGCAGCTTGAACAGCTTGATCTAAAGCATCACTTTGTGGTCCACCAAGTGATAAATTAGCAACAGCTGTTAAATTTTTAGATTTACGATCATTATTAGCCCATTCAATACCCCTTAGAATTGAAGAAATTGATGTGGTACCATAAGCACCAATAACTTTAACATCAATCAATTTAGCTTCTTTAGCAACACCATATGTTTTTGATCCAATAATACCTGCAACGTTTGTACCATGACCTGTAAGATCACTACTCTTGTTTTGAGAACCACCACCAGCAATATTTTTACCTAATGTAGCACGACCTTCAAAATCTGGATGTTCAGTTGAAATACCTGAATCAACAACATAAACGGTGATATCTTTACCAGTTTCTTTGTATCTGTATTCAAATGGACCAGATTCATTGAAAATACCTTCTCTTTGTGATAATCTGGCTAAATGCCTTGGAGCATCTTCTTGAATAGTGATACCATCATCTCTTTTATAAAAAGTTGAAGGTGATCTAGATCTTTCTAAGATTCTATACCTTTTCTCTAAACCTTCAGAGTAACGATCAGCTTGAACATCAAATAATTTAAATTCAGAATTTGGGAAAATTTGATTGATGAATGGAATTTTTTTCAAATTTTCTAATAAATCTTCTTCAAATTCTGCAATCAACGCTTTAAAATCACCAATTTCAATAGTATTGTTTTCATTTGGTTTCAAAAAATCAAATAACCCTGAACTTGAATCTGAACCTGAACCTTGTTGAGAAATTTCACCAAATGATTGACCACTGTGAAGTTGAATAATATGACTTGATAAAGCGAATGTGGTTTGTATGATTGAAATGAGTGTAATGAGTGGGATCCACATATTGATATTCTTTCCTTGATATCTTTGGAGTTGAAATAGGTTGGAACTTGGAAGTTTGAACCATTTGATATGTGGAAATAATGGGGCTTAAATATCTTATTTCAGGGTTTTATGAAGATCAACAGCATTAGCACTAAAATTTTCAAAACAAAAACAAACCCCTTTAAAACGTCATAGATTGTTGCAATAATAAACAATTAAAGAGAATGTGAAAATCTTTGCTTAGCCCTTAACATTCAGCACAAGTAGGAAAATACCTCGCTCATCAAACAATTACTATACCATGAAGTTACGTGATAGGAATAGATTCTTGTGGTAAGAGTGAGCCATGATTTATGGTGGAAAATGTACGTCAAAGTAAAGATATGTTTGCGCGAATGCACCGCGTCTTGAACTCAGGTACAACTGGAGAACTATTTATAGTAGATAATGAAACAGTATTAAGAATCGTTCATACTAATAGAGGCCTGGAGAGATAATATTCTCTGCTATAATTTGTTTGAGAGCTTAGATATATAGCGTACAAATTAATCTAAAAGTTTATGCTCTCCATATTTAAATATATGGTCTTTTAAAGTTTCGAGAATGTCATTTTGACTCAGACTGGTTTCTGGGGTAACAATGTGACAAATGATTAAGCTTAAATATTAGCTAGTGTATTTCGACTACTTTACTACAACTGTGTACTGCTAAATTGTAAAAGAATATTATTAGTTGGTAATTAAACGCTCCGCGAAGAAATGAAGTTATAAGACTAGAACAATTGGGTCATAGTGCATGATTCCAGATCATGGTGTGGTCGACTTTTTATGAATAATAGTATGTGGATGAAACTGTATAGCTGCCATCAACTATTCAATCATATTTTTCAAAGATTCATCTTGATTCTGAGTTGAAGGGTTCAAAATCTTATCACTGTCTAATAACGAAGGTAATGCACCATTATAAGCAACTCTATTAACAGTGTCTTTATAGTTTGAATTGTTATCATAAGTCTGTTGAGAAATTGCATTCTTTGTTGAAAGTTTGATGATCTGATCTTTAATACCACTTGGATTAGTACCTTTTTGTAATAGAAGAGCACCAAGACCTGCAACAACAGGTGTAGCTTGAGAAGTACCGTAATACTTAATGGAAGTTGAAAAATCAGCAGAGTTCAAAGACTCAACAGCAACACCTGGTGCAAAGACATCAACAGCTGGGCCCCAATTAGAGTATATAGCGATTGTATCAGATCTATCATCCAAAGCACCAACCAATATAGCATCTTTTGCACTTCCTGGTGTATAGTTTGATGCATTTTGATTTGCATTACCTGCAGCTGCAAAGACAATTAAACCTTCCTTAACAGCAGCACTTATAGCATTGTTGATAGCATCACTTTTTGGACCACCAACTGAATAGTTTAAGACAGCTTTCCCATTCTTACTCTTGAATTGCTTTGTAGCCCATTCAAATCCCCTGAGAATGGATTCAGTAGTACCACCATTTGAACCAAGTACTTTAACATCCACAATTGAAATATTTTTGGCAACACCATATGTATTAGATCCAATGATACCAGCAACGTTTGTACCATGACCTGAAGAATCACCATCTTTATCATCTACAAAATTTGCACCATGAGATGCTCTACCACCAAAATCTGGGTGATTAACTGCAATACCAGTATCTAGGACATAAGCTGTTATATCTTCTGCAAGGGAATCATAATAGTATTTAGTTGGTGTTTGACCTAATAGACTCTTGTTGAAAATACCTTCTCTTTGTGAAAGTCTTACCAAATGTCTTGGTGCATTTTGTTGAACATATAAGTTACCATCTAATAAACCCTGTGCTTCAAAATCATGATCTGAACCTGTTGAGTTATAACCACCTTGAGCAGAATCTGAAGGAGCACCAACTTCAGCAGTAGCACTTGCAACTGGTTCCAAAGTTGTGGTACCATCACCTGGTTTGATATCACTATCCTGTACAGCCTTATCATTGAAGTTTATAGCACCAATTTGTTCATTGGGGAAAATTGCTTGAATGATTGGATTTTTTTGAAGTTGTTCTAAGAAACTAGATTCAAAATCACCAACGACAGCTTTGAAATCACCAAACTCAATGACATTATTTTGTGAAGCTTGTACTCCAAATGATGAGACTAACCCTTGGTTTAAAAAATCTTGAATTGTATTACCTGTGTTTAGTTGAATAATGGAAGAATCAGCAACAATAGTTTGGGCTATTAGCGAAAGAATGGTTAATGGGATCCACATCATTGAGAAAATGTTGAGTTATAGCTTTGAATAACATCATTATCATACCCATTTCAAGACTTCAATATGGAAAAGATCTTGCTCTTATACTCCACAAGCTATCACAAGCTATAAACATAGCTTGTTAATTTTTGATCCAACTCCCTTAGCCAGCTGTTTCCATGCGTCATCAAAAAGAATACTTGATGTGTTTTGAAAGTACCAAAAAATGCAGCCTGCAATGCTCTGTTTATTGTTCTTTGTAGATCTTTCGCTAGACAAGAATGGTAAAGTACATACCTCAAGTACTGCTGGTTCTTGATAAAACCGGGATGGTTCAAAAATATATCAGGGTCAAAGCCTCTTGTCGGAACTTTTGTATGAAGGTAAAATTGAAACCAATAATTAAGAACTATAACCTCAGTGATACGCTAAGATATCAAAACACTGGTTGTAAACCACTATTTAAATCTCAACAACAGCTCGGAATCAAAACGATTTAGTGACGTTTTGATCAAACCTTTTTTCACCAGCGACGCATATAGAACCGCAAATCTTAACTTCATGAACAAGAAGGGAACCGAAATTGGGAAACTAAAGTAGCTGAAATTAGCAAGTATTGATTACTATTGAAAGGATAGTTCAGATTTTTTTGTGAGATCTGGTACGTCACCGTACAAGTAACGAGATTGAGATTGGTAAGATTGAAGTAGGATTCAAATCAGATCTAGTTTAACTGTGTAAACGTATGGCATATGACTACTAATATTGTAGATTGTTTGAAGATATAATGATTAAGTTTTGAAGAGTTTTGTTCTATAAAAAAAAAAAAGTGGTTATGGAATAAAGTTCTCTGTATCTCATTAGAGAAGACATAAGCTGGTATATATCACTAATAGTTTTCTTCGATATACTTTCTCAATGATTGGTCTTGAGATAAAGTTGATGAAGCATTAATCGTATCAAAAGTGTTTTCAATACCATTATAAACAACTTTATTAACTGTAGTTTTGTAATTTGAATTTTCATCATAAGTTTTCTTAGAGATCGCATCTTTAGTTGACATCTTGATGATTTCATTTTTGATTTGATCTTTAGGAACACCTTTTTCTAATAAAGTAGCAGCTAACCCAGCAACAATAGGAGATGCTTGAGAAGTACCATACCATTTGTTAAGATTTGGATTACCATTGTTACTAACAGAGACGACACCAGCACCTGAAGCAAAAATATCAACTCTTGAACCCCAATTTGAGAAACAGGCAATAGTATCAGTTTGATCATCTAAAGCACCAACAGCAATTGCATTTTTAGAAGTAGCTGGTGAAAACCCTTCAGTATCTTTATCAGCATTACCAACAGCAACAACAACTGATAATCCATCTTCGTAAGCAGCATCAACAGCTTGATTTAAGGCTTCATATTTTGGAGAACCAAGTGATAAATTAGCAACAGCTGTTAAGTTTTTTGACTTACGATCATTATTAGCCCATTCAATACCTTTCAAGATTGATTCCAATGAACCTTGACCATTTGAACCAAGAACTTTAATGTCAACAAGTTGAACATCTTTAGCAACACCATAAGTTTTGGAGCCAACGATGCCAGCAACGTTTGTACCATGACCATTGTTATCACCATCAGATTCACCATTAACAAAGTTTGCACCATGAGATGCTCTACCTTCAAAATCATCTTGATCAATAGCAATACCTGTGTCAAGAACATAAGCAGTAACACCTTTACCAGTTTCCCTGTATTTATATTCAAATGGACCATCTTTATTAAAGATTCCTTCACGCGAAGATAATCTAGCTAAATGTCTTGGAGCATTTGATTGAGTAGTAACACCATCTCTTTTAGCAAATGTTGAGTCACGTTGTGCATTTGGTGAAAGAACTGATCTTTTAACAGGATTTTTAGATCCAGGAGTAGCGTCCTCAACAGTTTCTGGAACAGGCGCAAATAAAGTGATATCAGTATTTGGGAAAATATCATTAACAAAAGGATCAGCTTTTAATTTACTTAATAAATCATCTTCAAAATCAGAAACAAAAGCTTTGAAACTACCAATCTCGATCTTATTCTTAGTAGAATCTGATTTTAAACCTAAAAGATCAGCAATTGATTCTTGTAGATAATCATCAAATGATTTATCACCTTGTAATTGAACAATAAATGATGAAGAAGCTGCTGAAACAGCTTGAGCAATTAATAAAAGTTGACAAATTGGGATCCACATTGTTAGTTGGAAATAAAGGAGTGACTGTTAATGTGAAATAAAGGAGTATATGTGTTTGATGATGAATTGAAATAGAGAACAACTGATAGTTTGATGAAGAATATAAGCTCCTTTTATAGACTTTTCTTTCAAAAATGTACCATCATCCTAAAGCAACTTATCAAGTTCTGGACTTTTAATTCTTATGACATTCCAATATTAATCGAAATATCATTCCCCTATATAACGTTGAGCATGCATCCCCCTGAAAATTATTAATTAATATATGTCACTTTAATTATTCAGGGCATCTTTAATGTAGTAATTCAGCATAATACTTGAAAATCCTTAGTTGTTCCGCTCATATACGGCCACATCACCTTTCAACAATCACCGAAATTTTCTCTGAAAACATCATATACTGTCTACCTGATATGATAAGTATAGTTTGGGTTCCAATTACAAGTCCTTAGGCTTTATTCTGACTTCATTTTCCACTTCAAAAATGGGTAAATTGTGAGGTCTGTATAAGGTGAACTCCTTTGAGATCTCAAAAAACAAAACATTACCAACGCAGTCCTTCAGTACCCAAAGGTCCAGAGCTGTGAAGACCATAAGATCTCGGTTTTTCAATAAACATTCAACAAAAGCTGCTAAAACAGAGCACCTTTATGATCATTGATCACCTATAATTTAAGCAGATGAGCATCATGTAAGCCTGTCCTCATTCTTCATCAAACGTAATTCTTCCTGTCGGCTTTTGGTAAAACCATTTCCCTTCAGAGTAATTAACATGTCCAGATTTGAATTTTAGCGTGTTCTTATGCACAGATTCTTATTTAATAAACCGATGTTGAATCATCTTGTGCCTTTAATCATGAAAAAATCCCAACTGATACAATGTAAAGCTTCAAATACCATCAGTTAAATCTGGAAAGTAAAGCATCAAGAATAAGTATCCAATAGAAACTATTTTTTAAATCAAATGTAGTCCGAATTCAGAACCAGTACCGTTAAAGTACTATTTAATTCCATTGAACATGGATAGAATTTTTGTCTAAGCTCATTTGACCCAATAATATTTTTCATCCTTGGGTTATCAATACACATTTAGTCTAGTTCTTGATTGGTATCTGTATGTTCTGATCTCCATTTAATACAGGTAATTCTAGTATGATTCATATGATCTTGTTTCTGAAACACATTTCTGAATGAAAATATAAAAATGTTTTGGTTCATTTGCTCAATGATATAAATGTTGAATTTATGGTGTTCGGGTTTACAAATAGACTTGATAATCAAAGAACTAATTTATATTGTTTCTAACGAATTATAAAGAATTGTAAAGAAGTGTAAAGGGGTATTTAAATTGTATCTATGAAAGTTTTGAACCTATTCCAAGTATTTACGTAATGATTGGTCTTGTTTCAAGTGGGATGGGTTGGAAATCTTATCTGGTGAATTTTCAATACCGTTATAGACAACTCTATTAACAGTTTGTGTATAGTTTGAATTATTATCATAAGTTTCTTGAGAAATAGCATTCTTAGTTGATAATTTGATCAATTCACTCTTAATATCACCAACAGATGTACCTTGTTGTAATAAGATAGCAGCTTGACCTGCAACAACTGGTGTAGCTTGAGATGTACCATAGTATTCACTATAACCATTTGGATATTTGTTACTTAAAGATTTAACATCAGCACCAGAAGCAAAGATATCAACTCTTGGACCCCAATTTGAATAGATAGCAATGGTATCAGTTTGATCATCTAATGCACCAACAACAATTGGTGAGTCTGCAGAACTTGGACTGTATAATTCTGTATTCTTTGCAGAGTTACCAGCAGCAGTTAAAACAACCAATCCATCTTTGAAAGCAGCATCAGCAGCTTGATTGAAAGCATCATTTTTCAAAGAATTCAAAGATAAATTGGCAACAGCTTTGATACCTTTCTTTTTACGATCATTATTGGCCCATTCAAGACCTTTCAAAATACCAGATAAAGGACTTGATGGTTGATCACCAAGAACTTTAACATCAACAATTTTGACATTTTTAGCAACACCATAAGTCTTTGAGCCAATAATACCTGCAACGTTTGTTCCATGACCATTAACATCACCTTCACCTTCTTGTGTGTTGAAATTTGCACCATAACTAGCTCTACCTCCAAAATCTGGATTATCAATAGCAACACCAGTATCTAGGACATAAGCAGTAACACCAGATCCATCACCATCATAGTTATATTCTAATGAACCAGTTTCATTAAAGATACCTTCTCTTTGAGATAATCTTGCTAAATGTCTTGGTGCATCTTGTTGTGTAGTAATATCATTATTTCTTTTAACAAAATTTGGTTCAGTGTATGGTTCTAATGTTGATCTTTTACGTAAATGAGGACCTATTGAATCAAAAACGTTGATTTGAACATCAGGGAAAATGTTCTTGATGATTGGATCTGCATGAAGTTTCCCTAATAAACCTTCATCAAAATCTGCAACGAATGCTTTGAAATCACCAATCTCAATGGTATTATTATTATCTGGTTTAGTTGAAAGAACACTAGCAATAGCTTGGTTTAAGAAATTTTCAAAAGTGGTAGAGCCATCTAATTGAATAATGAATGGAGAAGAAGCTAAGACAGCTTGAACAATTAATAATAAAGAAGCGACTGGAATCCACATAGTGTCTGTACTGTGTAAGTGTTTTGGGTCTAAGACAAGATCTGGTAAATCTTATTCATTGTGAAGATATACCATACTTTATATACACAGATTTGAAAGCTCATCATAAACATCTTTCAAACTTGAAAGTTTTAACTTCTGATAAAGCAAACATTTGTACTGTAGTATGCATCGAAGCCTGAAATACCAAATGAGTGGTACGACGTAGTAAATTTCCGATTAATCATATGTATTCGTGCAAAGATTCATCACGAACAAAGATAACCTGAAATTTGAACAGACCGATGCTATTATTCAACATAAACCGACATTTTGTAGCCTATTGCTGTAGATAAAAATAATACACAGTTTTTTGGCTAAAGTATAGTGTGTTAAAACCTCAGTTTTAAACCAGTCAAACACATATTCGTTGATATGGAGTTGTGTCTTGTTATGTAAATCACGTCATGTATGGGCTTTAAATTATGCAATAGCTAAAGTTTTATTTCCCCGGATCAACATGGCTATAAACCAATCATTTCACTTGGATTCAGCTGAAATAGGTTTGAAAAGTTGAAAGATAGGGCTACATCGCTACATCTATTAATCTTGATTAAGTATCTGTGCGTTATATAATATGTCAATGTAAACCGCAAAAGTGTTGACGCTAGTCTGCTTAATCAGAGTCAACCAGAGTCGACCACCATATCTTGATATACTAGACTTAACTACCATTTGGTTACAATATATCCCTGACTCAGATTCCATATCACGGATAAGATTCTTGAAACTGTGACTTCGATTCCACTGTGGTTCTATTTGAGTATAAGTAGAATTACTTGTATTGAAAGTTAAACGACAGTGCATAATTTAGTTCAAGTACTGCGGAACCTCTCTCTACCATAGGATAGCACCAAGTTCAGCTGATTCCACACTATACCCAGAGCTTCATATTAAAAGACACCACTATAGTCCAGATATGACCAGAACAGGGGTTTTTTTTTCAATGGTATCTACAGTATAATCAATGCATGAAGTATTATTATATTAAAAATCATAGGACCTCAAAACCTCATTAGGTAACAAAAAAAACCAATCAAGTTGTAATAGTACATATAATAGTGTAGTATGAGTAGAATAACCAGTTAAAAAACACAATATCAGCTAACATGGGTTGACTATTAGCTCACCCAATAAACTTCTTCAAGCTTTGATCTTGTTCAAGAGTTGAAGGATTTGAAACTTTATCATTCAAGCTAATCACTCCATTATTAACAACTCTATTAACAGTTTGTGTATAATTTGAATTATGATCAAAAGTTTCTTGAGAAATGGCATTTTTAGTAGCCAATTTAATCAATTCACTCTTAATGTCTTCTTTAGCGACGCCTTTTTCCAATAAGATAGCAACAAGACCAGAAACAACAGGAGTAGCTTGTGAAGTACCATACCATTGAGTTGGTGGGAAGAACAAAATGTTACATAATGATTCAACTGCAACACCTGAAGCGAAAATATCAACATCTGGACCATAATTTGAAAAAATTGCAATAGTATCAGTTTTATCATCCAAAGCTCCAACTGTAATAGCATCTTGAGCTGAAGCTGGACTAACATCTTTAGCATCAATGTTTGCATTACCAGCAGCAACAACCATAACAAGACCATCTTTATAAGCAGCATTGACAGCTTCATCTAGAACTTGAGTTTTTTCAGTACCTAAAGATAAATTGGCAACAGCTTTAACACCTTTTTGTTTTCTATCATTGTTTGCCCATTCAATACCTTTTAAAACTGATTCAGTTGAACCACCATCTAGTAAGCCTGCAATTTTAACATCAATGATATCAACTTCTTTTGCCACACCATAAGTTTTAGATCCAATGATACCAGCAACATTTGTACCATGACCATAAAAATCACCATTGATACCTAAAAATGCAAAATTACCACCATGTTTAGCTCTTCCTTGGAAATCTGGATTTAAAATAGCAACACCTGAATCCAAAACATAAGCAGTAATACCTTTCCCTGTATAATCATATTTATATTCAAATGGAGATTTCTTATTGAAAATACCCTCACGAGATGATAATCTAGCTAAATGTCTTGGTGCATTTTGTTGGGTTGTAACACCATCACGTTTACTGAACGTAGAAACATGTTCTGGTTCTTTTTGTAAAACTTTTCTATATCTTCTTACTGGTTCAATATCATCTAATTTAACACCTTGAGTACCAAGTGTAATATTTGGGAAAACATTACTAACAAGATCATGATTTTTCAATTGATCAACTAATTTATCATCAAATGAGGTAATGAAAGCCTTGAAATCACCAATTTCAATTTTATTATCATCACTTGGTTTAATATTTAATGTCTGAGCAATAGAATTTTTTAAATAATCTTCAAATGATGTATTATTGCTCAATTGGACAACATATGATGAATGTGCCAATATAGTTTGTGCAACCAGTGCTAATACTGTAATAGGTATCCACATCATTATCTTTGAAACCCCTATAGATCTTATAATCTTGCTTCATCTTGAATGAGATCTGAGATATAATTATGGGCCATCTTTCATACTTATATAGATTTCATAGTAGCCAGGATCAGCATTTAGATTTCAAGCACCTGGTACATTCATATCACAAATTCATACATATTGTACTCGTATAACAACCATGGAAACAACTCAACATCCTTAGTTCCCAATTCCCAACCATTCCTTTACAAACCAGGTATAAAAGCCTGAAAAAAGAGTAATATAATCATCGGAAAAAACGTTATACACGATTCGCGATCCTTGTTTTAAGATGAAACCACCAATAACCGTATAATGGTTGGATCTTTATATCTCAATTTTGCCTAAATGGGAAGGCAATGGTGATATTTCGATACTGGTTCTTATAGGGTTTGCTGTACTAGGTGCTTAAGCTGATTGATATTTGGTGTAGTTGTGGAACAGGTTCACAGAGAAATCACACCATAATGATGCAGAGTTGATGAGGATTTGAGGTTTGAGGTTTGAGGGTAGTGATGGAAAAAGTATAGCATATAGGCTTTGAAAGTATCCAAAAGTACATGAATTTAAGCTAAAGTCTTTCTCTATTCATGTTACCCACTTCATATCTCAGACATAACCCATTCCTTATGTTCTTGGATACCTCATCATCCTTTATCCCTGCACAGATATGTTGATTTTTGGCTGCTTTCCATCACGTTTACTTACATTATAAGATACAGTAACTACAATTCTCTTCCTAAAATATTCATACATTATAATTATGTTTCTTTATCAATTATTTATTGTTCATACTTATTCAATATATTGACGTAATGAATCATCTTGTTGTTCAGTAGATGGATTATCAATCTTATCAGCAGTATCTTCAACACCATTGTATAAGTTTCTATTAACAGTATTTGCATAATCTTTATTATTATCATATGTTTGTTGAGAAATAGCATTCTTTGTTGATAATTTAATCAATTCATCTTTCAAGTTACCAACAGTAACACCACTTTCCAATAATTGAGCTGCAACACCTGCAACAATTGGAGATGATTCGGAAGTACCAAACCATTGACCACCTGAAGATGCAAAGATGTTATTACTAGCTGATTCAACATAAGCACCTGGAGCGAAAATATCAACATCTGGTCCCCAATTAGAATAAATGGCAATAGTATCAGTATGATCATCTAAAGCACCAACTGTGATTACATTCTCTGCAGAACCAGGTGAAGTATTTTTAGTATCAATATTAGAATTCCCAGAAGCAACAACAACTGGTAAACCATCTTTGTAAGCTGCATTAACAGCTTCATTTAAAGCATCAACATAACCACCACCAAGTGATAAATTAGCAATACCTTTAATATTATTCTTTTTTCTATTATTATTAGCCCATTCAATACCTTTCAAAATACCTTCAGTAGAACCTCTACCTTGACCATTTAAAACTTTAACATCAATAATACTAGCATCTTTAGCAACACCATAAGTTTTGGAACCAACAAGACCTGCAACGTTGGTACCATGACCATTATAATCACCATTTAATTCGCCAAAAACAGCATTATAACCAAATTTAGCTCTTCCTTCAAATTCTGAATTTAAAGTAGCAACACCAGAATCTAAAACATAAACAGTAATACCATCACCAGTTTCTTTATATTTATATTCAAAAGGTTCTTGTTTGTTATAAATACCTTCTCTTGATGAAATTCTTGCTAAATGTCTTGGAGCATTAGATTGTGTGGTGACACCATCTCTTTTGGAGAAACTTGATTTGGATTTTGTTGATTCAGATTCAGGTTCAAGAACTTGTCTATATCTTTTTTGTAAATTTGAGTTTGATGGTTGTGAATCAAAGATTGAGATTTCAGCATTTGGATAAACATTATGAACAGAAGCATCACCTTTTAACTTATCTAATAAAGATTCTTCAAAATCTGCAACGAATGCTTTAAAATCACCAATTTCAATTTTTGAAGAATCATTTGATGGTTTAATACCTAATAATTGAGTTATTGATTGTTGTAAGTAATCTTCAAAAGTTGATTCACTTTTAATTTGAACAATATAAGAAGATGAAGCTAAAGCAGCTTGAATGAAGAAAGCTAAATATTTAAGTGAGATCTTCATTATGGGTATATCTAAGAAACTTCACAGTTGATGAGACATAAATATAATAACAGTACATCAAGATTCAAGAGCGAGATCTTGTCATTTATATAAAGATCCATTAACCAGTAGAATATGGATCTTCAAATTGTAACCATACTTTACCAATGCAAACATCCGTAAACCTGGTCTTGTTCCAACTTTCAACTTCCCAGTCAAAATTTCATAAAGATTTGTTTACCTGAAATCAAACAAAACCTCGAGAAATTTGTTAAGAGACGCGACGTTTCTTATTATACTGAAGATCTTCTGTACTTTACGTAATTTTAGCAGCTGTTTTGTTGCTTTTGTTCAACTTGTTGATGTTTGTAAATCATTAACGAGAAACTCCATTTGGTAATTGTGGATTACTTTTTCAAGTTTCTACGGGATTTCAGGTGCTGGTCCACTGCCCTTTTCTGAAAGTATTTGAAAGTTTTTGAACATAAGAGAGACAAGGTATGAGATCTAATTAGACTTCTTCAACCAGAAGGAACTACCAATGAAGGAGATCTCAAAAATTTACCATTATTTCATATCCCTCTCCTTATTATCTCCTATCGTATTGTTGCTATCAAGCACTTGGAAAATGTATCATGTACACTTTACATGAATAAGACCCGTAACAAGTGCATAATCAAAGTGTGTAATTAACTTTGAGTTGTTTAACTTTCCTTCATAATTATAGGTAAATACTCATTGATTTAGGTTCAACGTATGATTGAATATCACATTCAAAGATCGACAGTCAATTACTATGGTACGTTTATGTGTAGTAACTACTAAAGCCACTAGTGATCTAAGGCCTAGGCCTGTAAAAGCTGTCAATATAATCCATTAGACATGGGGATATGTATGTAACCCATTAATTAACCGAGAAATTATGCCTATCATATCATTGTATCATATATATTAATTATTTAATCATAAAGCACCACAGTTTGAGATCTTTGACTTTAATAACCAAGTGAATAATCACCTTTTAACCAATTATTAACAAAATCTAAAGAAACTTCAGGTTGATTATAAGGAACCATATGACCTGCATCATAGATTCTTAAAAATGTAAAATTTCCATAACTTTTAACTTGACCAGATTCAGTACCATTAACAATCCAAGGTTTTAATGTCTTTTCAGCAAATTTTTCACCATGTTTCCAATCTAATCCATCAGCCCAAGCACGATTTCCTAACCAATTACAAATATAATCTTTATCACCTGCATAGATTAATACTGGGATATCTTGATCTAATAATTCTTTAACAAATCCTTGGAATGGTTTAGATTCATCACCTGTTAATGCAAAACTTGAAAAAACATCATCATCACAACCTTTAAAATCTTGAACTTCGGCTCCTAAAGCTTCCTGAACTTCAGGTTTGTTTAAATATTGTTCAATATAACCCATACCGTTATAACATAAATCAGCGTCAGTTTCACATGGACCTCTAATATCATAGAAATTTAATCCTGTTTTTTCAAACGGTGATAATAATTTACTTGAACAATATATAGTTGCAGGGACACAAGCAAATGCATTTTGTAAATTATAACAAGCTTCCACTAATTTCTTACATTTTGGATAATCTTTATTCATTTGATCACAAGCTTCATCACTTAAAACTTTTTTAAATCCACCAAGACCACAAGCCATTGGTTGATAATAAGCATCTTGAATTAATGAATCAGTAATACCATTACCAATCAAAACAGAAGTCAATTGGAATGAACGATCAGCATGATTAACAATTTCTGAAGCAATAGCTGGAATATAATGTCCTGCATAAGATTCACCAGCTATATGAAATTGATTTGTAACAAATTGTGGGAATTTTTGGAAAAATAATTCTAAAAATACAAAAACATCTTTTGCAGCAGCATAACTTGTTGAAATTTTTGCATCACCATAAGAAAAACCAACACCAATTGGTTGTTCTAGGAAAATCACATTTGCATTATTATTCCATGAATATGGATTATAAATAGGTTTTAAATCTGGTCCTAATGAAGATGGACCCAATTCAAAGAATAACCCAGTCATTGAAGAACAACCAGGTCCTCCATTTAACCATAATAAAGTTGGTGCAGTTTCTGGATTATTTCTAGCTTCAAAGAAATAATAAAAAAAATGTTTATCACCGAAATCTAAATAACCACTAGTTTGATTAACAGTATCAATACCTAATTTCTTTGGGTCAGCTTTATTTATTCTTAATTGATGTTCAGGATATTTAGAATTAGTTATAAATTCATATTTTGAAGAATCCAATTGTTTAATATTTTGTAATTTTGCCCTTGGTGAACTTGGGATTTTGGAATCAAATTCTTTGAATTTTTGTTCAATTTCATTACTACTATGAGTTTTCAAGATTTCATACAAAGCATCTTCAACATCTGCTTCGATTATTTCATTTGATTGATCTTGTGATGAACCACCCCAAATTTGACTCAATTCTGACAGTTGTAGAGATAATTGGGGTAAATTGATTTCATAATTGATGAATGGGATATTCAGAGACACAGCGAGAGCACTGGTGACCAAAGCAGCAGTTGGAATTAACCTCATTGTATACCAATTGACCTTTTGCTTTCTCAAGTTGTCTTAATTGAAAAGGGAGGCAAAAGTAAAAGATTAAAACAATAAATTTTGTTATCAGTGGAGCAAGAAAAACAAAATTCGCGGGTGGTTAATTAAAAAAATATACGGGCGAAATTTTTTGATTAACAAGATTTTGACATAAAAATAAGCAGAAATTTAGACAGAAAGTGGAAATTTAGGCAGAAAAGAATGGCTGTGAAGAGACATTTCACAGGGAAGCCAGTTGGCGAAGAGTATGATGAGTCCAGTAGTGAGGAGGAAGTGGAAGAAGTGGTTGGTGAAGAGCCAGTTCAACATCAACAGAAGAATATAAAGACGAGTATTAATATAAGGCCAATTGAAAAAGAAGTACCCAGAGAAACAAAGTCAGTGGAGAATGTGAATGTTGGTGAAGATAATAGTATAAGGGAGAGTGCTGGTATTGAAAAGAAACAGGAATCAGAAGAATCTAGTGAAGAAAGTGATGAGGAATCAGAATCAGATTCAGACTCAGATTCAGATTCAAGTGATGATGAACCAAAATTATTAAAACCTGTATTCATATCCAAATCCAAAAGATCACAAGCAATAAAACAAACATCAAATCAAGATAAATCAACAAAAGATAATGAACGAACATTGAAAACTATAGAAGCTCATATAAATCAAGATATAGAACAACGTAAGAAAGAAAAAGAATCAGAGATAAACCTTGGTGGTATAGATGATACTGATGATTTAGATCCTGAATTAGAAAGGAAACAATGGGAATTAAGACAATTAACACGAGAAGAAAGAGATCGTGCCAAATTAGAGAAAGAACAAGACGAGTATGAAGAATTAGAGAATAGAAGATTAAGAACCGAAGAAGAAAGATTAAAAGAATATGAAGAAAACAAGAAAGAACAAGAACAAAGAGGTAAAGAGGATAAACAAAAAGTTAAAGGTGCATTTTTCAGAGATGAAGCATTGTTGAAAAGAGATCTTGGTGAAGAGAATGAAAAATATGATAAGACTTTATTACCACAAAAATATGATCCCAAGGCACATAAATGAACAATTTGATAGTGATTATTCTGTAGCTTCACTCGATCTCTTATCTAATAGTACAAGTTGAACTGATTAAAAGATATAATTCGTAGAAAAGTGATTCTTTCATCTATTTATATATCTACTATTGGAATGACGTCATGTATATCAATTACGACAGGATCCTTGGAACAATAAAGAACCATTGAAAAGACATAAAAAGAGATCGAATATATTGATTTGAGCTAGTTGTAACCCAAAGAATGACTGCAATAAAACTCAATGGGATCAATTCGATAGTCCTAATCAATAATCTACTAATCTCATACAAAATTCAACTTTCTAGCTTTCTTCCCAGCTAAAAAATCAAAGGCTGAATGTTTTTTTTTTAATACCCGGTACTGTGGAAAGAAAAAATCTAGAAGTAATAACGATTTTTTCATTATTGTGTCAAACTTTAAGACATATAAAGCAATCAGAATATCCAATTCATTCATTCTCCTTACCTTTTCCTATAATCATATCATCAACAGCTAGTCAATTGGCTTAAGTTCAACTATTAATATTCATCACATACCACAAACATAATGTCATCACCATTACCTAAACCATCAAGTTCATTAATACCTTTACCAAAAGACTTACCAGAATTTCTTGCACCTTTCATTCCAAGATTATTAAATTGTAAACCATTCATAACACTTACATATGCCCAATCATTAGATTCCAGAATAGCTGCTAAAAAGGGTGAACGTACCACAATATCACATTTAGAAACCAAGACAATGACACATTATTTAAGATCACATCATGATGGAATTTTAATAGGTTCAGGAACTGCACTTGCTGATGATCCAGGATTGAATTGTAGATTTAAAGAAAATGGGAATCAACATACACCAAGACCAATTATAGTGGATCCATTGTTTAGATGGGATTTTAAAGGTTCAAAATTACAAGAATTAGTTATGAAAGGTGAAAGTTTAGAACCATGGATTATTGTTGCAGCAGGTATTGAAGAAAAAGTCCAAGATAAGATTGAATTCTTGGAGAAATTAGGTGGGAAAGTAATACCATTAAATTTAGATTCAAATAATAAATTAAAATGGGAAGATATTTTTTTAACTTTGAAAATTAATGGTATTGATTCAATAATGGTTGAAGGTGGTGCTAAGATAATTAATCAATTACTTAATAGTCAAGGAATTGTTGATAGTTTAATCATAACGATTGGTCCATGTTTCCTTGGTGATCAAGGGGTTGAAGTTAGTCCGCCACAAGGAGTCAAGTTAAGAAATGTTCATTGGTGGAAAGGTGTACAAGATACAGTTATGTGTGCTAATTTAATTGATTGATTTTACTTAATGATTATGAAGATTGATGAAGTAAGTTCTACTGTATTGTAAGTAAATTTCGAAAAGGCTCAAAAAATGTAATTAATTATTCTAACGTAATTTATTTCAATTCATAATTGATATAAAATATCTATTTCTTTTCAGTAACTAGACTTTCTTCAACCTCAACTTCATCAGATTGAACACTATCATTCCCTAAACTTCCTTCAATTCCATCAACTTTATCCTTAAATTCTTCATCTAATACCTTATTACGTTCAATATTCTTAGCAGCAACATCATCAGCAACAAAATGAACAAGATAAGTTACAGGAGGTACAGTTAACCAAAAAACACCAGCACTAACAGCTAACGAAACCATTAAATTTGGATTAACTGCACCAATAACAAACGCCCACATTTCACCATTTGATTCAAGACCACGAATTATAGAAACAACATAAGTTAATTCTGTTGAATGATAATTCATTGTCCCTATAATCCAATACATCCAATTATTTAATGCTTCAGCGAATAATTTAAATAAAACAAATGGTATGAATCCTCTACCAAAACCAGATTCTGTCCAATCTAATCCACTAACTGGATTTTTATCATAAATGGATTGAATAATAATTGAATAAACGAAATACATAGTCATCAAGAAACTAATAATATGCCATGACCATCTTTTCTTGGTTTCCACAGAAAAATATTTAGTATCTAATAATAACCCCACAATTATATCTGCAAACATTTGAACAAATGCAGTTACTAAAGTATTTAAAGAACGAGATCTAACTGAAAAATACGTAGTAATATAATTCCCTTGCCATGTCATAAACCACATATTTGCTAATGATAAAGGAGCTAATAACCAGACTTCTTTCTTCTTGAAAACTTGACCTAATTTCTTAAAACGATCCTTTATAGATTCATTACCAATGTTTGATCTTGCTGAAGTTCCATCATCACGTATAACTTTTTCAGGTTTAACAAAAAACCAAACAAACAGGATACCAGCACATTGAATCGCAATAAAAGCAGCATAAGTATTTAAACTAACACCACCTTTTGTAGAAGTATGAATATTTAATGCAAGAACAATAGCACCACCAATAACTAACCCAAATTTATTTATAAATTGCCAAATACCAATAAATAACCCTCTTTCATTATTTGAAGGATACAGGACAGCTGCTGTACCTTCAGCAACCCAAAATAAACTAGCAGAAAATCCACAAGTAACAGCCCCCAACATAACAAGCCATTGAGCACCATTTTTACTATTAAGATATAATCCAGCAGAATATGGAACATAACCAATAACACCAATAACAAGGGACCATTTCAAACCAATTTTATTTGCCAATACAGCAAAGAATGGGGATGTTATAGTCATAACTGCAAATAAAACTGAATTTGCAACATTTGCAGTTGTAGTTGTGATTAAACCACCTGCACCCATGATATTTAATGCTGTCCAAATACCTGGTTGTGTGAATGATAGCATACCTAGGATGAATGCTTGGAAAAGGGATCTCCTTGTGTAATGCTTGAGTTTTGTGAAAGCGCTCATCTTTGTATGTGTTGCTTATCTAGTGTGTGTCTATATGCTATCATTTTGATTGATTAAACATGGTGATGATCTATCCTTTATATGATAAACCGTTGATAAGTTGTGTGGGTATCCACAGATCACGGAATCTTTCAATGCAATCGAGCAACAGTCATGATTGAACATCTAAAAGGGGGATTGTTTCTACTCCGTTCGACGTTGTCTTTAAATCTTTAAATAATGGATGTAGTTTGATAAGTTTTCATAATAATTGCGTTGAAAATCTTTCGTGGTAAGCCACAATCAAATTCAGCCATAACTCGGAGTTGAATTACTATTGAATACTAGATCGTTTAGTACTGTGTTGTTGCCTTCCATTTTGTTTCTGATCCAAGGTGTCATTGGGTCTTGATGTTCCTAAAGTTCCGTGATTCCTGTGTCAAAGGCTATCTTATCAACGGTATAATCAATGGAGGTTCAAGCCACTGGGCATAAAATAAGCTTAATTAAAAACACCGATCAACTCAACTCCCAATTGGTGAGTGGGCCGATAATTTAAGGTACATGTCACAATTATGGCTTTAAATTCTTTACACAGGTATAGTGAAGTGTGGAGGGGCTCCGACTTCCTACGTCCATTGTTGCGTTAGTTAACGTAATACATTGATACATTCATTCTAACGTATTATAATATGGTATATAACTAATCTAGTCCCAAGTACAAGAATAGTGACCTAAATTCTGGTATACTTTTTGTATGACTCTATCAAGCTGAATAATTTGGATAATCAGTATAACCAGTTTCACCACTAGTATAAAAAGTATCACGATCATACTTTGTCAAAGGATATCCCTTTTCTAATCTTTCCACTAAATCAGGATTTGAAACAAAATGTCTTCCCACTGCAATCAATGTTCTATCATCATGATCAACATCTTTTTTCAAAGTTTCAACCTCTTGAATATAATTACCAGCTCTAACAATTGGTCCTTTCCAAATATCATAAATGAATCTATTACCATGACTATCTTTTGAAACACCAGACTCTTCATTAACTTTATTACCATGGATTCTTGGTTCAACAAGATCAATGAACTGAATACTTTTACCATCTAATCTTCTTTTCTCTAATTCACCAACGATATGTGCATATTGTGCTAATAATTCAGGATCTTTTTGGATACCTTTAAAATCACCATATTGGGACCATGGTGATAATCTTACAGAGACTTTTTCAGCACCAATAGCTTCGATTAATCCATCAACAATTTCCAAGACAAATCTTGATCTATTTTCTAAAGAACCACCATATTTATCAGTTCTTTTATTGGTCTCTTGGTCTAGGAATTGATTTAATAAGTATCCATTAGCAGCATGGATTTGAACACCATCAGCACCTGCCTTGATACTGTTTATACCACCTTGAACAAATTTTTTAACTTCCTCTTCAACTTCAGCAGTAGTGAACTCGGTCAAAGGTGTATTAAACTCTTTAGCTTTTTCTTCATAAGGATATGAACCATCATTGATATAAATTCCAGAAGTTGGAGCTCTATAAGTAATCCCCTTTTCAGCAACTTTATCAGGAATAGCTTGTCTACCTAAATGAAATAACTGTTGGATAACAAAAGAACCATTTGAATGAATTTTATCAAAGATTTTTGACCATGCTTCAATTTGTTCCTGGTTCCAAATCCCTGGTTTACCATCAAAATAACCCCCAGCTTCATATGAGTATATAGTAGCTTCTGTGATGAGCAAACTTCCAGGTGTTTGGGATCTTTGACTATAATACTCAGTACTTAATTCAACATTTGGGACAAAAGTATCAGGATCAGCTCTTAATCTTGTCAATGGTGCTAACACTAAACGATGTTTTAGGTCTAAGTTGCCTAATTTGAATGGTTTGAAAAGGTTTGTATCTTTTAATGATACTGGGTTGATTTTATCATCAAATTCTGGTCTTGTCATGATTGTTATTGTTTTGTTGGTTTTAATACCCCTTGAATCTTGAGTTGAGAAGGGGGATATTGTCACAACTTATATAGTTTAAAGCTATACGTGTAATATCAATTTTGATTTGAAGTAATTTTACTAAATGTTAGTAATTTCAGCCTCAGTTTTTGATTTAAGTAGAAGCTGATTAGTAAATACGGAATTCAGTTCATTATGTTTGTTTTTGTAGTTTTGAACTCCTTAAATTTGTTTTATGATTTTCTTTGGGGAACGGGATTCCGTTGGTGTATAGATTACAAATCAAAATAGACTTGAAATCTTTCTTGGACTCAACCCCGAATTACGTAAATACAAATCAAATGTGGTATATTAAGAACAAATAATCTGGCATTTCAATTATTATTTACTATACTATACAAATGATACACGTGTTTCTATTCCGATTTATAAACTGGATAATCAATATAACCTTCACCAGTACCATTAACATAAAAACTTGAACGATCATATTTATTCAAAGGCCATCCATTTTCTAATCTATCAGGTAAATCAGGGTTAGCAATGAAATATCTTCCAGATGAAATTAAAGTTCTATTATCATCATTAACATCTTTTGTTAAAGCCTCAATATTACCAATATAATTACCAGCTCTAACAATTAAACCACCCCAAATATCATAAATAAATTTATTTGAACCACTTTTAAGAAATTCTTTGGATGATTTATCATCAGCACCATCAACTCTTGGTTCAACAAGATCAATAAATTGGAAATTTGAACCTGATTTTCTTCTTTTTTCTAATTCTCCAACTAAATGTGCATATTGGGCTAATAAAGTTGGATCATCTTGAGCACCTTGGAATCCACCAAATTTAGACCATGGTGATAATCTAACTGAAATTTTATCAGCTCCAATAGCTGTAGTTAATTGATCAACAATTTCTAAAATGAATCTTGATCTATTTTCAATTGAACCACCATATTTATCATCTCTTCTATTAGATTCTGGGTCTAAGAATTGGTTTAATAAATAACCATTTGCAGCATGAACTTGAACACCATCTGCACCAGCTTTAATACTGTTAATACCACCTTGAACGAAATTTTTAATTTCTTGTTCAACTTCTTCAGTAGTGAAACCTGTTAATGGAGTATTAAACTCTTTAGCTTGTTCTTCAAAAGGTGCAGATCCATCATTGATATAAACCCCAGTAGATGGTGCTCTATAAGTAAGACCATTCTTAGCAACATATTCTGGTAAAGCTTGTCTACCTAAATGAAACAATTGAGCAATAACAAAAGAACCATTTGAATGAATTTTTTCAAAAATTTTGGACCATGCTTCAATTTGATCTTGGTTCCAAATTCCTGAAATACCATCATAAAACCCACCACATTCTTTGGAGTAGAATATACCTTCTGTTAAGATTAAAGTACCTATACGTTTTGATCTTTGATCATAATATTGAGAAGCTAATTCAACATTTGGAACAAGAGTTTTAGGATCACCTTTGATTCTTGTTAATGGAGCTAAAGTTAATCTATGAGATAAAGTGATATTATTTGGTAAACTGATTGGTTTGAATAAGTTTGTATCTTTTAATGAGACTGGTTTAATTCTTTGGTCAAATTCTGGTTTAGTCATTGTGGCGTACTTGTTATGTTTTGATTTCTATAATTTTATGGAAATTCAGTACCATCATGATTAACTTGTACTAAGGAATCATATCCTTATTTATACTTCCACTTCATTTTTCTCATTACTAATTAAGACATAATATGTCTTTTGTAGTTGATACTATTCAGCCATAGTTGTGTTTTATTTTTTTGTTTACTTAATAATTTTTCCACTATGCAATTCCAGTGCTTCCCATACCAGAAAGTAATTTAAATAAAGACGGTGTTCCGTGAAATCCAATTTAATCTGAATAATCAAATTCAATAGATAACTTATGGGTATTATACCCGGTGTTGATCCGTGGTATATGGATTCAGCTTATCGTACGAGGATGTTGTTGTTAATATTGAGTCCTAAGCTGTGCTATATATGTGCTGCAGTTTGTAGTTTGTACCAGTTCGCAGTAAACGATATAATTGGGATCACGCTAGTAGATTAAAATATCGAGAACTATATCTAGTGTATATTACGGACGCGTTTAACAGCTTAGAAGAGTTAACCTATAGTTTACAAATTCAAAATCGTATTTGAACTAACCGAACGATCATGACTACGTCTCCGAAGAAAGTTTCAAAATTAAGAGGATATATTTATTAGTCGTATGCATATCTTTAAAGACTTCATAACAAAACATAATAACAATATCTTTCACTATAGTAGTATCAGCTAAATCAGTTCATGAAATCATCATGATATTACATGATTGGAATTTGATTATTCATATTTGAAAAAGTCCAATCATAAGCTGTTCAGTGAATTTTTGACAATTAGGTTTGACCCCTATTTTCCCAAACAATGAAAATCACATGGATATTGAAATGTCTAATATTATAGTTAGTCTTCCAATAATCTCCTCAAAACATCAACAAAATATTAAGATAATAAAATTGCAGTACATACGTTTAAGAGCTATTGATAGATTGGTAAATTTGCAAAAAAACCATAGTAAAAATTTACCCTCATTTCTAAAAATCTATGAAGATAGAGCGATGGACCTATTTGAAAGATAGTTGTTTGTTGTTGTTGCAGTTAAAGATTCTATAAAGAGTTTTGACTCGTTTTGAGATCTCGATGAACCTTCGACATTTCGCGGTAGCCGCGACTGGAAGTGTAACCCGCCTTTAGTCTACATATACAACTTTCTTTAAACGAGATTTATAACCGTTTACTACTCCATCAATTTAATTGAGTGTCTTAATTATTGGGCTGAATATATCACAACTTATGCTTTCACCTATGTGTTTATTAGGCCTCAATATTAAGGGTCTGATTACATTTCATGATCATCTATCCTTTTCATGTAACTTCCACCAATTTTGAGAGTAAGTTTATGTTGAGTTTAAAATGTGTGACTGGCAGCCTAGAATTCTATTGGGATTTAAATTTGGAAGTGAACTAAAAGCATTTTTTAGATGAATTTTAATTAATACAAAATATGCAGGATCACATGATATTAGATTCATCTACAAAGAATTAACTAAAATGTTTATTGGTTAGAACATTGTCTCATTGGTCTAAAGGATCTTGATGAGCGTGTTATTCACTTTAATATACATGATACCTTCAATTTTTCCACTTTATTAACTTTAATGTAGTATAGTATTAATTGTCGCTATTGTTTTTGTGCTTTTAAGTCTATATAAAATGTATAGTAAAGACGTTATATATATTACTGTTTGACCTAACATATAAGGAATAATATGTGAATTAAAACCTCGCTTATAGATTGAAAGGCCAATATCAATTTCCTACATTAACTCTTCATTAGTGACGTAAATATCAATCTACATGACCTAGTCTATGACAATTTGAAAAAGGAAATATATGTATATTAACAATCGAACATGATTATCACATCTAATTAAAGATCAATAATACTGCAATGTTCAACTAATATATATATCATTAATTGATTAGTATTTGTAGCACTAACTATACTATGATTGATAAAATTATATCCACATGGATTATAAATCCATGATTATTGAACAATAAAATATATCAACATTATATTGCACATGGGTATATATCCCTAGATGTGGAAAATAGCTATATGAGCTTCTTATGGATGAAAGCATGACGAACGAAAAAAGAGAAAAAGAGTTAAAAATTCCTCTTAATTTTTGAACAATCAATTTGGTACCCAATATCATGAATTATAAGTAATATGTAGCATTCATTTTCACGAGATCATCAAACAAACTACTAGCTCGAGTTCGAAAGAAATTTGCTGTAAGTACACCAATTTGTTACATTGTACATTTTGATGAGTGATCGAAGTTGCTGATTCTTTTTCAAGTTTTTTATCGCGATCATGATATTCCTCCAGAGCTGGTGATGGTGTCGATCTTTTGTAAACACAATTAATTTAATCAACAATGGATATACATTGGAGGATATTCTATTCTAAAGCTAGAGATCACAGTTGTAAACTATAATATTCTACATGGAAATCAATTGAAGAAATAAGAAACAGTATGTTCATTGAATTAAAGATATAGCTCAAATATTAGAAACTATCAGATCATTCATGAACAATGTATAAATTCAAATGATCATCAATCAATCACTTATACTATAAATCAATTGCAGCACATCAAGTATAGAGTAGTCCAATAATAAGTGAATGTGATCTAGCTGACACATAAATCAAATTTGTACAGTGAAATAGGAATTGTTTACCAACACTTTAAATTTGAATACCATTCTTATATTCCAGTGTTAACAAAAACCAAACATGCAAATCAAACGCTAATTGAATAAGACACCAGATTCCGTATATAATATATACAAACAAAAGAACAAGTTCATTGAAACCTCTAATTTTATTTATATATATACTAATTATTATATTTAAATTAAAATATTCAAATGGCCACAAATACAATAGCCGCCAGCGGCTAGCTAATATACGTACAACTACAAAGAATTAATGAAAATTTGGGGGTATGTATATTTAAAGTAAGAAACACGTTCATCAAGATTCATTAAAGATCGATGAAACAATGTTCTACCAATAAACATTTAGTTTAAATCTTTGTAGATGGATTTAATATCATATGATTTTGTATCTGTATTAAGAATCCATCTTAGACTTCAAAAACCTAATCTTACATCAAAGTTTAGAAAAAGGCTGCTCAAGTCACATACTAAATCTAATCACACAAGCATTTTCAAAAGCTTTGATCCGAAGATGAAACAATTTTGTGAAACAGAATCTAGTAGTCTTATAAAGATCTTATTTATGAATCCAAGATATCGGGCAAAGAAAACAAAATCAATAAAGGATTCTTAGTTTTCAAAGAAGGATGTGCATCACAAAATTCAAACCCAACTAATCCATATTATAGTTAGTTATATTGATGACATTGCCCAAGCGGAGCCGCTTAAAAAGAAATTTCAACCTACTATTGAATAACAACAATCAAAAAATTTAATGAGTTTATAGCACAAACAATTTCTTACATGGTAGGCCTGAGTTTACTTTAGACGTAAGACAACTAGCTTGAATCTCAAAATTATATTCAAATTTCTTCGCGACGGTAAATTATAAACAAATCAATTGGCCAATTAATTCCTCTAGCTAATTATTGTTAGAGTATTAAGTCCAATTATGTATTATCTTAAATACACAACGCATTAGCTTGGTATATTAATCTGTCAAAGGTATTTACATTGAATTATACAGCATTTTTGTATGACACACGGTTAAAAGAATACAACGAGGAAAGTCTTAAAGATTAAAAGGATATATTTATTAGTTGTATGATATCTTGAAAGACTTCATAACTCCTCAATAACTATATCTTTGATTAATAGTACCAACTAAATCATTTCTAGTTGAGATAATCATGATTATATGATTGCTTTGGAATATTCAAATCAATGATTGATCAAAATTACCTAAAGTCAAAGTTCATATAAACATATTGGAGCTGTTAAATAATAATAGTATAATATATCAACATAATGTAATTTGCAACATGAAATTTAATTCTATGATCAACCAGAAATTCTATATCATGGATTGGGGCATGTCAAATATAATGATATCATGGGAAACTGCTTATTAGAAAAATAACGATCCTAAATGGTCTCTGAATAATGGTTGTTGTTGAAAGGTTTTTATAAAGAAGTTAAGTTGTAAGATTTTACTGAATCGGTGAACAGGGGCGCGATCGAAATATAGTAACCCGTCTTTATTAATATACTTATTAACTTCACAATATTATGAACCTTTGGGTGTCATACTATCAATATTTTCGAAGAAGTATTGACAATTAGATAGCTACACTCTTCTATGTATTTGATAAAAAAGAAATTTGTATATTAAGAATTGAACATGATTATCACATCTAATTAAAGATCAATAACACAATGTCCAACAAATAACATTTAGCTATATTAGTATCTGTAACTAATATTTTGACTGATATGATTATATTCACATGTTATGTTCTAAATCCAAAGTCAATGAATAATGCATCTATCAAATTTCCAATGACAATAATAATATCCTTCATTTAGCTGATTTACGAGTGGTCGATGGGAAAAAGAGAGAAATTGTTCGACAATACCAACCATACATTGAAAAGACTGAAATATGCCCGCGTTGAACCAATACATGAAATCTTGAAAACACGACAATCAAAACTATTAACACCAATTTCCAATGTGTTGACTGTTTTTGGATTGAATCGATGTCGACGTTGAAACTTTTTCTATTTTTTTAGCGCGATCATGAATTATAGAGATCTTTGGTAAGCACAAATTAACAATTGAAGTATTTGAAGCTGGAGCCTGACATTATATTCTGAACTTATATCATACAAATTGTAATCTATATATTCTACAAGAAAATCATTTGTAAAAATAAGAAGCGAGATGTTTATTGAACTAAAGATACCTCAAATATAATAGAAGCAACTATATCATTCATAAACATTGTATAAATTCAAATCAATCATTCACTTTAATGAATCAATTGTATGAAGTGTAAAACAATCCAATAAGTAGTGAATGTGATCTATCTGGTTATTGAAACAATGGTGATCAATCCACTAGTGGTGAATAATGAATTGAAGATATTTAGTTGGTGTAATAGTGTGATCAATCATTTAGAAAAAGAAGTTAATGATCATGAATTTTGTTTAAAATCATGGATATTTCCAATTATATAGCATTGAAGTCGACGTCGTGCAAAAGAACAAGTTCATGGAGTATTTCTGCTTTTATATTCATGATCAAAAATGAGAACCACAAAAACAGCCGCCAGCGGCTAATTAATAGTACGTACAACTACAAAGCATTAATGAAAAATTGGGATTATGTATATTGAAGGTAAAAAGAACACGCTCATCAAGATCTGTTAAAGATCGATGAGACAATGCTCAAGCCAATAAACATTCAATTGAATGATTGTAGATGAATCTAATATCATATGACATTTTGTATCTTTTGTATTAAGAATCCATCTCACTTCCTGAAATTCATTACCAAACTTAAAAGCAAATCTAACTATGGGTTGTAGCGCTCATATCCTGAACTTGGTCACTAACAATCTTTCAAATGTGATCATTTAGTCAATAACATGGAGAAAATACTATAGCTAGTATGACGATAATTTGAAAAATCAAAGTTTTCAAGAATCCATCGCGAAAACGTTCTATATTAAATCTAGACGTCCATGATGATAATCGATTAAATATATACTGCTTGAATATTAAGTCTTAAGCTATTTATTGGAGTAAAGAGTACGGGTGTGTAAGTTTAATCGATTTGTTATTATGAGTTTGATGTATAATTCAAACTTATCAAGATCAGAAACGATAAAGTTCGATGTCAAATTGAATTAGGGTCCATAGGTCCATAGGTATTACGTGCATTGGTATAACAGACTTTCAAGTCTTCTAGCCAATCATTAACGTCTCTACTGATCATTGTGTACAATTAAAACATAAACTAAATAATATCAGTTCGATATATTTACTACATTAAAGTTAATTTGAAATGGGAAAATTGGGGATATGTATATTAAAGTGAAAAACACGCTCATCAAGATCACTTAGATCAATGAGACAATGTTCCACTAATAAACATTTTTGGTAATTCTTTGTAGATGAATCTAATATCATATGGTTTTGTACCTTTTGTATTGAAAATTCATGCTAAAGAGCATTTTTTATCTGTTAATTAAGCAGGGGTGTGGTGCACACAGAACTAACCTAGCAGTTCAAGATACCATAAAGCAAATTGAAACGTATCACACACAAGATCTGTATAGATGACTCGGATTCAATGGAATTGCGCGAGAACAGTGCATTAATTATAAGCGACTTTATTCCAAATGATAGTAAGTTGAGTTTAAGGGAAGGATTGCCCCATGTTTGTTTGTTGTGAACTCAACTTAGAAAGGGAACACGAGAATACTAGAAGGGGAACTATATTCAAATATAATTCAAATTTTTTAAACTATTCGCGCTTTATAAGAAAATTAGCTGTAGCCTGTAACCTGTAACCCTTTAATTAGTACAATTCAATTCATCCAATATAATGACAGCAATCAAATCTGAATTGATATCTATTCATAATCAAAAGCAACAGCTATATATCACTCTTTAATATATATACTTCACTCAAATACATGTCTTTTAACTAATTCCTGTCAATAACGTCATTCTATATAACAGTTTACAATAGGATCATCAAATTTTAAAAGAAAAACATTATTTGTTTATATTCAAAACTTCTATAATACATAAACTAGACTTTTTTATAAATTTTACTTTAAAAATCCTATCTCAATAGACAGAAAAACAAGTGATGAAAAGTGAAATCAAATCATAAACATATTCTATAACTTGCATAACGACCACTAGTCTCACTTCTTCTTATAATCTTTACAACTTGACCTCTTCTTAAACCCAAATAACGAGCAACTGGATCTTCTCTTTGAATACGAGGTAATTGAGATTCTTTTAATCTATATCTTTCTAATAATTCTTTTTTTTCATCATCTGATAAAACAATATGTTTTGGAACTAATTCATGATGTGTTATATTAACAATCAAATCACTTTCTTGGAAAGTTTCAATAACTGCAGGTGCAACAGTTGGAATTAATTTATTTGCACTTGGTGTAATACCATTTTGATAAATAAATATACCAACACTAAAATTTTTTTCACTAATATGAATAACAAAATTCTTCATAGTTTTAATACCAACACTTGCTTCATCACAAAATTCAACCCATAATGAACCCATATTTGGGAATTGACCTAATGATTCAGAAGTTGGAGATGCTTGAAATGACATTAATTTTCTTTGAGGACGTCCCATAGCATCACAATATTTTGATCTAAATTCTTCAAGATTCATAGTTATTTCTTCAGTGGCAATGAAATAACCACGATCTAAAGCCATTTCCTTGACGGTTCTAAAAGCTCTCCATAAACGAGAAACTATTCTATCATTTTCTTGATCCATGATGATTTATATATATTTGTTATTGTTTGAATTTGATGCAAAAGGGTGAAGATTGTTAATAAAAAATACAACTAATGGGATGAAGTCTAGCCAATGGTTGTGATGAGAAATATTAAGGATGGAATGGGATGAAATAAGACTAACAAATGATTATCTTAATCTTGTTTTAATTGTATTATAATTTCTAATTAATTTCCATATACTAAATTTTTATCAACTATGGAAAGAAAAAAAAAATTCAAAAATCTAGAAAATTCGCGGAAACTTCTGTATTACATAATCAAAAGCGTAATGATTATATCATCCAGGGTAAATTTATTAGATAGGTCTGATATTTACTTACAAGATAGACCAATCATTCTCAGAATTACACATATAATCATTAAAAATTAATTCATTTCCATCTTCATTCTTTTTCATGTATAAAATTATAAATAAATATAGTGATATAGTAAGTACCAAGCTAAAACTCATTTTGATGATTCATTTTTACGTCTATAAGTAATTTGAATATCACCACTTGTTTTCCATCTTGTTGCTTTTAAAGTAGCTAAAGTCATAGTTTCAGGTAATACTTCATCATTACATAAAACTTCTAACCATTCTTCAGCTTTAACATGATGTTGCATTTCTGAAGTCTTGGATTCCATTCTATCAGTTATATAAGTTAAGATTCTTCTAACTCTAAGCATATTATATGCATTTAATCTGCAATTACCATTTGTTATATTTGGAACATTTGTAATATTTGGATGTCTTGATATTGTGAATCCAACTTTTGGGAATTCTTTTATATTATATTTATTCTTTAGTAATAGGTTACCAATCCATTTTGGTAAGAATTGTTCCAAGATTGGGAATTTTAAATCATCAAGAAATTCACTATAAAGATCAATTTCATTACTTGAACCACCAATACGTTCATTTATAATTATAATTAAATCATTTGGTAATTCAATTATTGGTGCATCTGCATGAGGTAATGGAGTTAATTGGGTATTATGTAATTGATGAACATGGTGTAATGAATCATAAATTGATTTGATTTCATTCAAGACAGATTGGAAAGTATCTTCAATTTCAACATTTGAAGATTTTCTACTTGGATCTTTGGAACCAGGTTCTGAATTTGGTTGTGATTTATTTGATTGATTATCTGTACCATTTGTTTGATTTAATTGTAAAGATTGTAATTGTTGAGTTAATTGTGATTCTTTTGGTTCTGTGGTAGTGGTATCGTTATTATTAATATTATTTGATAAATTTGGTGCAGTTTGTGGTGGTGGTGGTTGTAAATCTGATTCATTATTCAATTGCTCTTCAGATATTGGAACTTGTGTTTTAGATTTCTTACCAAATAATCTTAATTTTCTAAAACTTGAAGGTGTTGAAGTTCCATTTTCATCTTTTTTTTGCTTTGTTGATATATTAATTGGTTCACTTTCTTGTGTTAATACAGCTGGTGCTGATGAAGGTGGTAATGAACTCAGAGTATCTGATAATTTATCACTGAAAAATGTCTTATGTTCATCAATTGGTGTTTGAGCTGCTGATTGAGGTAATGATTGTATTGGAGTTGAATCATGTGATGATAATTTAGATAAAATATGTAATTTAGAAACACCTTTAATATCTTTAATTCTTTGTTCTCTTAAATCATTATCTTTTTTCAATTGATATTGTATAAATTTTTGAAAAATTGATTGAATAACAATTTTACCAATACTAAATCTTGTCTCGGGGTCTAATTTTAATCCATATTCCTCAAAATCATCACCATAAAGTTCTGTATTCAAATAACTTGATTCACTTAAACTAATAAATAATCTTCCAGCTTTAATAGATACACGACACCAAGTTGGTAAAATTTCCTCAGTTTGATATTTATCAATAACATCTTCAAATCCAACATTATTACCAAAATTTCTTAATTCAATACCTTTTACAATATCCCATAATTTAACTTCTTCTGAAGTACTCAATGTTACGACATAACGTCTATTATTCAATAATCTAGCTTTAATCATACCATAATCACCTTCAATTGTCTTTATTGGAGTTGTCCAATTTGTTAAATTTGAATTTTCCATTGATGATGACCATATTTCATCTTGAAATTTATTTATTGATAATACACCTCTACTCCCCGATCCAATAACCCGAGTTAAATCTTGGTTAGTATGATATAACCGGCCCTGGGAATCACCTGTATAAAATTCATTAAATTCTAAATCATCAGAATATAATGACCATATTGAATTTTCAAAATTAAAACTTTTCAAAATATGATTTGTTCTAAGATCCCAAAGATTAACTTTTTTATCTGATGAACCTGATAATAAATAATTTTCTCCAACGATTAATGATTTTATAGTATCAGTATGACCATTTAATGCCACTATTGGTTTAAAAGTATTTGGATCAAATAATTGAATGTTTGAATCATTATCACCAAATGCAACAAGACCAGTTTGTTTGTTTGATGATATAGAATAAATAGAGCCTTTATCATTATCTAATTTATTTTCAAAAGCACCAATTTTTGTTTTTTGAGTTACATCCCATATATTAATAAATCTATCAAGACCACCAGTTATTATGGACCCTGAATTGGAAATTGCTAAAGATTTAACATAATCATGATGATGACCTATTAATTCGAATTTATTTAGTTCATAATTCCATAATTTAACACTAAGATCAGATGAACAACTAACAAGAGAATTTTCATTAAATAATTGAATATCATTAACCCAATCTGTATGAATTTGACCATGAGAAATATTATTTGTATGATTATCATAACTTGCCACTACCCCATCTCTACCACCTGTGAATAAATGTGTTTCATTTGATCTAATTGTATTTATTGGTAAGACATGAGATTTATCATTTTCATTAACACCTAATACATAACTGAGGCTTTTTGAATGTAACCTACTCATTGTTGACCTTAGTACACCTTTGACAAAACTCTAGTCTTCCCTTTGACCTGATCAATTCCTTTTTCTTTCAATGATTCAACAATAAAAGTACGTATCAATACAATACCAAACAACTAGTCACTCAACGCTTCTTAAAAGAACCTGCCAATTCCGTCTTTCAATTGATTGTTCCTTCTCGCTTCGGCATAGTTTGGGGTTTTTGTCGAACCATCAAAAAACAAATTCGCGGGTACGTTTGAGAATTTCGCGTGTAACAATAACACCAAAAAGAATTTAATCAGTTGATTTAGTTGTGATTCATTTGATTGTATATTGATTGTGTTTGGTATAATGAAGAACTTGACACAGCAGGAGAAAGAAGTGGCCAGTGTGAGTTTAACTGGTGTTTTTCCCGGGAGTCTTTAGCATCATTCCCAGTGGAGTTACTCAATATTTAAAGAGATCAAGTACTAACGCGTAAAAGCAATTGAAAGCTAGACTTTGGCTAGCCATTGCCAAAATTGTGGAGGAAGAATCACAATTGATTGAAGGTGAAGAGAAGATCAGTGCAACTCCGAAGTTTGTGGCTTCATTGGTGGAGCTGGTGTACAACCAGGCATTATCTCTTGGTGAAGACTTGGAATCGTTTGCCAGGTGAGTATTGAAGAGACCTAGTAATAAGGATTTGAATATTAACAACAGCAGACACGCAAAGAGAAAGACAATAACGCCCGAAGACATGTTCATGGTCACAAGGAGAAACGAGGACTTGACTGGTCTCTTAAAAGAACATCTTGTGGAACTCAATGCTAATAAGAAGAAACAAACTGTTCAATATGATAATAATAATGCTCAGGAAGATGACGACGATGATGATTTCGATATGGACGACGAACTCATACGGGCAACCACAAACAGGAAGAGTAACAGGTGATTTAGTGTGTTTATTATAGTTTTAATGAAGTTTTATAATGATTGTTGTATTTTTGTAGCGTATGTACACTTTTATTTCCCGATTAGGAAGTCAACAATCTTTTGATTACATAATTTTGTTGATGGAAAAAAAAAAATCAACATTCACTTTGGAAAAAAAACTGGTTAAAGAAAACAAGATTGGTTGAAAATTGTGAGTGTTGAAGTTGTGTTGAACAGTTATACAAGATGTTCAGTATAACGTCGGGTTTACGCAGACTGGGTCTGTGCTCTAGACCTACAATCCAAAGTCTAAGGTTTCAATCCACAATAAAATCATCAGATTCAATTATTCAAGCTTATATTCCACAATTAGAACAAAAAAGAATCATTCCAGTTGATAATACATATTATGATGAAAGTCCTCCACATGAAAAAATTATGAGAGATTTGAATGATCTATTACGTAAATATGTTACACTACCTAGAGATGATTCTAAAGTTAATAAATGGTTAACTTTTGATCAATATCAAGGTTTAGCAAAAGATCCAAGATTAAGACCTGGTAATCATAGAGATTTAGTTAAAGTTTTATCAAGATTAAATAAAATCGATTCACAATTAATGCCTGAAGAAATAGAAACACAATTGAAAAAATTTGCTCGTGCTCAAGGTCAAAAAGAAGAAGTTAAAGTTATTAGAAAATTAGATGAATTTGGTAGATCTAAAACTATTGGTGGTAGAAAAGCTGCTACTGCTATGGTTTATATGTCAAAAGGTTCTGGTGAAATCTTGGTTAATGGTAGACCATTAAATAAAGAATTTAAAAGATTAGCTGAACGTGAAGAAATTTTATATCCTTTAAAAGTTGTTGAAAGTGAAGGTGAATATAATATTTTCATTACTGTTGAAGGTGGTGGATTTTCAGGTAAAGCTGGTGCTATTGCAAATGCTATTGGTAAAGGTCTTGTTATTCATAATCCTTTATTAAAACCAAGATTATATAAAGCTGGTTGTATGTCTAGAGATAATAGAAGAAAAGAAAGAAAGAAACCAGGTAAAAGAAAAGCTAGAAAGAGTCCAACTTGGGTTAAACGTTAGACAAGTCTATTGGGGGTTTGTCTTTATTTTGTATATATATATTATTATTACTTCATATTAACGAGAATACATGTAAATTTGCATAAATGTTGTATTAAGTCTTATAAAAATGGGGGTATCAATCATAGATTAAGAAATAGAAATATCCATGATAACATATAAAGAATTGAAAAGAAGAAGAAGGAAGATTTTCAAATCTATTGAACATCACCTTCTAATAAAGCTAAAGAAGCTGTAAATCCATCATCTCCTTTAGCATTAGCTCTTGCAATAGCCGCAGTGACTAGTGAAGCATAAGACCAAGTTAAATCTCTAGCACCTCTTATAACACCAGAATCTTTATCAAATTGTTCACTTAAATGACCATCTTCACCTGCATAATATTTAACAACTCTTAAATAAGCATCACCCCAACCTAATAATGATTGAATAATTTGTTTAAATTGATCAGAATCTGAATTTATTGAACCAGTTTCTGAAACACCTGTATAATATTTCCAAAATGGTAATGATAATTCAGTAACTGAAATTGAACCTGAATCTTGGAAATTTTTAGCAATTGTAAAGAAATATTCTGCAAATGCATTATTTGATAAAAACCATGGATTTGCTAATGATGATCCAGTACCATTATAAACATCTTCTGGATATCTACCAGTTGGTGGTGCTAAAGGTAAATTATTTTCATCATGAGTTGTATTTGAAAGTTCATAAACTGGAATAAATGAAGTTGCAATTTCATATGCGGTTCTCAAGACCCATTCATTAGTTGGTGCAAATACATCATCACCTATGTAAGCATGATTAACACCTAAGATAACTGAAAGATCTTTATATGAAGCTTTACCACGTTGTGAAGGTCCATAACTATTCAAGATTATATTTCTAATTGGATAAACAAAATTTGATAAAGTATCATTTAGAGCAATGGCAGCTTCATTCCATACTCTATATGTTGAAACATCTCTTAAGTATTCAGAAGCAAATTCAGCACCTTGAATTAAAGCTCTTCTTTGAACAAATTTAGTGAAAAAATGATCAGAATCAACTTCTTCCCAAAGATCAAAATTTGAATAAGTCCAATTTGATGCAACAAAATCTAAATCTTTCTTTAATGGTTGTTCCCATGCTAAATCAATAATATAATTTTGATCACCACCTTTCTTGATATATTCTTTAACAAATTCTAAAATTGCAAATGCTCTAATAGCAGGTCCATCATTTTGTGGTCTACCCCAAGCACCTTGATAACCAGAATTATTACCAACATAAAATTTTGGTTCACCTAATCCTGCAATTGCACTACCATCATTTTGTTCAGCAATTGAAGCAGAAATAAATTGTAAGAAATAATCTTCTAATGCTCTAGCTGCTGTTGATTCTCTATCTGGTAATGCTTCATATAATTTGAAAATTGCATCATAAGTTAATCCAGCATCACGAATCCAATGATAGAAATAATCTGGATTATCTGAATTTTCACCATGAGATGGTGATGCAATAACAAGACCTGGTACAGAACCTTCAACACCAATATTATCGAAAACTCTTGATTTAGCTTTATAAATTTGTGAATCAACAGATTGAGCATTTAACCAATCATCAATATCTTCACCAAGACCAGAAGGCTGGATTTTTGGTTCTGGAGCAGATTCAGAATCTTCTTGAGGATCAGTTTGTTCAACTTTAATATTTAATTGTTGAGAATAAACATCCCCAGTATTTATTGAATTAAAAGTAACATTTAATAAAGTATCAAGACCTTCTTCTTGGAAAATCTTGGTTGATGTTGTCCATAATTCCCAATCATCTTCTAATCCTTCAGCATGACTTGCAGCTAATGCGGTTAAAGGAGTTGATTGTTCATCTTTATTTGTATAATAAAGGAAAACTGTCTTATCATAACCATCATTATGAACAAAAAATTCAGCATTGAAAGTACCGGATGTATAATTGTAAGAAGCTAATTGAACATGATTTGTATCGTTTAATTCAATGGGGTTTTCAATTAATTGAGCAGCAAATGCAGATGATGCAAGTGCTATTTGATATAATTTGGAGAATATCATTTGAAGATATTGATTGATGATACTTATGAAACTTGATTCAACCATTTTCTAATAAAAAGCAGCTGATAAGATCCTGTATTTATACCTGTTCGGTTAATTGATTCAATGGATCTTAAAATGTCTATGATCTATATGTCTTTGTCTCTATACGTCTTTGTCTTAGTTTATTGGTCACCCCGTAGCCCCCTAATGCCATGTAAATGCACCAAATTAGGAGAATCACTGTTAATACGAAATTTCTAGAGAAGCTGTTGTTGATCTTGCTCTTTAGTGAAGTTAAGATTGAATAGTGTGAAGGTTTTCAGGACTCATTGTTTTGCAATTGATCATCTTTGCTGATTAATAGATTTGAATTATATTTGCTTTCGTGAAGATTCATGAGATGTTCATGAAAATCTATATAAAAAGGCTAAAAATCATAAAAAGTACGAACCTTCAAGACAAGATGATGAAGATCATGATCATGGTTGTCCATTGAAGATCTATACAACCTCCTCATTTGCAATTAGACATGTAAAAGACTAATCATCTATACGTCTCAAAATCGTGGCTTCTGAAGGCCATAATCCATTCCCCAGATTCCGACAAGCACAATCATAGCATACAGCTAATAAACACTCTCTAAACGGACATAAAACTCATGATATTTGCTTGTTAGTTATGCATAAATCATAATTCGCCTCAAATATCGCCAGAATCTAAAGTTTCGAGAGTTTTAATTCGTAGGTTTTTAGTTTGTAATTTGATGTGTCGATCAGATTATCTGGGGAAATTTTTAGATTGTGGCAATTTGGAATTTCCGAAAATAATTCCGCGGTCCGGTAGAATTGAGACTAATATTGATGAGAATATAACACAAATAAAGGTAAATGAAAATTGTAAATAGTGATTAATATATATTGTTATTCTATTATTATTCTGATGTATTAAAAAATGAGAGTTTTTTGATGAAAGTTTTATTTTTCAAAATTTTATCAACATATAATTCATAAATTTTAATTTCAAATTCAATAAGTACAAATAACCCAATTTTTTTTTTTCAAAAACAGACATTTTATTGTAACTACTATAAAAATTGAGTGATTTTAACAATTTTAAAGCAAAAAAATCAGTATGTTTACTGCAAAATGTTTCAAATTATTTTACTTTCAAATATGCACATGTAAAAAATTCCGAATCCGGAAGAATTTATATGCAAGTAAACGGGGAAACTATTTTATTATCTAACGTATAAGAATAAGAATAAGAATACTTGTAATTAATTGAATGACTGAGTTGTTTTTAGTGTGTATTGAATTACTTGTGAGGAGTTTGTTGGGTAACTTGGATTGTATGTCGTTTGAAGCCCCAGATCCCGAGCTAATTGAGTATTCTTGAATTACAAAGTTTGGACTAAATAGAATTAAGAGTACGTAAAATTTATAAAAATATTCACTGATATAGAATCATAAAAAAAGTGTAAGTCAAAACCATATACAAGATCAACTCATTAAACCTTATAATAATATACAAAAATCATAAAATCCGAAAACCCAACCCCGAAACCCGAATCATATTCATATATAAAAAACCAATAACCAATAACTTAAAAAACATAAATCAATGAGATAGATACTATATCTCATTCTGTACCTGAAAATGCTAACCCAAAAAAAGTTGCAATCCCACCAATTGCTACACCAATAGCACCACTAATCAAATCCCGTTTGATAGAAGCTTCAGGCTTAGATAATTTCCCATTAACTTCGAATTTGATTAATTCATCATTAACTCTAACAACTTGAATTCTGGAGTCACGAGACTTTGAAGTTTTTTGTCTCTTTGGTGAAGGTTCCAAGACTTCATCTTCTTCACTTTCACTTTCACTTTCACTATCACTTTCACTTTCACTTTCACTTTCACTTTCACTTTCACTTTCACTTTCACTTTCACTTTCACTTTGAGGTTGATATTCACTATCACTATCAATTTCACTTTGAATTTGAGATTGATCTTCATTTTCAATTTGACCTTGAGATTGACCTTCCTTTTCAATTCCAATTCGAACTTGAGATTGATTCTCTCCTTCAGTTTCAATTTCATGATCATTCCCAATGTATATTTCAGGAGAATTAGATCTCTTTTCATCATCATCTTGGATAACAGGTGTTGATCTGAGTTCTTCCAATGAATCATCTCCCAAAGGACCTTTCGATGATAATTGATTTTTTTCATCAATCATCTGAAGAGCTTTAGCTTTTAAAGCATCTAATTTATTATCAAACTTCTGTTTTCTAATAGGTAAAACGTGTAATTTATATCGATCAGTCGATTCACCAGGGTTACCATCACGATCTTCACAATTTTCAAGATTCATTTGGGAAACAGCTGCGAGTGAAGTTAAATCCATAGAATGTCTCATATTATCCAAAGCAGACTTGTATGCTTGATCTTTCATACTTAACTCTTCATCATCATCTGATTCATTTCCAAGAATTAAATCAGCTTCACCATTTTCAGGACTTGGAGCAAATGCACCTGCAGGATATTCTGTAATGAAATCATCAGGGTCTCTATCTTCATCGATTGATGAATCATCTCCATAATCTAGATAATCTTCAAGCTCATCTTCATAAGGAAATTCCTCGTCATAATCAAGTTCATCATCGAGTTCGATATCAGAATCAACTAAGAGACCATAATCATCATCATCATCACTTATTGGCAATCCTCTATATGGCTCATGAGGAATACAACGTGATGGGCGAGCTGGAATCTCCATTGGTCTTCGATGTAATGGATTTCTGATTGGTGGTCTATTAGAAATTGGTGGTCCATTAGAAATTGGTGGTCCATGGAACATTGAAGGACCATGACGAATTGGAGGACCATGACGAACTGGAGGACCATGACGAGCTGGAGGACCATGATGAATTGGAGGACCATCACGAATTGGAGGACCATGACGAGCTGGAGGACCATGACGAATTGGAGGACCATCACGGATTGGGGGACCATGAGAAATTGAGGGACCATGAGAAATTGGAGGACCATCACGGATTGGGGGTCTATGAGCAATTGGAGGTCCACGAGGAGGTGTAGGGTTTTTATGAGCAATTGGAGGACGATTAGGGTTTGGGCGTCTATGAGAAATTAGAAGTCCACGAGGAGGTCTAGGTCTAATTCCAGCATTTTGACCAATAGCTTTTCCAACTGGAGGGTTAATTGGGTTTCTTCTCTCATATGGTCTATTTCTTGAACGGATTGGGATACCAAAAGGTTTTGGTGAGACTTTCTTTGATTTGATACCAAAAGGCTTTGGTGAGACTTCTTTTGATTTAATGCTAGAAGGCTTTGGTGAAACTTCTTTTGATTTAATACCACACGAATTAGCAGGTTTTGGTGAAGAACCCCTAGGGTGAACCTCATCTTTTTCAATTAGTGTTTCTTCAGGTGCTTCACCTGCCTTATCATCTTTTTTATCATCTTTTTCAACAACTTTTTCATCATCCCTTTCAGCATCAGATAAAACAACTCTCTTTCTCTTTCTTGGGATTACTGAATTCTCACTATTTTCTGAAGCATCAGCTATTTCAATAACTTCAGGTGCACATTCCTTATTCTCCAAAGGTGGGACAAAATCATTGCTTTCCTTATTCTCAGCAGTACTAACAACTGGAACACTATCAGCTTCAAAGTCTGTCATTATAGTAATTTAACACTATCAACAAATATTCAAGCTAATTCCCTGATACCTAAAACCAAATTGAATAAAAAAACAAGGAAAAAAGCTGTCTTTTTTGCCATTTAAATAAACTTTCTCATATATGGATCATCGTTCTTCTCTTATCAATTTGGCAGAATTCACGGTCAAATAATGACACATAATTAACAAACTTTTAAATTGGAGAATTTCAGGAAAGTTTCTTTGAAAGTTTAATTGGATTTGAATTGCTATTGTTATATAATTAATGGGGTTATGAGGATGAGTATGGATATGTGAATGAATATCATTACATCTAGCCATGTGAGACTATAATCCCTGACATTCAATACCCTTAGCGTTCCCACAGTTCATCACATAATCCCACAAATTTATAAGCCGTAAACACCTATATATTATCTTGATGAAATTGTAAAGTGCTACTCTAACACCCCAATTCTTTACAATAATTCACCTTTTCCAGTGTATTTAGTGTTACCGTATAATATTGTTTATTGTGATTACATAACACCATACGCACCGATGACATAATCTTACCAGAAAAAGTAGTTTTCGGTATGAATAAAAATCGAAATGTTTACGTTTCAAAAATATTCAATTTGAAATATCATCAGAAGGCCCTTTTTGAGTATTATAAAGAAGAGACACCATGTTCAAGTGTGAGTTGTGGATTTGAATAATTTAAAGTGTTTTGGGAGTGAATTTACTAACTGAATCAATCTAGGGAAAACAGGAATACAGGGGAATTATTCGATAGCTTCGAACCCGTCTTTCCATTCAGATCTATGGGCGGTATATCCTGCAAAGCATAAGTCATCAGATAGACAAGCATCTGTTTTCATTTTCGACAAGAAGAAATTTGAATCACTACTGGTGAAGAATAACATCATTAGAAAAGGTGATAAACAAATTGTTTCAGAAGCTTACGAGGTATTAAGAAATCAAGTATCAAATTTGGCAAAATTTAGACATCCAAATATATTAACTTTGATTGAACCTCTTGAAGATCATAAGGCAAATTTTATATTTGCTACTGAATATGTTACTGCCTGTTTAAACTCAGTCCCTTCAGAATTAGATGATGTTAGTATATAGAAAGGTTTATTACAAATATCAAATGCTATGGAGTTTTTACATTCCACGGCAAAATATATCCATCTTTCAATTCAACCTAGTGCTATTTTCATCAATGAGAATTCAGATTGGAAATTAAGTGGGTTTGGTCACATTCAACCTGTTGAGTCTGAAGAATTTTTCATCCCGCAATATGATCCAAGAATGCCAACTTTTGTTAATATTAATTTAAATTATACTGCACCTGAAGTTGTTTATGAAAATAATATATATCCTTCAAGTGATATCTATTCATTAGGTTGTTTTATTTATTATTTATATACAAAAGGTGAAAAAACTGTTGTTAGTTGTGATAATTCAACTACTTATTATAAAGAAGATTATGAAAAATTTGAAAATAGACTTAGACAAAATAACCCCAAAACAGTTTTCAAAAATGTTCCAGAAACTTTATTTCAAGTATTACCACAATTATTAACAAGATATCCAAATCAAAGATTATCAATTAAAGAATTTATTGAAAGTGGTTATTTTAATAATCCATTAGTCAAGACTATGATCTTTTTAGATGAATTCCCAACAAAATCTGATGATGAAAAGGCAATTTTCTTAAAATCATTAGTTAATTTATTACCATTATTCCCAACTACAATCCTTCAAAAGAAAATATTACCAATCTTGTTAGATTTATTAGGTAAAAAAGTTCTGCCATTGATTCAAATAACATTAACCATAATATTATTGATTGGTAATACTTTATCACAATTAACATTCCATGATAAAGTCTATTTAACTCTATATGATGATAAGTTATTATCATTACCTGAAGCTCAAATAGTTATGCTTGAAAATCTGAGTATACTACAACAAAAAGTTAAAAATGATGAATTTAAAAAATTGTTATTAAGACTTACTGATAAAGTATTAGATCTAAAGAGTAATTTCCAAATACAAACAAAAGCATTAGAAAGAACTGATATCATGTTAGAATCTATTGATTTCCCAACAATTAAAAATAATATCTTCCCCAAAATATGTGGAATTTTTTCCAAGACAACTTCATTAACTGTTAAAGTTAAAGCTATTGATTCATTTGTATTATTGATTGAAAAAAAAGGTATTGATAAATTCACAGTTAATGAAACATTATTACCTCTTTTAAGATCTATGAAAACTAGAGAAGTGAAAATTCTTGAAGCTGTTTTGAATGTTTATAAAACATCTGCTACTATTTTGGATGAAGAACAAATTGTGGAACATATCATTCCTCCATTATGGTTATTATCCATATCATCAACTCTAAATCCTAAATCTTATCAAGATTATAATAACGTGATTAATGATATTACTAAAACCATTCAAACTAAACATATGGAGAAATTAAGAGCTTTAGAAGGTAGTAAACCACCTGCTGATGAAGATGATACAGAAAAATTTAGACATTTATTATATGGGAAAGAGGAAACTACACAGGCACCAGCACATGTTGGTCTAAGAGATGCTCCATTATCAACAACAACCATTCAACAAGCAATGTCCACACCAGTCATAAATAATTCCACACCAGTTATTAAACCAAAACTAAAAACTGAACCATTAACTCTAAGACCAAGTAAACCAAATCAAAAAACTAATTTAAATTTCGGATCAAATTCACAAAATGTTCCAAAAGCTGTACAAAATTTAAGAGCAACACCATCATTAAGTCAAGATTATAATGATGATTTTGATGATTTTGTTTCAGCACCATCAACAAGAAACGTTACACCAACTTTACAACCAACTTCACCACCTGTACAAACAACAACTTTACAACCCCAATCAACTATAGATTGGTCAGGTGAACAAAACAAGATTGGTGGGTTTGGTGTCTTACAACCATCAAATAGATCAAATAAATCATCACCAGGTTTTAATAATGCTTCATTATCATCAACAATTAATACAAATGGTGTTTCAAATAATTTCCCACCTGGGTTTTCCTCTCAACCGATCCAACCTGTTAGAAATAATAGTATGAATCGCTCATCAAGTATTAATAATAACAATAACAATAACCAGAAGTCGAATTATGATATAAGTCTAATATAATTAATAAATGATAGAAATATTCTAATTGAAGTAATACATGTAGTCGGAAGTTGAAACTGATGTCATGTGAAAATCATGTGAAATTTCCATTTCCGGTCCTATATAACAAAAAAAATATACTTAGAGATGAGATCAAAACAGTAAATTAGAAGAATTTTAAATTGAATAGGTATCTTTGATATTTATTGGTCTTTACTCTTATCTTACCAGAAGGTTATCAACTAAAAATGAATTCCATCAAAGCTGTTGAAAAAAAGAAAAAACAAGTCTTCAAACCATTATTAGACAATCCTTTCACTCAAGCACAATTCCCAAGAATAGAACCATCAATACAATCACAAATATTAGATTTCTTAATACATATATTAGAAGATATAGGTAAATATGAATCATTGAAATCAACATCATCAAAATCAAATAATAAATTCACACTTGAAAAACCAGAAATTTTAGATCATATAACACTTGGTTTTAATAGTACAGTACAAAAATTAGAATCTCAAGCACAGGGCAAACCCCAAAAACAAATCATATCATATGTATTAGTTTGTAAAGCTGATATTCAACCTTCTTTGATAACATCTCAATTCCCAGTGCTAAGTTATACAGCATCTTCAGAACATAATAAAGTTAAATTAGTTCAACTACCCAAAGGTAGTATTGAAAAAATTGAAAAAGTATTGGGTAAAAAAAATGGTATTATTGGATTATCAAAGACTGAATTCTTACCAAATGCATTCATAAAATTATTAGATGATGTACCAAATGTTGAAGTTCCATGGTTGGAAAATATTAGATTTGTTAAACCAAATATTAAATTATTAGAAACTACAGCTACAATAGCTCCAAAGAAGGATAAAAATAAGAATAATAAAGTTGGTAAAAAATAAATAATATAATAACATTTTAAAGTCTCTTCATGAGCCTAGTTAAAGTATGAATGGATCTTACTGTTGTAGTTGGTATTGTTCTATTGAATTCTTTAGCATATCCTTTAATGAATGAACCTTTAATATCAGGCCTTGTTCTTGAAAAGACATCTTCTTTGAATTTTGCTTTAAAATTATGTTCACTCATTGGATCTGTTTTCAATCTATTAACGTATAATAAGCTTTGGGCTCTTGTCATTGCAACATATGTTAATTTTTTATCTTCGGCTCTGAAAAAATCTGCTAATGGTGAACCTAATAAGAAAACAATTGGGAATTCAAGACCTTTTGCAGAATGAACTGTACTCAATTTAACTGATTTGATATTTTTAGAAATTGGTAAAACATGTAAATAATTTTTCAAAAAATGTTGAGTCAATGAAATATCTGTTGCCTTATTATTATTAGAGATCTTTAAATTTTCATAAAATTCTTGTAATTGATTGATAATTTGTTCTTTATCAGCTTTTGTTGTTACACTCTTGGAAATCAATTTCAAAAGTCCTAAATCATGAGCTAATTGTATCACAGTCTTAAATATAGATTCAGGATTATCAAAATCTATTTCAAATCTAGCTTTTTCAATTTCTTGAACATAAGGCATTATTTTCTTATTTAAAGTTCCATCTCTATTTGTTTTTTTCAAATATTCCCATAATGTCACATCTTCTTCAATAGCTCCCTGGACACAATTTCTTATAGCAACTTTCCCCACACCAGGTAAAAGATTAAGGGTACACATTATTGGAAATTTAGATTCTTCAGGTGCTGCTAATACTCTTAGATAATCAACCAAATGAAATAAATTATTAGTTAACCAAGGAGGATTTGAAGTTAATTTCATATCCATAATTCCATGTAAATTTAATGTTTTCTGAATTTTATTTAATTCATTATTAGTTCTCCCCAATATTGTAATATCATTTGGTTCTATTATACCTTCACTATCATTTATAAGTCTAAATATCTCAGATGCAATCCATTCGAATTGTTCATTTTCATCATCAAATAATCTAGCCATAGGTTTTATACCACCCATTTCTTTTAAAGCAATGGATGGAACCTCTTTACCTAATAAAGTATCAGAAGCATGTATGATTTCTGGAGTTGATCTAAAAGTTTCTTGTAAATATAATTTATTTATTGGTTTTAATTTTTGTAAAGATTTATGAACATCTAAATTTGAACCAAGGAAACTATAAATTGATTGATCTGGATCACCAGCTGTAACTAAATGTGGTGATTTACCAACCAATTCAATTAATTGATATAGTTCAGGGTATACATCTTGGAATTCATCCACAATAACTGTTTTATAATTTAATTGTACTATTCCATCTTTAATCAATTGTTTTGCTCCTCTCAATATATCAGAATGAACCAAAACGTTTGATGATTCTAATGTATCCAATACTTCTTTCAATGAATCAACTTTAATCTTGTACCTCTTGATTAACATTTTTACATCATTATCTTCTATCCCCTTTAATTTGATTTTTTCCAATAATCTTGTCAATATTGGCTTGGTAATTTTTCCATCAACCATCGCAACTAAAGTTCTCCAACCTGATTCTTCAATAATTTGTATATCAGTACCCAATCCTTTAGATTCATTATTTTCCAAGACTAATCTATGAGAAAATCCATGAAATGTAGTTATATCAACTTTATCACCAACACCAGTTCCTAAAATGGCATCAACTTGTTGTTTCAATGTTTCAACAGCTTTATTTGTCATTGAAAGTACCAAAATCTCTGAAGGTTGAATCTTTAATGTCCCAATCATATAAGCAATCTTATAAACTAATGTAGTAGTTTTACCAGAACCAGGACCAGCAATGACTTGTAAAGTTGTACCTGGGTCAATGGGACTAGTAATCACATCCAATTGTGATTTAGTTACTTGAATTTCATGATCCTGTAACTGATCTTCTTGTAATTGCTCAAAATGTTCAAATTCTATATTATTTAAATCTTCTTGATAGTTTTCATAATCGACAAAATCGTTATCCTGTGCTGTTTCAGGATGATTTGAAAGTGATAATCCTTCTAGTGGAATTATAGGCGGTGACTCTGACATGACATGATTGATTTAAAACAGTGGAAGGTCAAATCAAAGGTTGTTGATGTTTTGATTCCAATTTAAATTTTGTTTGATTTGATATTTTGAATTTTTATGACAGGTCAAATTCAAATTTATATACGGTGCTTAGTCATCACAATAGAAAGCTGGAATTATAAGTAATTATCTACAAAATCTTTCATTTTAAATACTTCATAGATCATCAAATTATTTTGGTTTATAAGCTTCCACCAAGAGTTTGAAATGTTCAGTTTCACTTGTAGCTAAAGAACCTTCACATTCACTTAATATACCCCAAACATAAGAATAATTATTATACAAGAATAATTCATTTTGTTTTAGGTTTTTGGACATTTTAGTTAATGTAGATTCATAATCATTCCTTATTCTTTGAACACTTTGATATAATGGTTCTTGAGTAGATTGTTGTTCAGGTGGAGTCAATTTTAAGAAACCAGTTAATAAATTTGTAAATTGTAAAGTTAATGGATGAGAAACATTTGATTTTATTCCAGTGATACTTGAACTTTTGGAACTTGATCTTTTCATATTTTCACAATTTAAATCCACTAAGTTTTGAAATTTTGGCCATAGTGTAATTAATTGTAAATTTAAATAATCTTCAATCACAGGGATACGTCTTCTTTGTAATTCAAAAATTAAACCTTGAGTTAATCTAATCAATATTAAGACACCAAATATATCATATGTTGATGTTACAAGTTCCTTGGTATAATTAACACCAAGTTGGAAAGTTGTAGAGAAAATTTGTTCAAAAATTCCATTAACATCACCACTCATTTGGAAAAATTCCATTAAAAATAAATATTCAACACTACCATTATCAATAATTGCCAAATTAAAAGATCTAAACCCAGTCTCCATATGAAATTTCAGTTGATTGAATTCAGCAATTTGTGCAGGCATAACAGTTGGATCTTCAGCTTTTATAATATCAGCTCTTTTCCCTAATGAATAATCAATAATTGAACTTTTCTTAAATAATGATTGAGTTCCCCCAATTAATGAATCTTTATCCACAATTACAGGTGTTAATCTATGTAATGATTGTAAATATCTTTGGAAATGTGTATGATAATACCATTTCATTGTATAAACATATGCTTGTCTAATTTCTAATGCTAATGAAGGTTGTCTGTTTTGTAAAAAAGGATAAATATCACGACAACGGATTAATTGATCTTGAATAACTTGTGATGGTGTTCCAATAGTTCTCAAAGATTTTATTTGAGAAACCATGAAATTTTTGATACGTTCAATTGCCTTAATATATAATAAATCAAGTGTCTTTGTTAATGATTCCAAAGATTTTAAATTTGGACATTGTTCTTTATATTTATTATAAATTTCAGTCTTTTCTTGTAAAAATTGTAAATTTTCACACCAAGATTGATTAATTTCACCATTATATATTGATCTTATAACATCAGGTGGAATAATTAAATCTGAAACTATTGGAGTATATTTATTTTCTAAAATTTGACGAGTTGATAAATTTTTCGATAAATTAACAGATTTTGATTTTAAACTTTCTAATTCTTTTGATAATTCCATTAATTTTTTATTAAAATCTATAAGATAATCACTTAATGGTGTTATAATTTTATTAAATAATTCCACAGTGGATTTAAATTGTAAGATTCTATCCAATTCTTCTGAATGATCGGTCTCTAAGTTATTAGTTGTTGATAAAAACCGTATTTCTTCCAATGAAGTACCATCATATTCATTCAATTGATCCAATTGTTCCCATCCTTTATCTTGATCAACTTCCAATTCATATTCATTTGAGCCCAATATTGATTTCAACGTTTGGAATGGATCTTTTGTGGATTGTTCCGTACCAGCCGGTGGATTTTTCGAAATAGACCTTCTTGATATCCTGTTACCATTCTCCACAGATGCCATTTTCCTCTTTAATGGCAAACTTTTGACCTTCTTTTCAATGGAATTGTTGTTCAATTTCTTTCTTGTTATTTCAAAACATCGTTAAACAACATTTTGATCGAAGACCGGAAATGGATTTCAAGAGACCGGAAATTGTAGAAAAGTATATAAGTAAGTACAAATTTCCAAACTTTTCACCAAAAAATTAAAAGTTTCATACAAAATTGAACAATCAGAGGATTCAAACTATACGGATTTTCAATCAATGCAATTATTTTTTTATTTTAGGGGTTTATTATTATATACACATTCAATATTTCAAACTTGCAATTCTTGCAATTAAAGCATTCAATTGTAAATAAGATCCAACACCTTCTAAAACTCTCATATGTGTAATACCAATTTCCTTCATTATTTCTAATCTATCACTTTCATCAATTTCATACAAATTCTTAACAACTTTAAAACTAGTTGATGCAATATCAATAGCTGAATAACCCTTTTCCCAAAGACCATTTAAATAAAATAAACTTTTATCAATATCTTTATTTTGTACAACTTCTAAAATCATTTTCTTGATGATTAATGGATGAGGAGAATCGACAATTTTGAAAACATTTTCTCCATTAACAAATCCAAACCCTGCAACGGTACTTTGTAAATTATTTATAGCTTGTCTCATATCACCTTCTGCAGTGAAAATTAAAGCTTCTAATCCATCATTTGAATATTCAACTTTTTCAAATTTTATAATATCTAATAATCTTTTCAATACTTCTTCATCACTTAATTTTGTATAACGTAAAATTGCACAACGAGATTGTAAAGGTTCAATAATTTTATTTGATACATTACAAGCAAATGCAAATCTTGTTGTATTTGAATAAATTTCCATAGTTCTTCTTAAAGCTTGTTGAGCCCCAGGGGTCATTGAATCAGCTTCATCCAAAATAATAATTTTATGTCTACCTTGTGGTAAACTAACTTTTTTCTGTGCAAATTGTTTAATTTTATTTCTAACAACATCAATACCACGATCATCTGAAGCATTCAATTCTAAAACAGCATTTGAATAAGCATCCCCTAATAATTCATGTGCAAGACAATGTATCGATGTGGTTTTACCTATCCCTGGTAAACCAGATATGATTAAATGAGGCATATTACCATCTTGTGAAATTAATTTTAATCTTGATATTGTTTCTTCATTACCTGTAACATCTTCTAATTTTGATGGACGATATTTTTCTACCCATGGTAGTTCTAACTTTAGTGCATTGGACATTGTAATTATGTATCTTATATCAGTCAAGCAAACAATCAATTATACCCTCGATCAAAGGTATTTTCCATAATATTAAAGACTACGCGTGAAATTAAAACTTCCAAACGCGAGCGCGAATTTTGATTTCTAGAGATTATATAAGCAGAATTGTTAGGGGACATATGAGCATAAGTAAAATTTTATAATTATTTGACAAAATACTAGGTATCATTTGTATAAATATATCTTTATTCTTATTAATACATGCTATTTACAATCTATTTGGCTTCTTCTTTTTCTTCTTTTGATTCTTCTTCAACATCTTTTTTTAGTTCTTCTTTTGGTTCATCTTCAACACCTTCAACACTTGCAACTTCACTAACTTCATCTTCATCTTCACCTTCATCCTCTTTATCACCCAATAATTTCCTACTTGGTAAGATTTTTTCAAAAGCAGCTTTCCAATCTTTCCCAGTATTAAACCATTCCAACATTAATTCCACAACATGAGTAGTAGTTAAAACTTGTCTACCAAATAAATTTATATATTGATCAATTGGTAATTTTTGACATTTTAATCCTAATTTTTGTGCTTTATCTCTACATAAATATTTATAACGACCTTTATCCACAATACCTCCAATTATATATGTATGATTTGGTTTTAATTCTTCTAAAGTTTCATCAGAATCTGCTGATAAATAAATTGTTGTTTCTTTATCATCTATTGCAAAAGGATCTTCATTAAATTTCATATGAGTCCAATTTTGATATGCAGAAGATTTCATATCAACTTCAAATCTTTTCTTTAACCAACCACCAAATGATGAAACTTGTAAATCCACTGTATTTGGTGAAAATCTATTTGCAGAATAAGCTCTTGTAATTTGTGAACTTAGAGAGATTTTTTCTTTATCATTCATTAAATGATCAAAAGAACAATCTATAATTATTTTAGTATCAATTTTGGTTTGTTCAGTTGGTTTTCTTGGTCTCTTTTTAATTAAATGATCTGGAATTTTTTCATTACGTTCAATATATGATTTAATTTCTTCTCTTCTTGCAGCATTATTTTGTTTTTTCTTTTCTTTTCTAATTTTTGTATATTCTTTTTTAGTTTCTTGAAATTTTTTCTTTCTTTGTAATTTTTTCCATTGAGATTTTGACATTAATTCAGGTTTTGTATCTGGTAAATTATTTAAATCTTCAAAATCAGTAGCTAAAATTGGTGATTCATCTCTTGATTCTGATGGTTCTGATGGTTCATCCTTTGTAATGGTTGGTTCTTCAACTTTTGGTTGTGATTGTTGATCCAATTGAGGGGTCTCTTTGATTTCTTCAGTCATCTTTGTACACAGGGAGATAAAATGATGATTTGCTTTAGATCTTTTATGCATCGGTATAATTGATTTAATATTGGTGTCAAAAATTTTCGTGATCAAAATCATCAAGAACATTGGTGTTCGGATGCGATGAGAAAGTCAAAAGGAATTCAGATCAAAAACATCAACAAAAGAATGAAAAGTAAACAAAAGAAGGAAACCAACTTCAACTTCAACTTCAACTGATGATTTGTTCAAGATGTTCAACAACACAACAAGGGACAATGATTGTATTTCCATAACAGAAAAGACATTTGATTTATCATTGGACGATACAGAATTAGATGATTCAGGTATTGAATCGGATCATCAACATCATAATCATCAAGAAGAACCAGCCTCACAAATATTGGATAAAGAATATATTTTACCTGATAGATCTATTGAATCACTGGTATTTGGTGATATAAAGCCACCACCAGTAAATAAAAATCATACAAAACCAATTGAAATCCAACAGGGCGGTAATACATCTATTAAGTCAGCGGTAAATGGTGGTGGTAATACTAATTTAAATTTTAAAAAGTTTGATAGAACTATACCATCAAGATCAAAGTATGGAAATGTTGATGATGGATTATCATTAATGGCTAATGAAAATTTAATCAAAAGTATCAAAACATTACAAAAAATAAGTGGTACAGAAGTTAATATATCAAATTATAATAATGATAATAAACGTTCATTAGATTCATTAACAAAATTAAATATGGAATTAGTGGAAAATAGTGAATTAAAATTAAAATTTATTGAAAAAAATTATAGATTTCTTGAAAATTTATATGAAGATTTAACTAAAAATTATGAATTAGATAAATCAAGATTTCAATTAAAACAACAAGAATTTGAACAAATATTAAAACAATGGGAATATCTTGGTGATTTATTAAAGAAGGAATATAAACAAGATGGAAATGATGGTCCTGTTTCAAATACACCACAAGAATTGATTCAATTGATAAAGAATTCTTCAACCCCTGTTCAAAATAGTATAGATAAAGATGAAATTATTAAGAAACAAGAAAAGGAAATTAAGGATTATAAACGTTTCATCAAAGAAATGATGGAAAGATAAGACTATGCTTATCGACTAGCTAACTAGTAATGACATATGTAACGACTTTAATGATATTTAATTTGATATAATGATCTAATCCAGCGTACTATGTATAAGTACTAGTACTAGTAGATCAATCTTTTACTGAAACTCAACTTTCAAGCGCCATTAAAGGGTCTAATTAAACAAAGGAAATTTAAATGTTTATCGGTTAATCGGATTAATTATCACGATTCACAAGTTAACTTTAAACTGATTTAAGCTTCAGATAGTCCTGGGCCCTGGCCTTATCGGATCAATAAATAATTAAATAAACTATGATCAAGTGGTGCACCAATTTTTTAAACAGGAGGCGTAAGTTCGTAAGCAATGACATAATCCAGGATGTAAACGATGTAAAATTTCGTAATTTCTTTGGTTTCAAAAGTTTTAAATTGTCCAAATACAGTAATCGTAAGAGGAGAAGCGAAAAAAACACGAAAAATAAAAATAAAACTTACGTAATGATAATCAACGTTTTACATCAAAAAGCTGATAAAAACTAGACTAACTGTGAAGAGGGGACTTTTTGTTTTATTGTTGAGTGGCAAAATTGATTGTTTACAAATTAATAAATGGATAATTACACGATCGTGTTTATTTAAATATAAATAAATCGTTTTTTCCATTCTTTTTCTTTCCATTTCCTTTGTCTCTGAACTTAACACCAAACGTTGACAAAGCCCATCCTCATCAGCTCAGATTGGTTGCAGAACAGGCAGAAACGCACAAATTCAACTTACAAGGAATCCGAATCCAACCACTAAAATCACAGACACGGAAAAACCAAGTTGAAAGATCCGGGAAGAAGTGTACGGAAAAAGGAAAAAAAAAAGTAAAACCACGAGATTTTTTGAAAAGTGGTGCTGTGCTGTGTCGCGTACCGTATCATAAGTATCATAAATTTATAATTATCCATCATAAGATTTGAATTGCAACGTTTTAAATATCTTGTGGTATCTTTTAGATTTGAATTCTTAACATACTTTCATACAAGTATTACAATCATTATCGTTCCAAGGAACTAAAACACAGTCATTAAACAACATAAGAACATAATATAGATGGACTACAAAATGTCAGAAATACCACTACCGACAAGTTTAAATGAAAAATTCCCATTACAAAGATTAAAATCAAATGATTCAACAACTTCATCAACTTTTTCAAGAAATTCAAGTTCTTCTTCAGTGGCAACCACTATCTCTACACATAACTTCCAACCATCATCATCATATAAACCAATAGTTTCACCAACTTTATCTTCACTGACTGAAGCTTTACATATATCTTTTGGTCATAACGGTAATAAATCATCCGATACTTTAAATGTTGAAGATAAACAAACAAGGGACTTTGCTCCAACAACAACTCCAACAAATGAAGAAGTAATTACACAAAAATGGTGTATTATATTAGTTGGTTTACCTGCTTCAGGGAAATCAACAATAACTTCAAATCTTATAAATTATTTAAAACCTTATTATCATATTGATACATTCAATGCAGGTTTTATAAGAAGAAAATTATCAATTGGGAAACAAAATGCAAATTTTTTTGATTTTAATAATCCAAAAGCTAAAAAGCAAAGAGATACATATGCACAAATCTCATTAGATCATTTATTAAATTCATTATTTTGTGATAATTTAGATGTTGGTATCTTGGATGCAACAAATTCAACAAAAGATCGTCGTGATTATATTTTTAATACTATAAATGATAAAAAAAAATATTATAAAGAATCAAATTCAAATATTCAAATTAATACAATGGTTTTAGAAATTAAATGTGATGATCCAAAATGTTGGGAATTTAATGCTAAAAAAAAAACAACAAATCCAGATTATATTACAATGGGTTATGAAAAAGCTTTAAAAGATTTTATGGATAGAGCTCAAAGATATCGTGATGCTTTTGAAGAAATTACAAAAGAAGAAATGTTACAAAATGGTGGATTATATATCCAATTTAAAGATGTTGGTAAAAAAATTGAAATTGATGGTGAAGAAAATTATTTAAATGAAGATGAAGATGAAATATTAAAGTTGATTATGAAGTTTATGAATGATTATTATGAAAATTTTGGGGAAAAATATATGAATTTGGTTTATGGAAATTAATCATTGGTTGATTGATTTTTATGTTTATATTCCAAGTTTATGTTCAGAAAAAAGAAAAAAAAGAAAAAGAGTATATATTACTATAGAGAGAAGGTTTTATTTTAGTTCGGGTTTTATTATATTTATTAAGTTATTTTTTATTTGGTTTTACATTTATATATTATAGAAATATAGAATTTATATTTGGGGTTTTATAAAAAATCATACGTAGATACTTAATATCCCAACCCTGGTAAATTATAACCACCTCTATCACCACCACCATTTCTTTCACCACGTCCTGAACGACTTGTATAACCAAAATCATTACCATTATCCAAACCAGGTAAATTATATCTATAATCATCTCTATTATTTTGTTGTTGTTGTTGAGATTTATTACCAACATTTTCATTTGCAGGAACCACGGCATTAACTGAATTATTTATTGCAAAATACCATGCACCAACTTTATCATTTGAATAAGGTGGATCATTAAATGCATTTGGATCATTTGGACGTCCTCTACACCAAAATCTTGCAGATCTATCAGCCCCGGCAGAAGTTAAAATATGACCTAAAGGATGATATTCTAATGAATGAATAGCCTTTTCATGAGCATATGGAATTGTATGATATGGTTTTATTGTTTCTAATTGAGATAATTCTGGTGTTGTATCTGTTAAATTATAATGATTCATTGATCCATCATATCCTCCTGTGGTAATCATATTTCTATGTATTGGATTCCATGCTAATGAACTTAAATCAACTTCTGATCTATAAATGAAAACATCCTTCATTGTTCTTAAATCAAATATTCTCATTGAACGATCTCTAGAGATTGATGATAATAAATAAGAATCTGTAAAAGGTTGAAATTTTGTCTTTGTTATAGTATGTTTAAATCCATGTAATGTTGTAACTGGTGTACCAGATCTTGGATCCCATAATTTAATTAAATTATCCTTAGACCCACTAACAATCAACCCAAGGGAACTATGCCAATCAGCACATTTAACATCCCAATTATGACCTTTTAAAACACGTTCTTCTTGTCCATTACTAAAATTCCAAATTTTTAAACTTGAATCATCACTTGCAGTAACAAATTTCCCATCTCCTGGAGCAAATACAACATCACGAATAGCATCATCATGAGCATTTATAATATTAACATTATTAAAATTTGATTGCCAAAATTTTAAAACCCCATCTTGATCACCACTTAATAACCAATCATCATTATGACTATAATTTAAACATAATACTGCAGTATCATGAGCTTGCATAATTGTTTCAAAATTAAAAGTCATACCATTCCATAATGTAAATTCACCACTATGACTAGCAACTAATAATCTTCTCCCCTCAGGGGTCCATTTAATACTATGAATTGCATGCTTTGCCTTATTACTACTTAAATGAACAAATTTTGTTGGTGTATCAATAACATTTTCCCTAGCAGAATAAGCAACACTAGGTAATAAATCCACTGTATATGAAGCTTCAGGACGTATTTCACCTCTTAATTGTCTCTTGTGACCTAATTTTTTATATATTGACCAACGTCCATATGGTGCACCATGATCTATTATACGACGATGTGCTGTGGATCTTTTTTGTTGGGAGGCTAGTTGTGTCTCAAGACTTTGTGTGTAGTATGGTGTGCGTTCCATTGAAACTATTATTGTATTATAATTGAATGATCAATGAGTTTGAAAGTTGATGGAAAGAGATTTTAATGACTTTGTTTTGGTTATTTAAGTTCATTATTATGGGTATCAATTTTAATTTTTCAGTGCGAGATTTGAATTTTCGTTCAGCGCAACATCATAATAAACTCATACAAAATTAATTTTACAAAAAACTACAAAATTTCAAAAAAATAAATAACAAACGTGACATTAGTGTTATATAATATTAATATATTGTTTATTCATCATCATATTCTTCAACTCTTTGAGATCCATTAATTTTCCATTCTAATAATCTTGCCAATTTATCAGGATGACAACCTTGATTTAAAAATTCATGTTGTAATAATTCATCAGTACTAGCTCTATATTTAACATCAACACATAGACAAATACTTAGAAATTTTTTAATTGAACTTGATAATAATTCTGGTTTTTTCAATTTTGGTGTACCATTTGTTGCAATTAAAAATAAAGCTTTTAATGGTTCTTCATTTAAATATGGTGGTTCTCCTTCAATCATTTCTATAGTCATTATACCTAGGGACCAAACATCAACTTTTTCATCATATTCTTTTGTTTTGACAACTTCTGGTGCCATCCAATATGGTGTACCAACCATTGTAGCTCTTTTATTCTTTTGTGCAGTTAATTTTGCACAGAATCCAAAATCTGTAATTTTAACATTTCCTTTTAAATCTAATAAAACATTATCAGATTTAATATCTCTATGAATAATTTTTTTATTATGTAAAAATTTTAACCCTTTAGTAACTTCAAAACAAATTGATGAAATTTGATCTTCCTCTATAGTATTTTCATTATTTTCAATAACATCTGTAAGGGAACCACCTTCCATAAATTCCATAACAACCCATAATTCTTGATTTTGTAAAAAAGCTTCTAGGAAATTAACAATATTTTTATGTTGAGAATCTTTCATAACTAAAATTTCATTAACAATTAATTCTTTTCTTGGTTGAGCATTTAAATCCATTTGCTTTATAGCAACTTTTAAATCATTTCTCATTAATGATTTTGCTAAATAGACAGTACCAGAAGCACCTTGTCCAGCTTTTTCAATCATTTGGAAAAATGGAGAAGGATCAACATTTCTAACAACACTTTTCAAATTCTTCATAACTTGTGCATCATTCATTGCACTTATTCTTTTTTCTTCATTTCTTTGTTTCATTGTCTTTGGTGGTTGAATCTTGGTTGGAGTTTTTGGTGATTGTATAGCAGCTTGAGCAGCAGCATGAGCAGCAGCCATTTGTGCAGGTGATTTTTGTTGTTGATGTTGTGGTTGACCATGACTTGGATAAGGTTTATTATGGTGTTGAGGTTGTAATGGTTGAATAGGTTTATTATAAGGTGATGGAGTTTGTTGTTTAAAACCTGGTCTATATTGAGGATTTTGTTGTGATGATTGTCCATAAGGTTTTTGATAATTTGGTGGAGGTGGTGCAGGTCTATTTGCTCTTGGAGTTTGTTGACCTTGTGGACCTGGTGGTGGTCTTGGAGCTTGTCTTGATGGTTGTAAATCACGTCTTGGTGGGATACCATGTTGTGAAGATAATGAAGTTGGTGTTGTAATAGAAGTTGGTGTTGGTAATTGATCAGTTGGTGAACCATTTGTTGGAGATGGAGATTCATCAAGATATGGATTAGGTATAGCTGCAGGTGCATTATTTTTATATGGGTATTGTTGTTGTTGTGGTTGATGATGTTGTGGTTGTTGATTATTAAAATGAGTTTGAATTTTCAAATTTGGATTAATTTTTTGTGGTGAAGTTCTTAAAGGTGGTATTGAATCAGGATTAATTGGATATTGTTGTTGTGATTGTTGTGATTGTTGTTGTTGTTGAGGTTTTGGTGGTGGTGGAGCTCTTCTCATTGGGACTAAATCATTTTGAGATTCTTTTGGTGTTGGTGTACTAGTCCCAGAATTTGAACCTGAAGTAGTTGTATAATATGGAGAAACTTTTGGAGGTGAAGAATTTTTCAAAGGAGTTGAATAAGGTTTTGATAAATCATTTAATATTCTAGTATTATTATTCTCTTTATCACTTGATAATGAATTCCCAGAATCATTTGAATTTGTTGGTTTATGTAATATTTGTTGTTGCTGTTGTTGTTGTTCATTAACTTGACCTTTTTGTTGATCTTGATAAAATTCTAAAACTTCAATAACTGCAACTGGATCTTTTGACCAATCTTCATTTGTAATTTTAGAATGTTCTAATAATCTTTTCCAATTTTCTGGTAATCCTGTAAAATTACCACTTGTTGGATCAAAACCAACATGAACTTTATGAGTAAAATTAGTCGGGCTTGACACGGTACCTGTTAATGGACATTTTGCGAAAATAGCATCTAACCAACCAAATAAATCATTTATAGTTTTCAAAGAAATGAATAATGATTTTTTAACACCATTATTTCTAATTAATTCAAAACAATAAGGTCTTAATTGAACTCTTGATAAATTAACAATTGAAGTTAATGAAATTTTTAACCAAATTTCCTCCATTGAATCATTCTTGAAAAAAATTAAATTTGAATCATTCAATACTAAATATCTTTTGGGCCATCTAAATGACATAATACCTTCATCTTTAACTTGTACCCAACCTTGACGTCTTATGATTTTATTATTACCATTCAAGTTTTGAGAATTTGAAGTTAATGAAATAGAAGTTGGATTTGATATAAGACCTAAATTTGAACCTGGAGGCTTTGGAGCAGGACCTAAATTTGCAAAATCATCATCATGGAAAACAGCAGCAGATGTGGATAATGACATTGTTATTGTGTATGTGTATGTGTACAATTATCTAACAAAGACCAGCTTGTTATGTGGTTAGATAGTTGAGTTAAACTTTTTTGATTTTTTCAGTTGTATTATTGAAACTTTTGACAGGTTGGAATGTAGTCGAGAATGTTGATTTGACACTTGACAGGATTCCTTGAATTTGATTCTTTTTTGATGGATTGAATATTATGGTAATCCTTGTTACTTTGAGTATGATTTCCTTGGATATTAGTTTCTAATGTTTTGTTTTTTCGTTATTTTGAAGTCTGTTGAACTTTTGATTTATTTATAACTTTAACAAATATGAAACAAAACCTCAAACGATAATTACAGCAAATCAAAAAAAAGCCAGAAAGAAATAATCAGCAGCTGAATATATAGCACAATAATGAGCCTATGATATATGAATGTCTCTTTACCAGCAAAAGTTCAAAGTAGCCAGAAGCAAAAAGTCAGAAAAACTGAGTATGGTATTATTCAATTTAATTTCAATGTGTTTAATTTAATTCACGTATTTTCAATTTCCATTTTTTTGATTTCCAAATTGTTTTTTTTTAGAAACGCGACGCGAATTTTTTGAAAGGAGGTGATTTTTTAGGCAGAGAACACAGGCAGAACACAGGCAGACAGGCAGACAGGCAGAAAAGGTTTACGCAGGGGCCTTAGGCAGAGTTAGGCAAAGCTAGGCAGGGCCGGATATTAATGGAATCATAAATGCACAATTTATTAAAATGAATAAACTAAAAGAATATGAATAAACGTATATAAAATGGAGTAAAATGAAATGAATAATACATGTAAAAGTACAAGTAAAAGCACTCAGTCTAATTCTCATTGTCTGTAGCATCGAAATCGTCATCTTCATCAACATCTTCCTCTGTAATCTCTGCCCAATATGAATAACTTAATACCCCAAATCCAATAACAACAAATAAATCACCAATAATTTGACCTAAACTTAATTTAACACCAAATAAGATCCATTCAAATAATCCAACAATTAAGATAGTGATTAATGAACTAACTGAAGATAAAACAGGTGATGTTAATGACATTAATGCTAAAAATGATAATGAATAAATCATATTTGATAATAATGATAAGATAATAATTAACCATTCGAATCCACTTGTAATTAAATAAAATTTACTTATACCTGTTAAATGTGCTCCCAAAACAACAATCCATAATGTTATAAATGTACAAAATCCAATTAATGAAGCACAAAAATTTGAAAAAGCAGCTTGTCTCCTAGAACTAACAACATTATTTGGTGGACAACATTGTTTTTTATAAATAACTTCATAAAGACCATATAACACGGCACCTATACTGATAATAATATCACCAATTACTCTATATGGGAAACTTTTATCACTTGAATCATTTTCACCACCATATGCAACGAAAAAAACTCCAATAATTGCCAAAAGCACACTTGAAATCTTTATATATGTGAATTTTTCTTGTAAGATTGGAATTGCAAATATCAAAGCACTAAAAGCTGAACAATTATATATAGCAGTAATATCAGATGCTGGAGCTAATCCCATTGCAACATACCATGTACAACCTGCAATAGATAAAATTATAGTTAAAAAAAACACTCTTTGGAAAATATGTTTAATTGATGGGGTTGATAAGAATGAAATTATTGAATTTGGGTATTCATGATCATATTTAATATCTTGATTTATTAAAATTCCTGAAGTTTTAAAAATATTACGATGTTGATGTTTTAATGAATGTCCAATGTTTTTTTTAAATTTAATTAAATCCCAAATATTATAACCATGTCTTTTGGATTTTTTAAAATGTTTGAAAATAGCTATTGAAATCACTTGAATAGGCCAAATCATTATCCATGAACTATGTGTTAAATATAATAATAAATAAGGTTGATTAAAATTTAATCCATTATAAAGATATGAAGTTAATTCAGTTTGTGAAACAAATGAAAATAATGATATTAAGAATAAGGCAATAACTGCAATTAGTTTCTTACTTGATTTCTCCACATGATGCTGATGTCCCTGGAGACCCCCCTCTAACCCATTTGAATTTGGTAAATCTGGTAATGGTTTGGATTGATTTAATTCTAAATCATTATTTATAGGGATATAACCAGATTTCCCATTTGATGAAGATAACAGTCCTGCTCTTGAATCTGACATAACTTAGCTATTGTGGAATGTAAATATAGAAACCCCAAGTATATTTAGCTAATTTATCATCAATAAGACAAAAAAACACGCGAGTATAAAACAATTATCAGTTTATCAAATTCTCGCTTAAAAGCATTTTGATTTTATTTTGATTTTAGGCCGTCGAGATAAAAACAACAAATGCACATTTCCGATGATTAAAAAAGACTACACAATTCCGTAAATTCTAGACTTCCCAAATAGGTAATAACAAAGAACAACAATACCCATTGCTTTAGAAATGTCCAGGCCACATGAGAATATTTGACACAATTTAAAGTTTTAATACAAAAGCTTTAAGCAATTCTTATAGCAGCTTCATAGCTTCATGATTAATCTGTTTTATAATTCTATATACTCATAACAATGTTTTCCATCAAAACCTGTCGTTATTCTTCGAAGCATGTTGGTCAATTTGCAGCTCTTCAACTTTCCCGTCAAAAGAGCAGCTCTGCAGATTTCGTACCTCTTAATCAATTAAATCCAAAGTCTTCAACCAAGGGTGTGGCTAACAAGTTAACATACAAGGACATAAATTCAATAGCAGCTTCACCTTCAACTTCTTTAAACTATATGGATTATTTGCCAGGTTTGGGTAAAGCCCACAAGAAATTATTTTTAACTAATGAACCAATCAATAAATACCATATTCTCAAAACTTTCCATGAAGCTCATCAAACCGAGGTTTACAAGTTGTGCAATATACTAGAAACCATGAATTATGACAAGACGAATCTCCACAATGTCACTATAGCCCTTTCAAAATTGGTATTAAGTTTACCGTTAGGGATTAAATCATATACGGATTTCCCACAACATTTGAATAAATCATGCATACTTCCAAAGAAATCCAATGAAACACTGAAACCCAATGATTCAGGAAAAGATATAGGGGAAACTCTAGAGTGGAGTAATCGAGATATTAAATATTTTGTTGATGAATTTATTGATAAACGTTTATTTAAGGATAAGAAACATTTATCACAAGTTAATCCTTTAGATATTTATGAAGTTGGATTCTTACCAGAAAAGGCACAATCTAAAACTTCAATTAGTGTTTCATCAAAACTTGATGTTCACTTTCAAATTCAACAACTATTAGTAGATCCAATAATAAATTTAGTTCATACAATTTCTGGTGACCAGTGTTTCAGCTTTAGGTCATATAACAGCACATATGTTTTATATCCAGATATCATAGTTCAAAATAATACATCTGGTTCAACAGCTATGATATTTCAAATCAAACAGTCCTTACCTCATAACATCAATAAAGACAATATTGACTCTTTACCTGCAATCAAGCTACTTAAAGAGCAACTAAAGGAATTAAATTGTTATGATGGATGTATTAGTGATGGTAACACATTCATTTATTTGCATAATATAGAAGATCCGTTGTTCACGGACATGTATGTATACAAGATTTTCTACAATGAAGATATATTTTTTACAATCAAGCATGTTTTCATGTCAGTCTTGATGAAATCTAGAAAAGTACCATATGTCTCAAAAGATGAATCAGATTGTACATCAAATAATGTTATTGATAAAGAATCGCAAGAAGATCATAGTGATGCAGATACAAATTCCCATGAAGAGTATGATAAACAACAAGATTATAATGATACAAATAAAAATTCACAAGAAGATTGCGATGATATAATTGATGAGGAAGAGCAAGAATATAATGCTTTCCGAAAGAGATTATTGAATAAAACAGAACTCCCAGATTTAGAAGATCTTTTTTATGATCTTGCAGTCCCAGAAAATACTTATGAAACCATGCAAATTCCTAATAAAGAGATTATACATGAATTTGATCTTGTATGGGAAAGAGATTTCCAAAATATAACAATGAAAACTGAAGTATTCAGATCATACTTTGAGCAATATTTTGAATTGAACAGTGAAAATTGGGGATTAAATTCTATCATTGACAGAAGTGATCTCATAAACATTAGAGTGTATGATCCTATTAGATGCTATGATAGTGATGAAATAAAAGAATATCTTTATGAACCTTTTGATTTTGAATATACTTGGCCTGATATTGATTTTGATTATGATTTGGAACAATTAATGAAGATTGATAATTGTTATCCTATAAAGTCCAAAGGAAGAGTTAAATTGGTATGTAATGAGGAATATATTGTTTTTGGTAAAGTGATTGCTGTACCAGTTCTTAAAAGTAAAGAAGAGAATATGGATCCATTTAAGACCTTCAAAAAACCAGAGTAGGTGGAAAGGGATTAATTAGTTGAATGATACAATATCTGGATTCCCCAAATTGGGTAATAAATTTGACCGTTAATATAATCTGTTTATTCATATTTCAATATTTTGTAAAGTCTTTCTATCAATAATTTTCAAAAAATAATCTTTAGATATAAACCCATTGGAATCACCTTCACTTAAATAAACATTATTCAAAGATTTATATACTTTAATTTGATCATTATTCTTCTTTAATTTTTCAATATCAAGATATATCAACACTGTAGAGAAAGATCTAATACCTGTTATTGTCTTTGTACCATCTTCAGGATCTAATTCTAAATGAGATGTTAAATGAATATGATTCCTATTCATTTTGGATAATCCACCAGATTCTAATATCAATTTTAGATTTTTCAAAGTTGTACCATGAATTAAATCTTTTGGCCATTCATCATCATTGGAAATTAATTTTAAATTATCATTTGTTATTGATTTCAGGGAATGACCTTGATTTGCACATATATAAGTTTGACCATCATCTTTCACAAGCAGATTGAATCTTTTTTTGTTATTTTCAGCAACTATTCTTTCGATATCTTCTTTTGTTGTTTTATGTGTCTTTATTCTATTATTTGAAAGGATTTGGGATAATGAAACATAACCTTGTGGATCAATTATTAGTTTCTCCTTTTCAGCACCGTGACGAAGTAAGTAACTTAATGCTTTAGATATTTGGATGTCTCTTTTATCAGTCATTCTATTGAAGTTGTTGTTGAGGTTGTTCTTATTAATTTGATCAGTAAAGTTATGTTGTAACAGATCTTTCGAGAAACTTTTTCATTTTTCTATGACACCAAAAATCAAGATTTGACTCAACATCAAGGTTTAAAAATGAGTCAGAAACATGACTGATAACACCAATCGCGTGTTGTGAACTTGAAGACTAGAGATCTATTGATACAATAATTCATCACTACATTTCTTTAAAAAAGACATAACTCATAATATTAATTTAACTAGATCAAACCCAAAGATCTTTTTCTTTATATATATACATGTTTTCAAAATTATTCCATCTTATTCATATCTATTCCTTTTAAAAGATATTAATTATATTTGTATTGTATTTCACCCTTATTCTTACCCTTGGGATAAAGGATTTGTAAAGATTTAAAACCCAACTTAATTGACTAAACCTGCACCACCACCACAACAACCACCATTTGCAGCAGCCAAAGTAGTTTTAGCTTGTTTAATACTTTCATTATCACCTAATTCAGTACCATCATGGATATTTAATCCTATAATGTATTGTTAGTCTTTATTCATAAATCATAATGGTAGAGGTTCCACTTACTAAATTTACCAGTTTCATTTTTACGAGCTTGAACAATATTTGCAATTAAAAATTGTGAAACACCTTCTAAATGTTTGATATTATCTTCTGGTGATTTTTTTGGATCTGGATTTCTCATACCTTGTCTTATTTGATCTCTTGCTGCTAATAATAATCTTGTATCATCTAGTTCCAATGTTAGTAATCATGTGAAGCAAACTCAATATGAAACAAATTACTTACCACCAAATGCTATTTTGGTAGCTCTGAATGAACCTCTGAATGCTGCTAATGCTCTTTGACTGGACATCTTTAACCACTTTGATCTATTGTTTCTTCAAATCTGAATAAAGTATAAAATCTCAAAATTTCAATTTCTAAGCTTTTAATGGTTTTTTGTTTTTCTTTTGTATGCACCTTTTAATTTTACAAATTGTTAAAATTTTAAATTTGATTGGTTTCGGTTACGAGCACTGCTTTTACTCAGAAATTATATAAGCACAATACAAATAATTGAAATACTCATAATTTATCATTTATTTTGTATATAATTTATAAGAAAAACAGGTCATAACAGTCATTAAGTACTAGCAGAGGATATCATTTCAAAGACATGTTTTCCAAGTCTTTTGAAGTATTTGAAATCAGTTTAAAATTACCTCTTTTAAGAAATCCAGCATTTATAGGTGATGTAGAAACTGCACGTCTCTTGGATTTCGATATGGATTCATTATCAAAAGAACGTTTCCTAGTTATATGTGGGTTATGTGTGTTGTTGTTGTTGTGATGATGAGTTGATGTATCAATACTGGTATCTTCTGTAGAATCACTTGTATTTGATACATCATCTTTTAATAATGATGAGTTTTTCAAGAACCCATTCTTTTTCATACTCCAATTTTGATTAGCTTTTTTAATAATATCAAATTTTTTATAACTATGATTAAAATCATCAATAGTTTTTTCATTCTTATTAAAACGATTTTTATTTAAAAAATGTTCTTCATCTTGTAAATTTAATAATATTAATTTTTCATGATTAATTTCATTCTCAAGTGGGACAGATTCATGATGTAATTCAGCTGTTATTCTCTTGAAAGATTTTAATTGAGGTTTTAATGAATTTTTACTTATAAGTCTTTTAAAAATTGGTGTATTTTCCTTTGGTGAAAAATAATCAGAATTTGGTCCTTTATTAATTTGTTTTTGATAAGTTGGTGAACTCATTTGACCTGTATGTAAATCATCCCAATCATGTCTAAATAATTCTTGTGATTTCCTATTTGATAACCTAGTATTTGCAATCTCTAAATCTAAATCATTATCTGTATCACTATCACTATCAGATGAATCATAACCACCAATCATAGGGGTACTATTAGCATCAAATTGTTCATGATTCAGACTTCCATGGAATTGATCATATGTAGTTTCATATAAAGATGAACTTGAAGAACATGTAGTGGAAGATGGTCTTCTTGTTGCATTTGTTCCAATATTACCACCGCCATTACCGGAATAAAACCCATTATGGAAAGTATTTGCTGTACTGGGGAAAGCAGCTATTGACTGTGTAACGGGAGTGATGGGTTCAGCAACACTTTTGGCCTCCTTCTTACTGTGCCTGTCCATCATCAACCAGATAATCTATACCAGAACCTCCTTTTGATCTAGTTGTCCTTATTAAAATGTGTCAATTTGATTGAATTTTTTCTGATTGTTTTTCTTTTGTTATCAAAATCAAAACAAAAAATTTAAACGCTGTGCTAAAATTCGCGAAGATTTTTGACATATACCAAATTTTTTCAATTAAAACTACAAATTTTACTTTATTTCCTTCACATAATTTCGTTAAATTAGTTTTTATAATAATATATATAAATTATAAAATAATATACATGCAGTTCTATTGTTTTTCCTACTTTTTAGTAACTTTAGTTCTACCAACAAGTGCATCAGCAACATCTCTAACAGGTTCCCAATGAACAATTTTTGGCATTCTTGTATGTAATGAAGTTTCAAAATCATAAACTTGACGAATTGGTGAGAATCTTAAGTGTGATCTTTTAACACCCAAGATTGCTGCTGTATCACTAATTTCTGTATCATTTGGATCAAATGATTCTGAATAATGTATTGGTTGGGTGAATTCTTGTTTATCTTCAATAAATTGAATAGCTTTTACAGCTAATCTTGCAGCTCTTGTACGATCAATTGGTGAAGGTAATGCACCTTGTTGAACATGACCTGGAATTGCTGTTTTAGCATCAAATCTACCTTGTGCTTCATCTGTTATTATATCTGCAATAACTTCTGTTGTTAAAACTTTTGATGCATTTGCAGATTTTAAAATTAATTTACCAGATTTTGCAGCACCTTCACTTATAGTAAATGATTGTTTTAATGAACTTATATCTAAATCTAATTGTTCTAATGAAATACCTTCTTCTGGAACATATGAAGCTTGAGCACCACAAATTAATTGTGCAAATGTTGCAATATAACCTGAATTACCACCTTGAACTTCAACAACAAATGTACGACCTCTTGTTGATGAAGCACTTTGTTTAACAATATCACAATATTCCATTAATGAATTTAAACATGTATCAGCACCTAATGAATATTCAGTACCTGGAACATTATTTGAAATTGTTGCAGGAACTAAAACTAATGGAATTCTAAAAGCTGGATAATCATTTCTTGCTCTTTCTAATTGATTTAATGAAACAAAAGCTTCAAATCCACCAACAATAACTAACCCATCAAATTGATATTTTTCTAAATAATAAGCAACAAGACCAATATCAGCTTCTTCTGGAGTAGATCTATTTGTACCAATATCAGAACCACCTCTTGATGCCCATCCTTCAATATCTAACCAATTTATTGATCTAACAGATTCATGTCTTGCTAACCCAGTAAACCCATTATGAATTGCATAAGGTGTATGACCTCTTGACATACAATATGTAGCCATTGCATAAACTGCACTATTCATACCACCAGCTGGGGCACCAACATTAATAATACCAATTTTTAATCTCTTGTCTTTTGGTAAATCAGGTTCATTATGATCTGCAGAATTCATTGAAATAAAATTTTGTAAATGTTCAACAAATTCACTATCACGTAATCCAATAGCTTTTTTAAAATCTTTTGCTTCAATAGCTTCTGCAACTTGTTTTGTTAATTTAACAGCTTCCATTAATGGTCTTCTACAAATTTTATTTTCAATTATACCAATCATTGGTGATGGAGTTTCTGGTGTACTTTCCAATACGGCTTTAACAGCTTCAACACCTTGTAATGTTGCCAACATACGATCATGTGCCACTGCGGTACCACCTCTTTGAACATGACCTAATGTAGTAATTCTTGTATCTAAACCTAATCTATCAACAAGAACTTTCAAAACATCTTTTGAAGTGATTGGAGTTAAATCTGCAGCAATTGCACCTTCAGCAACAATAACAATAGTTTTACGTTTACCTCTTGATCTATGTTTTTCCACAATATCACACATTTGATCTTCCCATTCTTTGGAATGTGCAGGTTTTTCTGGAATTAAAATATAATCTGCACTTGTTGCAATACCAGCCATTAAAGCTAACCAACCACAATGTCTACCCATAACTTCAACAACAAAAGCTCTTGAATGGGAATTAGCAGTAGCATCAATATAATCAATAGCTTGACAAATTCTTGCTAATGAAGAATAAGCACCAATTGTAGAATCAGTACTTGACATATCATTATCAATTGAACCAACAGTACCACAAATATTTAAATGTTTATGTTTATCAAATTTTTCCTTTGTAATTCTATTTGTATCAAATAATTCTTGAATTAATGATGGCCATTCTTGTCTAAATAAATCAGCACCAGTTAAAGAACCATCACCACCACAAACAATTAAAGCATCAATACCAGCTTCAATTAAATGTTGAGCACCTAATAAACGACCTTCACGTTCTCTAAATTCTTTACAACGAGCAGTACCAATATTAGTACCACCTTCACTTAACCAACCTCTAACACTTTGCCAATCCATTTCTCTTATATATTTTGGACCACCTTTAACAAGACCTTCATAACCTTCATAAACTGCATAAGCTTTACAACCTCTATAAATGGCAGCACGAACCACAGCACGAACACAAGCATTCATACCTGGAGCATCACCACCTGATGTCATGACTGCAATGTTACGACGTTGTTCAAATGAACCGGTTGTTTCTAATTCAGCAGATGTTGTTGGAGCAGTAAGCAATTCAGGATCAATTTTTTTATATTTTGGTGGAACAGTTGATAATGGATGTTTTAATGATGTAAACCCAATTAAATTACCAATTGGATCTAAGGCATAAACTTCAGTTGGAGCTAAATTTGATGGATAAGCTTGAACTTGAACATTTGGATGATTTTTCAAATTTTCATATAATAATTCAATTGAATCAGTTTTAAAAACAACATTTGATCTTAAAGATCTCCAATCTTGGGTTAATTTTTCATCTTTTAATTCTTTACGTTCAGGTTGTTTAAATTGATTATCTAATTTCAATTCAATAGTAACACTATTCAATGGGAATTCTTGACCAGAATGTAAAAATAATTGATCATCTTCAGTATTTTTAACTTGTAAACCAACAATTTCTTGATAAAATTTAACCGCTAAATCAAATGATTGCTTGTCAGAAGCTTTCAATGTATAGTAAGAAGTCCCAGCCACTATCGGAGTAGAGACTGTCATCTTTGTGTATGTTTGTTTTTGTTTCTGTTGAAGAAGTATCAATTGAAACAAGAAAGAAAGCTTAGGAAATTGTCCTTTATTAAATATCCCAAAAAGCATCTGGTGGTTCAATTTTTGTTTTTGACTTCCACGTACAAATTGATGTCATCTGACACCAGGCGGAAAAACTGAGGTCGGACTATTACCGTATTGGGTTATGTACGTACACGTGATGGATATTCAATTCCGACCATCTCTATAGGTGTTTGAATTTTAATATGGTATTTCATTCAAATTAGTAGAATACTGTATTGATTTACTGGTTAAAATGTATCTCATATATTAGTATCTCATTAAACCCCAACTCAAAACTCATCATCAAATCTAATATCATCTTCACTTCTCATATCTGAAAGAACATCTTCTTGATATTCATTCTGATCTTCTCTTTGCTCTTCATTCTCCATTTGAAATTTTGTCACTGCTTCATCAATCTCATCCAACCATTGTTTTACACAATTCCCACAACAAAATTTCCTAACTAGCGGTACTAATTTTTGAGTTTTAATATCCCACCATTCCAAAGATTTTGCAACAGGATTAACTGTAACTTTTTCACAAACTGAACAAGATTCTTCATACGCACCTTTTTGTATAGCTTTTGCAATCATCTTTTGAATATATGTGGGGACGTTTTTTTTCCACATTTTAGTTTCTGATAATGAAACTTTATAATGACTTATAGATCTTAATGATAATTCTGATAATTTAGGGACTGCACTAACTCTATTACACATTTGTCTATCATTCATAACTGGTGGTGCTAATTGTGATGATGATTGAATTGGTAAATCTGACCATTTTAATTTTGAAACATAACGACGAATATTTATATCTTGATTTGGAGATTCATGAGAAACTTGCTTTGCGAAACCTTCTTCTTGATTTTTTAATTCCCATAATAAATGATTTGGTCTAACTAAAAAATTTGTTAAATTTGGTAAATTTAATATTTGATATGGTAAAACTTTTAATTCATTTGATGCTAATGATAAATCTGTTAATTTTTGAAATTTGGAAATTTTACCTGTAAGTTTTTTCATCTTATTATTTCTTAATGATAATACAATAACATTTTCCACATTGAAAAAACTTGGTGGTAAAACTCTTAATCTATTATGTGATGCATAAACTTCAATATTGGGTTTAACAATCCCCGAGGCATTAACAGTAATCATATTTTTCAAATCTTCCATATCATCAGGTAAATTTCTTAATCCAATATTATCTAACCGTATTTGTGGATTCCCATCTTCAATTGCCTTAGCTATAATGATTCTTGCTTTAAAATTTAATTCTTCTTCATCTATATTATTATAATATTCTGGTTCCTCGTGTAAATTATCAGAACTTATATAACCATGAACTCTATTTAAATTTGTTATATTGAAATCAATTGTATCTTCTGAAATATTTGATTCTAATTCATCTTCTTGTTCTACTTGTTCTTCATCAATATCAAAATCACTTTTTGGAGCAGCAACCATTGTTGCTTGACTTGTAAAAATATCATTATCACCTTGATTATAGTCATTATAATTGACTGGAGAACTAGCCAGTTGATGATTTAATGGAGGAGAACTTGGAACTCTTTGATTATGTTGGTTTTGTATATGATTATTTTGATTATTTTGGAAGAAATAAACAGATTCAGATGATGGATGTGATGGATAAGAAGGATGTGAACTTGTCTTGTGTATATGATTACTACTATAATGTTTTGAATGTCTTGGGAAATTACCTTCAAATTCATCAATATCAGTATCACTAGTTAATTGATCTGAATTATTATTAACCAATGCAAAAGTTCTTCTTTTAGAATCACCATCTTCTTGATCATGAACTCTCTTCCTAGCAATCATAGCACTTCCTTCACCTTGTCTAGTATGAAACATTGTACCACCAGCATTTTCATCACGGGTAGCACGATCTCTTGGAGTTGGATCTAAGGCATTGTCATGTTGAGGACGTGAAAGGTCATACCAAAAGGGTAACAAAGGATTCTGTTTTTCCATAGCTCATACCACTAAAGTGATTGATTCCCTTGAGATTGGTATACTAGTCCTTCTAGTCTTATCTTTTGATGTTATTGTTTATGTTTTTGTATTACACCTTTAATTGAAAACGCGTAATTTTTTCTTTGTTAATGCGCGAAAACAGGCAGCACAATAAGCGAAGAAATTAAATAGACAGAGGAACTAGGCAGACATTGATCATGGCTAGAGTGAGAAAGAATTAATCAATATCGAGCTCAAATTACTAGCTAGGTACTTCCTCTTTCAATTGTTCCCTTCAACCGTTGTTTTACCAGATTATCACATCCCAAATAGGAAATTCAGTAGATCGGTTATATGCCCTGGTCCCCAAATAGTGTATAAGTATCAATTATTTATGGGTCATAAACGGCACTTTCAAAATGTAAGAAAGAACAAATCCGGTAATTACTTTGTTACTCCAACTTTATCAGACTTTATCAATTAGACTTTGCTTTGATCACAAAAGGCATCAATTTACACTTATCAATGATCTTTAACGTTTGATATTGTATCGTATATCAAGAGAATCTAGACAATTTAGACCCTGGGGTCCTGACCATGGTTTTGCAGTTCCCCGAGTATCTATTATTTCATACATCTTTGTTTAAATGTATTTAAATTGATCAAAATGTTCAGAATTGTCTTTTAAAATCTTTCAAGATAAATAACTATTACTGTTAAAACCTCTCCAAATTATGTCCTCTGAAGAATATAATAAACCAGTGGTTAAAGATACTGTTCATTCAGATCCAGAACTTGGTGAAGTTGCTGAACATTCTTCATACTCACAAACTCAATCAGATCCAATAAAATCACAATCAAAATGGACTCGTTTTAAAGATTCTTTCAAAGCAATGGAAGATGAAGAAATTGATGGTTCAAATATGACTGATTTAGAAAAAGCCATTGCTAAAACTGCTAAATCACCATTACATAAATCTTTAAAGAATCGTCATTTACAAATGATTGCCATTGGTGGTGCTATTGGTACAGGTTTATTTATTGGTTCTGGGGGTGCTTTAGCAACTGGTGGACCTGCTGCCTTGTTAATAGGTTGGTTAGCTGTGGGGACTATGATTTATTGTACGGTTCAAGCATTAGGTGAAATGGCTGTTACTTTCCCAATTTCTGGTGCTTTTAATGTTTATTCAACAAGATTTATTCATCCTTCGTGGGGTTTTGCAATGGGTTGGATTTATACATTACAATGGCTTACTGTGTTACCATTAGAATTAGTTGCAGCTTCTATAACTATTCAATATTGGAATTCAAATATAAATCCAGTTGCATGGGTTGCAATTTTTTATTTATTAATTGTTTCAATAAATTTCTTTGGTGTTAAAGGTTATGGAGAAGCTGAATTTGTCTTTTCATTCATTAAAGTCATTGCAGTTGTTGGATTCATCATCTTGGGTATAATCTTGAACTGTGGTGGTGGTCCAAAAGGTGGTTATATAGGTGGTAAATATTGGCATGATCCAGGTGCTTTTGCTAATGGGTTTAAAGGTGTTTGTACTGTTTTCGTCACTGCTGCTTTTTCATTCTTGGGAACAGAATTAGTTGCATTAGCTGCTTCAGAATCTGCAAATCCAAGAAAGTCATTACCAAGAGCTACAAAGCAAGTTTTTTGGAGAATTTTATTATTTTATATCATTTCATTAACTTTAATTGGATTATTAGTTCCATATACTGATGATCGATTGGGTAAAGGTTCATACGATGCTTCAGCTTCACCTTTCGTTATTTCAATTAGAAACGCTGGTATTTCAGGTTTACCATCTGTGATTAACGTTGTCATTATGATTGCAGTCTTATCAGTTGGTAATTCTGCTGTTTTTGGTTGTTCTCGTACAATAACAGCATTAGCAGCCCAAGGTTTTGCACCAACATGTTTTGCATATATTGATCGTAAAGGTCGTCCAATCTTCTCAGTATTGTTAAGTTTAACTATTGGTTTATTATGCTTTATAACTGCATCACCTAAACAAAGTGAAGTCTTTGTTTGGTTAATGGCATTATCTGGTCTTTCTTCGGTATTTGCTTGGGGTTCAGCTTGTGTAGCTCATATTAGATTTAGACAAGCTATGAAATATCAAGGACGTGATCCTCATACTGAATTGGCTTATACTTCACAATGTGGTGTAATTGGATCTTATTATGGTGCAGGTTTAAACATCTTGGTCTTGGTTGCACAATTTTGGATAGCTGCCTTCCCATTAGGTAAAAAATCAACAGCTGAAGCATTTTTTAAAGCTTATTTAGCAGCTCCTGTTATTCTAGGGTTTTATCTTTTCCATAAAATTTGGAAGAAAAATTGGTCATTATTTGTTAGAATTGAAGATATGGATATTGATTCTGGTAGAGCTGAACGTGATTTAGATTTATTAAGACAAGAAATTGCAGAAGAGAAGGCTGAATTGGCTACAAAACCTTTCTTTATAAGGTTGTACAGATTTTGGTGTTGATCTCTCTTATATATGTAATACATATTATATTGTTTTGTTTTCATTAATTATTAACTTTCATTTCCTCATTTTTGGCATCTTTCTTGAATTTGATTCCATTTCATCTAATTCTTTTGTATTAAAATAATGTGGTGCTAATTCTGCTAACCACTTTTCTTGAATTGGTAAACAATTTCTCATAAATTCTTTACTTGTTAATACTAATTCATTATAAATTACTAACTTTGGTGGTGGTTTAACTTTATAAAGAACTGAAGATGGATGAATATAAACTGTTTGATTTTTTTTCAATGATCTATAATTATCACCCATTTTAGATAATCTAGCTGCATTGGGGAAAAATCCAGATGCCAATGCTTTATTTATATTTATTGATAATTCTTTATCTGACTTGTGTTCGTTATCTTGTTGATTATTTTTTGAATTAACCATAATTTCAACTCGATCACATAATCTTTCTAATTGATCTCTAACATTTCTTGCACGTTGTAATGATTTATATTGTAAGAAATTATCATGACACCATTGAGATGAATAATCAGAATCAATCCATTGATTAAAAATTTCTAATAATGTTAAATGATCACTTTCTTTAGTAAATGAATCTTTTGCTGTATCTGCTAATAATTTTTTATCTTTAGGTCTGAAAAATAATGCAGATGATTCTCCCAACATTGATATAATTGATAATACTTCATCTGTACATTTATATTTTTCACTTGATAATAATGATTTAGCAAGCATTGGATCTGTAGGAAATTCTGCCATTTGTCTACCTAATTTAGTTAATTGACCTTTACCATTTAATGCGCCTAATGCATATAATAATTCTAATGCCTTCATAAGAGTTTCTGTGGCAGGTGAATCCATAAAATCAAAATGTATTAAATCATTAATCCCTAGTGATAATAGTAGTAATACAACACTTGCTAAATTTGTTCTTAAAATTTCTGGTGTTGGATTTGCAGGTAATTCATTAAAATAAGCCCATTTTGTGAATAATCTAAAGCATTTCCCTGGACCAACTCTACCAGCTCTACCAGCTCTTTGATCTGCTGAAGCTCTTGAACATGCAGTTACAACAAGTGATTCCATACCAGTACTTGGATTATAAACATTCTCTTTAACAAACCCTGGGTCAATAACATAAACAACACCATCAATAGTAATTGAAGTTTCTGCAATATTTGTTGCTAAAACAACTTTACGAGCATTTGGTGGTGTTGGTTCGAAAATTTGTTGTTGTAAATCAGATGGTAAATTTGCATAAATTGGACAAATAATCATTTCTTTTATCCTTGAACCTAATTTCTTATAAGTTTCTGTTAAATTTTCAGCCATACTTTCAATTTCATCTTGACCCGTCAGAAAAACCAAAATATCACCTGGACCTTGAGATGTATGAATTTGGAAAACTGTTGTTATAGCAGCATGAATATAATTGGCTTCGGGTTGTGTTGTATAATGGATATCAACAGGGAATCTTCTACCTGGAATATTAAAAATTGGTGCACCTCCAAAAAATGAACTAAATTTTTCTGCATTCATTGTAGCTGAAGAGATTAATAGTCTTAAATCTGGTCTATGTTTAGCAATATCTTTCACTAATCCGAAAAGTATATCTGTTGATAATGTACGTTCATGAGCTTCATCAATCATTAATGCAGAAATATCACTTAATTCTGGATCTGTTAAAAATTCTCTTAATAACATACCATCAGTCATATACTTAACTACTGTTTTTTCATTTGTCTTGTCATCAAATCTAACAGAATAACCAACTTCATGGCCTATTCTAACACCCATTTCATCAGCAACTCTTGCAGCAACAGACATAGCAGCAACTCTACGAGGTTGTGTACAAGCAATTTTCAATCCTTTGGAAGAATAACCATCTTCAAATAAATACTGTGGTAATTGGGTTGTTTTACCAGACCCCGTTTCACCAACAACAATCAACACTTGATGTTGCTTTATAGCTTCTAATAATTCAGTTCTATATTGATAAACAGGTAAAGATTTCCTTACTTCATCAATACTTTGAATTCTTTTTTCTTCTTCTTTGATTTTTTTCTCCAATAATTGTTGTTCAGGTGTTAGATTGGAGGATTCACCTTGTCCATCTAATAAAAATTCAATATTTTGAGAATCATCGAAAACATATTCATATTCTTCTTGATTTGGTGCAACGATTTCATCAGGATGTACAATCTTAGATTTTTTATATTGACCAACTTGTTTATTTTCCCATTGTTCATGATCTGTCAAGATTTTACCAACTTCTTTTTGTTTAGTATAAAGTGCATCTTCTTTTCTTTTCCTATCAATTTTACCATCTTGATTAACATAATCTTCTGGGAGAGCATATCCATTATCACCAGATTCCAATTGTTTTCTTTCATGGATCAATGCAAGAACTTCTCTCTTATGCGATATATCATCTCTTTCCCTTTGTGTTAAATTTTCCCATCCATATTCTTGAACATCTTGTTCTAAATTTTGAACTTCCTTTTCTAATAATATTAAACGATCTTGTTCTCTTCTTGATAAATATTTTTGTCTAGCAAGTTGACGAAGTTCACTAACATCCTGATCTTCATTCCTACTACTTTCCACATCTCTTTTATTATCCTTTTCGATCAATCTTTTAGCAAAATCCTCTCTTTCTTTTGTATCTTCATCAACTGGTTCAACTTCTTCTTTAACCTCTTCTTCCTCTTTTTGAACAACTTGTTCTTCTTCTCCCTCTGACTCTGAATCACTAGCCCATCTATCAGCATCTCTCCTTCTTTGATGACCTCTGCCTTCCTGTATCCCTTCAGACATCTTTCAAAATACCTAGTGAAAATACCCAATAAATGACTTTCAAATATTTCAAAATCAAAACATGTTTTCAATTTTTTACGTATACTTTTTATTGACCCGATTTCATGACAGTCGTGATATTTTCGCGCCACTACTACCAATAAAAAAATCAAAACAAATCAATATTTATAAAAGTTTATGACCATTATTACCATTCTACAATCACCAAATCCAATCAATCAATTCAAAGATAATATCATAATGTCAGGGACAAACAATACAAAACCAAAACAACTTTCATACTTTGAAAAACAAAGAGATTTATTGATTTCAGATATCACCTTAGTAAGTAATTTAACGCGTCTTAAATCATTATGTATGGATGGAAAAAGTATATTAACCAGGAACACTTCTAGTCAATGAATTCTGTTTTGAATAATATGGATGCTTTAAATCGTTCTTTGGAAAGTTCAGTTGCTGTTGGTAAAGAATTCAGTTCAAGTGCTGATTTATGGCGTAATTTTTATGATGGTATGCAAGTAATGGAAGAATTAAAACATGGTCAAAATGAATTCCAAGAAAATGAACAAGCTGGTGAACAACCTGGCGAACAACCTGAAGGTGAAGGTCAAGATCAAGGTGCTGATGAACCACAATCTCAAGATCAAGATGTTGATATGAATCCTCCACCAACAGATTCAATAAATGGTGATCAAGATGCAGTAGCTACTCAAGAAGATACCCAGGAAGATTCACAACAAAATTGAACAAAAAATAATCATGAAATTTAATTGTTTTCTATACAATTGAACAACCAATCATTGATCTTCTTTTACGATATGATGTTACTCTCTGCTTTGGTTGTGGTGCTTCTTCTTTCTCGGGTGGTGGTTGGATATCATCAAGGTAAAGAATATTTGACATTGTATTTGCCCTTGTATTAGATCTTGTATTTGATGATCTTGTTTTTGGTATTGATAAATTGTTCAAATTTGAATGAATTGGTGATACTCCATTGGTTTCAATTGGATCATCTTCAACACCAACACATAACATTGCCAATTGTTTGAAAATATTTGAATAACTTTCTTGATCAATTAATGAACATTCCATATATTTACAACCTAATTTTTTGGAAATTTTATAAAGTTGATCAAATGATGGGATTGTAGAGTTTTTGGTCTTATCATATCTAACTTCAGATCCTAAACCAACCATTATTTTAACAGCATTTGGACAATGAGTTTTCAATTCAGGTAACCATCTTTCTTCAACATTTTTTAATGAATCCATTCTTTCTAATGTGAAACAAACCAAAATCCCTTTAGCATTTGCATAAGCCAATGGTCTAAATCTATCAAAATATTCATCACCAGGAAAATCCCAAATTGATAATTCAACTGATGTATTATTATTAAATTTTATAATTTTCTTATAAGTTTCAAATAAAATTGATTTTGATGGAGTTTTCAAAGTTTTATAAAGATAAGTATGAATAAGACTTGTTTTACCACAATTTGAATCACCAATAAGTGCAACAGTTGCAGGTTGTATAGCTGGTGGAGGTGGTAATGAACTTTTAATTGAAGCAGCTCTTGATTTTAATGAATATGTTTTCAATGGGGAATTTGATGATAATCCAGTATGTTGTGGTGTTAAAGTTGGTGGTTTTGGTGGTGTTCTAAATTGTCTTTTAATTGGTGAATGTTGAGATTTTGGTGGTGTTGCAAATTCATTATGTGGAAATGGTGCATTCTCATCGTTGATAGTATTGAGGTTTGGTTGAAATCTATGATTGTACATCTTTGCTCAATATGGGGGTTTTGGATGTTTATGATCATCTTGATGTTGATCATGTCGTTTCTGATGGATTATAATGGATCTTTTACAGATTATAGGGAATATTTATTTTTGTGACACAAAACCGATTTTTTGAAAAAAAATTGACAAATCTGGAAAATTTAAATCAGATTCATGTCAATCATGATTTCCCAAGTGATTTGAATTTTTGTTTTATGGCGCTTAGAAGAAATTTGTCAGTTTTGTGTTTCTCTGGTTAATAAATTACAAATTTCTACAAATTAAAATGCTTCTTAAATACATGCAATTACTTATTTCTATATATCCATTAAACCATTATATTAAACACCATTTGTCCCAAAGATTATAATTTTTGTAGATATCCTTGTTGTATTAATCTTTCAACATCAGCTTTCCTTACAAAAAATTGTGAATCTTTTGTTAAATTGAAAACACCATATTCAGTTTGAATTTCACCAGCATCTTTTATAACTCTAACATCAATGAAAACATCTTTAGGTGGTTCTAAAGAACCAGAAAGATCAATCTCTGGGAATGCACTTTTATAACCAATCAATAAATCAGAATATTCTCTTAGGTATTCAATTTCATTATGATTTGTTAATTCTGGTTCTTTATTATCCCAAGCTAATTGAGCTAGTTTTTCAGCTCGAAGTTTTTCATAAGCTAATAAACAACGTTTATTTCGACGCATACAAAGATGGGTCACGAATAATTGACATTGATCTGCCCTATTGGATTCATCAACTTCTAAGTTTAGAATATCTGCTTGTCTTTCTAAATCTTTTGTTTCTTTAACAATGTTTCTCACTAATTCATCTTGATATAATGGTATGGATTCTAAATTTTGAGATCTTTTGGCTTCATTAACTAGTTTGTTTGCAAGATCACCATACATTATTACTCAGGAACAGCTTTCTTTCTGGTTTGTATGAACTATATTGTGATTCTTTATTGTTTGTTCGATGTCTATGCTTATAATTTTAAAATTACGCGTTTCCATGAATGAAAATATAACCTCCATTCGAATCCCGTAGGATGAACTTTCGATTTTCAGCATATTTACTAATTTGGGAATTGCATCCGTAGGGGTCTGATTTTTTTTACGAGTTAAATTGCATATGGAAATTAGTAATTGGCATTGGCATCTTCACAAATCTTTACAAATCTTTTTGAATCTTCACATTTTTTTCGAATAAGTTGATGTCTTCAAGCATTAGTATAACTTATTGGTTGAATATACCAAAATAATGAACTTGGATGTTGTGCATAGCACTCACCAGAATGATCTTTATGTTCCTGAAGATGAACGAGTCAGTCTGAACGTTAGAAACCTCAATGTACTATTCAAGAAGAAGAAACAACACAAGACATGGAAACAAAAGATATTAAAATCAAATGGTGATGAAGAAAAACAAGTTGATAACTCTGATGCTAAACAAATCCTCAACAATATCAGTTTTGACTTACCAAAAGGTCAACTATTAGCCATTTTGGGTGCTTCAGGTAGTGGTAAAACAACGTTACTGAATACTCTTTCTTCAAGAATGAGTTTTGCCAAAAATTCAAATAATCCTTTCAAATTTGAAGGTTTGATCCAATATTCACAAACAAATCCAAATATTTCATATTTATTACAAGAAGATTTATTCATGCCTGGGTTATCAGTTAGAGAAACTTTAAAATTCACAGCACAGTTAAAATTACCAAATTCATCAAACCAAGAAATTGATAGCTTGATTGATTATTTGTTTGAAGCTTTAGATTTGAAAAAAGTTGAAAATACAATGATTAATGACTTCAAGTATAATTGTACATTGAGTGGTGGTGAAAAAAGAAGAGTATCATTAGCTATTCAACTCTTGACCAAACCATCTGTTTTGTTTCTGGATGAACCAACCACAGGTCTTGATGCCAACACTTCAATTCATTTAGTTCAAAGTGTTAAGGATCTTGCTGCTAATTTTGGTATAACCATTATAATGACTATTCATCAACCAAGATCTGAAATTTTAGAAATTGTTGATCAATTATGTTTATTAGCAAAAGGTGGTTCAATGTTGTTTATGGGTTCATTAGAAGAAGGTAAATCTTATTTCCAGGAAAATCAAGTCATTCAACAAGATAAGTTGGAGGAGGATGATTCTAATTTTGCTGATTATTTACTGAAAATATCTGCAATTGATCAAACAGATTCAAAACAAGTGGAAATGGAAGCTAAAGAACGTGTTAACAAACTTGTATCACATTGGAAATCATTCCAATCTTTAAACTCTGAGATTGAATTTGCAGACTCATTTGCAAATGGTAAACCAATTTTCAATCAAGATAAACTTAATAAACCTTCTTTATTTAAAGAAATTGGTGTATTAATGCACAGATGTACTTTACTTACAATTAGAGATTCTGAAAGTATGATTACATTCCATGGTATCATGACAATTCTTGCTATTATCTTTGGTTATGCATTTTATAAACCTGGCGGTGGTTTAGCTGGTATTAGATCAACAACCTCATTACTTTATGTCTGCTGTGATTTCTTAGGGTTTACACCATTACTTTATGAAGTTGAAAGATTATGTGCTACCGATGGTAGGTTCTTTGTTAGAGATTATAAAGAAGGTATACATTCTATCACAGGTTTTTTGATAGCTCGTAAGTTAGTCAAGTTAATATTTGAAGATATTCCAATAACAATTGTATGGTCCCTTATTACTTTTTACATGGTGGGGTTAAATGAAACAAGTAATTTTGGTATTTTTTTCATTAATAATTTCTTAATTTATGGAGTTGGTATGTCTACAGCATTAATTTGTTTTGTTTTAGGGAAATACGAGTTCGGTGCTGCTAATTTAATTGTTAATTATTTTTATCAATTACAAAACTCAGCATGTGGTTATTTTATTAATGCTAAAACCATGCCAGTGTATGTTAGGTGGACAAAATATTTAGCAAATTTTTGGTATGGATTTGGTTCATTAGTTTCAAACACTTTTACAAACTATACAGGTGATTGTCCTTATGAACCTGGTAGTGGGGAATGTTATGAATATACTGGTGAATATGTATTGGAAAATTTGGGTTATCCCAAAAATTGGTTTGTTACACCAATTGTGGTAAATATTGCTTGGATGATATTTTTTAGTATTTCAAGTGGTGTATTACTTTGGTATCAATCCAAAAAACAAACTGTTAAAACTGTTAAACCAATCTTACCAAAAGCTAAAACTATTTTCAATGAGAATACTCTTCAAAATAAAGAAATCTTGAATAGGATTTATTCATCAAGATTTAAAAGTGAAATTCTTATTAGTTTAAAAGATATCAAACTTACTTTAAAACCATCATTTTTAAAAAATAAAATATTACATAAACCATATGAAGCCAAACAATTATTAAAAAGTATCAATTGTTCATTCAAACCAGGTGTTAATGCCATCATGGGTCCTTCAGGTTCTGGTAAAACAACATTATTAAATTTCGTTACTGGTCGTACCCAAAAAAGTACTATTTCAACTCAAGGTGAAGTTTTCTTGAATCAATCTGAAATCCCTCATGATTTATTAAAAAAAATCACAACATATGTTGTTCAAGATGATAATGTTTTAATACCAACTTTAACTGTTAGAGAAACATTGTATTATCAAGCTAAATTAAGATTAGAAACTTCTAGATTTCCATACATTCCAATAATTATTAATGATTTAATAAGGAAAATGGGTCTTAGTGATGTTGCTGATATTCCAATTGGTGATTCTCAAGTTAAAGGTATTTCAGGTGGTGAAAAAAGAAGAGTTTCAATTGCAATTCAATTGCTAAATGATTCCAAGATTTTATTATTAGATGAACCAACTTCAGGTTTAGATTCATTTACATCAAGTTCAATTATTTCATTATTAAATGAATTGGCTATTTCAGAAGGCAAGACAATTATTTTAACAATTCATCAACCAAAATTTGAAATTTTCCAAAGATTTGATAATATCTTGTTATTAGCTAATGGTTCAGTTATTTATGATGGTACACCTTTAGAAATGATTGAATATTTTGATTCTATGGGTCTTAAACCAGGTTCCGGAATGAATTTTGCAGATTATATTTTGGATGTTATTTCAAATAGAAGTGAAAATGGACCAGAAACTGCTGCTAAGATGATTGAGAACTGGAATATTAATGAAAAACATGAAACTCTTGTTACTAATATCCCAATCAATATGGATGATAAATCTACTAAGAAATATGATATTGAACAATTCAAACCATTAATCAAGAAACCACATAGTTTAAAAATTGCATTTCAACCAATTTTAGAAAGACAATTTAAAGTCATTTTAAGAAGTCCAAATGTGTTCTTCTGTCGATTTTATCAATTAGTTGGTTTAGCAATAATTCATGCTTTATATTTTTCACCTTTGAAGCATAATTCAGAATCTATTTTAAATAGATTAGGTTTAATTCAACAAGTTTTAGTGTTATATTTTGCAGGAATGATTAGTAATTTAACAGTTTTCCCAATTGAAAAATCAACATTTTATCAAGAATATGAAGATAATACTTATAATCCATTAACATTTATGATTTGTTATTTTTTAAATGAAATACCATTTGAAACTGTTACTTCATTTATTTTTTCAATTTTTATAGTTTTAGTTATTGGATTACCAAGAACTGGTGGGATGTTTTTCACAATGGTTTATATGTGTTTTGCTATAATAAATTGTGGTGAAAGTGTTGGGATGATGTTTACCACTATTTTTGATCATTTAGGTATTGCAGTTAATTTTGTTGCTAATTTAATGATTGTTGCTTTATTTTTAGCTGGTACAATGTCAATTAATATGCCGGTTTTATTTAAAGCTTTTAATTATATCAGTCCATTGAAATATGTTGTTTTGGCTATAGCAGATTTAAGTTTTTCAGGTCAAACTTTCAAATGTTCAGATGGATCAAATTCATGCTCATTAAGAACTGGTGAAGAAGTAATGAATCAATATAAATTCAATAGTAAAGTTTATGTTAATTTCATTGCTGTTGCAGTTGTTTTGGTCTTGTATCGTTTAGTTGCGTATGGGATCTTTGAACTTAAGGTTAGGGTTTTAAGAAAATGAATTTTTTGATAGTATATAGAACACATATTAATATAGATCATGGGTACAAATACTATAGGCTTCAAATATCTTATCATATGTATTAAAATAAAATAAATTATTACGCTTCATATATCTCAACTTCTCATGACTCATATAATCATGGTGCAATTCTAACAATTTTCCAAGCATCATTTTCAGATTCACGTCTATAAACAATTCTATCATGTAAACGACTTGGACGACCTTGCCAAAATTCAATTTCTAAAGGTATAACTCTTAATCCACCCCAATAATCAGGTAATGGGATTTGCTCTTGACCTTCAAATTCTTTTTCTCTTTGAGCATAAACTTGATCAAATTCTTCTCTTGATTTGATAACACTTGATTGTGGCGATGACCATGCACCAATTCTTGAACCTCTTGGTCTTGTATCGAAATATCTTTGAGAAATTTCCTTTGGAACAAATTCTGTTTTACCTTCGACTCTAACTTGACGTTGTAAACTTGCCCAGAACCATGTAAGAGCAGCTTGTGGGTTTGATCTAATATCTCTAGCTTTCTTTGATGAATCCCAATTTGAATAAACCACAAATCCCTTATGATCAAGTTCTTTGAATAAAACAACTCTTGAAGAGACTTTACCAGATGGTAATTCAGCAGTGGCAAAATTCACACTTTCTGGTAATTTTTCCTCCTTCCCAGCTTCATCAAACCATTTTTTAAATTGAATTATTGGATCTTGGTCAACTTGATCAATCTCTAGTGAGCCTTTTTCATATTGGTAAGTCTTTGGAGCAACTGATATATATTACTAGTTAGTACAACCCACCTAATATACACAGACACAACAATGCAATACTCACAGACCAAAGGTGTTTCTTCTCTTTCCTCGGTGGACATCCTTGTAGTTGAACTGAACCTTCTGGATTGTAGTTGGTTATTGTGTGGAAATGTCTCCAGATTCCAATTTTTCGTTATCAGCTGCTTTTCGAGTCTTCGGTCATAACTATGAGCACCGTCACGCGAACGACCAAAAAACTTGATAAACTGCTTCAAATTGGATCTCATGATGATTTAATGGATTGGATGATTGTAAGATAGTAGATAGGATACTATTAAGGTATATTCAACCCCTTTTCTACCTTGAATATGTCGTAAATTCCCCCGAGATCCTTCGAGATCCCTAAAAAGTTCCAAAGCTCATCGAAAAGGGCCACAACAAAAAATTTGAGCCATAAAAATTTAAGTGTCAAAATTTAACAAAATTCAAGTAAATCAGTTGAATACGTCTCCAGATCAAAATCTCTGTGGTTAATGACTGATTCTGTGCCTGCAACAAGGATCCGTAGAAGATCTTCCAGAATCGCTCCAAGCAATGGTGAAGAGTCCTTCTTCCAAGTTCCTCAAGGTATCAAAGAATTACGTGATAGTCTTCATAATGATAAAGTGAGTTATGTCCCACCATGGACTGAACCTTATATCATTGGTGTTGCAGGTCCAAGTGGATCAGGTAAGACAAGTGTTGCCTCCAAAATCATTAAAGAAATTAATACACCATGGACTGTCTTACTTTCATTGGATAATTTCTATAAACCATTAACACCTGAACAAAGTAAACTTGCTTTCCAAAATAAATGGGATTTTGATACACCTGAATCTATTGATCTTGATTTAGTTTATAAATGTGTTAAATCATTAAAAGAAGGTAGAAAAACTCAAATCCCAGTTTATTCATTTGCCAAACATAGTAGAGTTGAAGATCAAACAATAACAATTTATGGTGCTAATGTTATTATAGTGGAGGGGATTTATGGATTATATCATAAAGGATTAAACGATCTTATGCAAATGAAGATTTATGTTGATACAGATCTAGATATTTGTTTAGCAAGAAGATTAAACCGTGATATCTTGTATAGAGGAAGAGATCTTGAAGGTGCCTTACAACAATGGTCAACTTTTGTTAAACCAAATGCTGAAAGATTTGTTAAACCATGTATGAAGAATGCAAATTTAATTGTTCCAAAAGGTTCTGAAAATGTTATAGCTATAGATATGTTAATTAAACATATCAAAAAGCAATTATATTTGAAATCTGAAGCTCATTTAAAACATATTGATCAATTAACTGATGTTCTAGATTTACAAAATGATAAATTAACTATATTACCAAGAACAAATCAAACTCATGGGATTTATACCATTTTATTAAATAAACAAACCAAGAGAGATGATTTTATTTTCTATTTTGATAGAATTGCAACAACTTTAATCAATAAAGCTCTGGAATTTCTTGATTTCCAAAATGTTGAAATTGAAACTCCATTAAATATAAAATTTAACACCAAAGAACCAAGTCAACCAGTCGTTGCAGTTAATATCATTAGATCAGGTGATTGTTTTATGCATTCATTAAGAAAGACATTACCAGAAATTGCAATTGGTAAATTATTAATTCAATCAGATATAACAACTGGTGAACCACAATTACATTCAGATACATTACCACCTAAAATAGCATCAAATAACACTCGTGTCTTATTATTAGATGCACAAATCATCTCTGGGGCTGCTATTATAATGGCTATTCAAGTCCTTGTGGATCATGGTGTTGACCCGGGAAATATAACTGTTGTTTCTTATTTAGCTACAGAAACTGGGTTAAGTAGAATTTTAAAAGCTTTTAAAAAAGTTAATGTTGTTGTTGGTGAAGTTGGATTTAGGGATAAAATTCAATCAGAAACTTGGTTTAGAAAGAGATTTATTGATACAGATTATTTTGGTACTTGAATACATCAAAAATGTGTTGAATAAATTAGCAATTTCTTTAAAGCAAGGTATAAATTATATATATATAGTAAAATAAGAATAATGAAATGATTTCATCTTTGTAATATACCAAAGGAGTATGATCAGAATCCCAACATTCTCATCAAAACAAACCCAACAGTAACAACAACTAAATATGCAAAAAATGAAGCAGGAACACCTCTACTTATGAAATTACCCACAGTTAAATAACGTTCACCAAAATCATCAACCAATGAAATAGCTGTAACATTTGGGAAACCTGAAGTTGGAAGTCCCATAGCACAAGAACATAAAAATGCAGAAGTTAAAATCAATAAATTTGGATGTGGATCATCTAATTGAGCACCAATTTGTGCAACTAATGGAACTATAATTAATGCAGCAACAGTATGAGAAACAAATGTAGCAACCACAAGAATTAAAAGTCCAAATATAATCATAATGGAAAATAATGAAAATCCTTCAACTTGTTGTTGAATTTGTAATGCTATAGTAGCTAATAACCCTGATGATGAAACTGCTTTACCTAATGCAATACCACCCATTGCTAACATAACAATAGTCCATAAGAAATTATTAAAATCTTCACCAGTTAAAATCCCAATTCCGAAAAATAATAACATTGGTATAATGGAAATAATACCCATTTCACCAAATACACCTTCTAATTGATGTGCAAAACACCATAATAAAATCGTACCAATTGTAACAATAGAGATAAACCATTGAGTACCTGAAAATTTATCATCAACAGTTCTAATACCAGCAATGGTAATTTTTTCATTTGATTTGAATGAAACTAATAAAAATAACCAAATTAAAATTAATGAAATTAAACAAACTGGTATAGCTATGACAAACCATTGTCCCCATGATGGTTGAGGATCCATAATTCCAATTGAAATAATATTTTGTGGTGAAGCGATTGGTGATGCCATACCACCAATATTTGAAGCTAATGCAATACCCAAGACTAATTGTTTAGCGAATTTTGAACCTCTTGGTAATGTTCTTAATAATGATTGAATGATTGAATAACAAAGCACAGGGGCTGCAACGTTTGAAACCCACATTGAAACAAATAGAGCAACAGACATGATTGTTAATAAAATTATTTTTGGGTTTGTACCTGCTTTTGATAAGATCCAAGTTGATAAAATTTTGGCAATATTATATTTTGATAATGCAGCTGCTAATGTAAACCCACCTAATAATAACATTATAACAGATGACCACATTGCAGAAAAGATGAATTTTGATGAAGCTTCAGGTGATAATCTTTCACCATCTTCATTTTTTAAAACTCCAAACACAACAATTAATAATGGGACTAATAAAGATGTTGCAAATAATGGGATTGATTCAGTAGCCCATAAAAACGATGAACAAACTAATAGGGCAAAGCAATTTTTTTGTTCAACTTGTTCAAATGGTGAAAATTTTAATAATAAAAGTGTTATAATTGTAATTAGTGATAATTTCCAAACTGTTGGATTGAATAATTTTCTTGTAGAAATTGGTGTATCATCATTTAATGCTTCTTTAGAACTTGGAGTTTTGGCAACAGTGGCATTTTGAGCTTTTCTTTCTAATCCAATCATATCTTTCCATACTGTATTTCTTTCCCAAACAACATGTTCTCTTAAATGTAATCTTAATTCTGATTTAGCATTTTCAATTGAACCATTTGTTGCTAAATTTGAATAGATTTGAACAAGATTATCAATATTTGATTTTAAAACTTCTGAAGTATTTGGTTTGAAAATATAAGTATTTTCTAAATTTATTAAATAATCAGCTTTTAGCTTTGTATTAAGAGATTTATCAAATTTTTTCAAAGCTTTTGTAAAACCAGTTTTATTCAATTCAATATAAGATTTTAATTCTGAAAGTACAGTGAATAAAGCAATTGATCTTCTTTTTAGAGTGATTCTTAAATCTGCTAAAACTGAAAACGGATCATTATTACCAAAACCTAAATTATCATAATCTGTATCCCAAAATTCTGGTGATCTTGACCTTTGTAAATTCGAATTTCTTCTAACTCTTTGATCTAATTCTAATGAGCCAGAACGACCCCTATAAACGATATTTGGATCAGTCGTATTTGGATCATCACTATCTAAACCATCACCTGATTCAACACCTTGGTCACCAAAGAAAACATTTGGAATTGATCTAGCTCTATAAGGTTGTTTTCTACCATTAGCATTAGTATTAGCATCAACTTGTTGAGATGCTCGTACTTCTTTTTCAAAATCATCTAAATCTTTTAATAATAATTCAAAATCTTGATAAGTTGTATCTTCTTTCTCTTGATAAAATGAATTAATTTTATTCAATTCAGAATCTAAAGCTGCTAAGAAAACTTTTGATAAATCACGACCTTGATGATCATTAGTTACCAAATAAGAAGCTTCATCATCGTTATAATTAGCAGCACTAGTCTTCAAGGATTCTCTTTGTAAATTATAAATTAATTTCTTTAAATTTGAATAAGCAATATATTTTGAAGACCATTCAGGAACAGCATTGAACTGCAAAGAATGTGAAAACTTCATCTTCTATTGTCTATGCTTTAGTTTGATCTGTGATCTAATGATTCAAAAAATGGAAACAAAGTTGATCTGATTTTCTATTATATAAATTTCTCCAAAAGACCTGTGGTGAGACGGTCAGACGACTAATTCTATAATTGTAATTTCTCAGCAGCACAAAACTTCCGATCAGCAGCAGGTAAGTTGTCCAATGTTTATAGTAACCCTTCCAGTTCACAATTGTCCAGCGTGTAACTTCTAAAGCCTGACCCCCTTTGGCTGCTTTGATTTGTCGCTTGTTGGTGGAAGATCAAGCAGCTCTTTTGCAGCAGGTTTCAAACTCTTTGCATTTAATTCTACGAATTCGCGACACTTCTCACCAAGTTTTCCAGGAATTGAAAACTTCTGGGCGGATAATTAGGCAGAAGGTGAGTAATAGTCTAGGTGGATAGACAGGATAAGAGTCTCTTCTATCTCTGTCTCTGTCCACTTTCTATTAGCCAGACAGTAGTCCCCCTGTACCAGTCTCTTTGTACTTTCTGTGCATCTCTTCAATCGCTGCCTATCTCAAATCAATCCATGCAGTTTGACAGCCATTAATTGACCCACGTTTTAACTTTTGGCGGTAAAATTTTATGTCATTTTGAGCAGTGTCAATTACATCGACAATCACGTGATAATGTGTCACGTGACTAGGATTTTCGCGACGGCTCGTATATAAGCTTATATTTAATACCCAGGTTTTATACCCAACTGTTTTTTAATGAGAATGAGAACTTTATACCAAATTTAGTGTGAAATCTTTATGATTTCTCGGTGAATAATGCTTTAAGGATGAATTTAAAAGGCTCATTTCATCTTGCTTTCAAATTTTTTGCTCGACTATGAGATTCATTTGGTAATTAGCTTTGCTGAAATTGGTACAAAATGCAATCTGTTGATCGGGAACTTGAATTGGATATATCTTTTGCTGAAGCTATAGAATATTTCGAAACTTTAACTATTGAAGAATTAAAAGAAGAATTTGAAATTTTTTGTCCTCCATTTGGAGTTTATTTTAAAAAAGGTGGAATTGTTCGTTGTGAATCCAAAAAATTTTGTTCATTACTTTTAAATAAAAAAATTTCACCAGAATTCAAAAATGATCAAATTTTTAATATAATTTCTTGTAATCCAGCTGGTTATGAAAGATGTCTTATTCAATTTAGACCTAAATATCAACCAAACTGGTCTGAAAAAAAAAATTACTTTCATTGATGAAATGGGAAATTATTTTAATATCGTTATTATTAAAAAGAAAAATATAACATTAGATGATGTTATATCTGACTTGAAATTCAAAATTAACCACAAGATGGATAAAAGAATAACAGTTCCAAACAATCATCGTGAACAAGAACCTTTATACCTCATGTACAATGTCTCAGGAATGAATTTTTCTCAAAATTTTGAAAATCTTTCTAAAATGATTCATATTATTGAATTATATAAACCCAGAATTGAGAATCATCCATGGGAAAGTTATTCAATTATAAAAGTGGTACCTAAAGTACATCATCAAAATGATGTTGATGCTAACGGAAATCTATTAAATTCAAATCATTATTTACAACATGATGAATTGGATTATAATGCTCCCAATGAGATTTTTTTCTTTATTAGTGTGGCAGCAGATAAGACTGGTGATACACATTATAAAAAGTCCATTAAACCAATTAATTCATCAACGAGTAGGGTTTTTTTTGAGCTGAAATCCCCAAAGGAAATATTGACACAAATTTTGGAAGAAGGTTTCAATAATTGGTTTTTTTATATACAAGAGTTGTTGGTAAATAAACATTTGAATATAGAGGAGAATCTTAATAGAAGACCATTATATTTCAAAGGGTCTAATGCAATTCATCCAGATTCAAATATATCTGAATTTATTCAAGTTGGATATAGATTAGATTTATCAAATGATTATAGGTCACCAGATTCATTACCTAGTTATGATCAGATTTCATGATGAGATTTGTATGATGAGATTTCTGATTCAGTTGCCTTATAATATGATATCATCTTTGACCTTTTTGTTGAAGTTGAATTGTTGATATTATCAAAATTAAAATTAGCCGCGCGGCAAAGAATAGTATAAATACTTCAAATTATCCCAATTTCTTTCAAACTTTTAAATAATCAATTCAAAAGGAGACAAATCAAGTGTTCATCAATTCAAAGTTTTATTCATCATGCTGAGTTATCTTCCAATTGGTGGTGATATGGGAACAAAGTTTAATCGAAATCAAAATCAATCCAGCTCAAAAGTTGCAACTGTTTACAATTACTTGAAAGTAAAACTGATGAATTCACTGCATCCTTACTCGTGGTTAGGTATTGGTTTGGTATCTCTAGTGATCATGATATTATCAATTGGAGTTGATGTACATTTAGATAGTGGAGGGTATTTTTTCAGAGTGGTCATCTTTCTTTTTTTACATTATTTGTTATATGTTTTTATCCAAGATACTATAAAAGTATACTATAATTATCAAAGAAACTTAGTCAAGATTAAATTAGAAAGAAATACAGATGAAGACAAAGAAATCCAATTAAGAAATCAAGTAGCTGAAGAACAATTTCAAATTAGTCAAGAAGAAGTAGGAGCTAAAAGTGTTTTGACTTTATTTTCCGTTGGTGTGTTGCTTATTTGTATGCAAATTAATCTTTGGAGGTTTGACCACAATGATCAATAAGAAACTTATATATACTTTTTTTGCCTCCCGTTAATCAATATCAAGATAAATAAGTCCAATTCAAGTCGAAAAAATAGCTTAATTTTATATTCGTTCGACGATTGATAAACTAATGCTTAAGTAGGGGTTTTTTTCAAGTGTTAATTAAACTATATATTAATATTATATGTGCCAGAAGTTTCTGTAAAATCTTGTACCACGGTTAGATTCGAAATAATATAATCACCTTTATATTTGCAATTGAAGTGATTTTCATTGATGTTTTTAAAGAAATTGATTATGACGTGCATTATTGCAATTCTTCTATATAGAATTGTTGAAGACACTCTATGGAAATTTTATATGGTTCTAGATTCTTCACCTATTGGTTTTGTTTTTATTTTAATTGACTAGTACTTTGTTGTGTAATAGGCGGTTTTGGAGCTTTTGAGAGTTAGGAATAGCTTAGCTTGGCCCCATTACTTCGCTTTGGTCATAGTGTATGACCTTACCTCTTACCTCTTACCTCTTACCTCCAAATCTTCTAATTTGTTTATAATTTTTCAATTTTTCGCGACGGCAAGTGTATAAGCTTATATTTAATACCCATGTTTTATACCATACTGTTTATTATTGAAAATGAGAGCTTTCTACCAAATTCAGTGTGAAATTTCTATGATTACTCGGTAAAGAATGATTCTAAAATGATTTTAAAACTTCACTTCAGCTTTGGTTCTAGTCTTTGCTCGAGAATGAACTCAGTTCACTGCTAAGAAATTGGTCCAAAATGTTTAAGTGGTTAAGTTCATTTATATATGGTAATAAAGAAACTAAGGATGAAGAATTGGATATATCTTTTTATGAGGCTATAGAATATTTCCAAACTTTAACTATTGAAGAATTTAAAGAACAATTTGAAATGCATTGTGCGCCATGTAAAGGTCTTTTAAAAAATTATGGAATTGTTCGTTGTGAATCCAAAAAATTTTGTTCATTAATTATGAATAATAAACTCACACCATATTTCAAAGTGGATCAATTATTTGAAATAGTTTGTTTTAATTCATCTGGTTATGAAAGATGTCTTCTTTATTTCACACCTAAATATCAATCAAATTGGACTGAAAAAAAGATCAAATTTATGGATATAATAAGCATTCATTTTAGTATAATTATTATCAAAAGGAAAAATATAACTTTAGATGAGGTTATAGTTGACTTGAATTTCAAATTTAATAATGCAATGGATCAAAGAAGTTTAATTCCTAATGATCATCGTGAACAAGAACCTTTATATATCATGTACAATCCTACTTCAGCTATAAATTTTTATCAAAATAATGATAATCTTTCTAAAATGATCCATATGATTAACTTATATAAATCTAAAGTTGAAAATCATATTTGGGAAAGTTATACATTAATAAAAGTTGTACCTAAACTTCATCAAAATGATGTCGATGTTGATGTTGCTGGTGGAAATGAATTTAGTTCAAATGATTATCTACAACATGATGAAGTGGATTTCAATTATAAACCAATTAACGAGATTTTCTTTTTCATCAATACAACAGCTGATAAACTTCGAGATACTCATTATAAAGAAATTATCAACCCAATTAATTCAGCTGGTTCAACGCATAGGATATATTACGAACTACGAAATCCAAAAGAAGTGTTAATTCAAGTTTTGAAAGAAGATTTCCATGATTGGTTTTTTTATATACAGGAATTACTGATAAACAAACATCTCAATATTGCTGAGAATGTTTATAGAAGACCATCTTATTTTCGAAACTTTAGTTTTAGGATTCATCCAGATTCAAATATATCTGAATTTGTTCAAGTTGGATATAGATTAGATTTATCAAATGATTGTGAGCCGCTAGGTTTTTTACCTACTTATGATGAGATTTCAGATTCAGTTGTTTTATAATGACTTCATTTTTGACCTTTTTGTTGAAGTTGAATTGTTGATATTATTAAAATTATAATTAAAATTAAAATTAGCCGCGCGGCAAAGAATAATATAAATACTTCAAATGGTTCCAATTTCTTTCAAACTTTCAAATAATCAAATCAAATCAAATCAAACCAAGTGATTCATCAACTCAAAGTTATATTCATCATGCTGAGTGGTCTTCCAATTGGTGCTGGTATGGGAACAAAGTCTAGTCAAAATCAAACCCAAATTTGTTCCAAAATTACAACTTGGTTTCATTACTTGAAATTAGAACTGATGAAATTACTGCATCCTTACTCGTGGTTGTGTATTGGTATAATATCTCTGATTCTCCTTATATTCACATTAGTGTTTGATTTACATGGTGAAGAACATTTTTTCGAAATCGCCGGTTTTTGTTTGTTACATTATTTGTTTTATATTGTCATCCAGGATACTACAAGAATATACTATAATCAAAAAAGAGAGTTAATGATGGAAAAATTAGAAAGAAATACAGATGAAAATCAACAAGATCAATTAAGAGATCAAGTAGCTGAAGAACAACTTCAAGCTAGACGTGAAGAAATATCAACTCAAGCTCTTATGGGTTTAGTTTCCGCTGGTCTATTTCTCATTTGTTATAAAATAAATGATTGGATGTATGGGAAATAAATAAACATATATCCTAAAATTCAAATTAACACTGTTTTTTTTTTACCGTTAATAGTATTCACTAATATGGGGTTTTTTGAAGTGTTGAGTATATATAGTTTATTAATATATATATCTAATTTGGAGTTTCTTTAAGTTTCTTTACCTATAGTACTGTATATACAAATAATCGAAATTTCAATTTAATTATAATTGGCTTTAAAATCAATCAATCTATCTATCATGAACTTTAATAATTAAAGAACCTGATGATCTTTACTAATACCAGATCATAGTATTCAATTGAGGTTTCATAACTTGATCTTTGGCCTTTTGATTCTTTTATTTAGCCGTCGTTTAATTAACCGCTATACTAATTCCGTTCATTTTTCCTTTGTTTAACCATAGTTCATTCCAACTAAACTTCCAATGATTTATCGAAACTAAACAAAACTCAAGATGACTATGCTCATTTAAAGGTCGCTTTAAATACCAAATAAAGGTCTTCAACCACGAAACCACAATCTTTTAATCGGCAATTTCTCATTGAATTTTATGGAGATGTGATTTTCAGGTTCAGTAGTGTCGTATTGTGGTGGCTCAAAATTAAGATTAAGATCAAGATTCAGTATCTATATAAAAACCAGAGGAATCATCATTCACACGATGTTTTGGATTATGAATCATCACCTATACAATACACTTGCTATATCCCATCATGACAAAAGACGATTTAATTGAATTTGGTCGTCCATTAAGAGAAAAATATTTCTCCCAAGTTGATTCTGATGTTTATCTTGTTAACAACGGTGCTAATGGTCTTGCTCCTAAAAATATCTTAGATTCATTCCAATCACATATCCTAAGAGATTATTCCTGGCCTGATCGTTATAGAAAATACGATTATCGTGAAGATTATGATGGTGCTGCTGAAGAAGTTGCTAAAATTTTAGGTACAACAATTGAAAATATTGCCCTTGGTGCAAATGTTACAACTTTGATTAATGCTGTGTTAAGATCTTATCCTTTTGTCAAAGGTGATAAAATCTTGGTCCAATCTAATAGTTACCCAGCAATTTTAAAGACTGTTAAATTTGTTATTAAACAACATGAATTAGAATTAGTTGAATTACCATTGAATTACCCATTAAGTGATGATGAAGTTGTGGAAAAATATGAAGAAGTTTTCAAAAATAATAACATCAAATTAGCTCTTATTGATACAATTAGTTCAAAACCTGGTGTTAAATTACCATATGAACGTTTGATTAAATTAGCTTCAAAATATAATGTATTATCATTAGTTGATGCTGCACATGGTATTGGTTTATTAGATTTAAATTTAGATGAATTACAACCTGATTTCTTAGCTTCAGATTTATATAAATGGTATTATACACCAAGAGGTTCTGCTTTACTTTATGTTAATCCAAAACATCATAAATCAATTCATACATTACCAATTTCACATTTTTATGTTGATGGTGAAGAAGAATTACCAAAAGATAAAGAAAAAACAAGATTTAGTGATCAATTCAATTATACTGGAGCACAATTAATTGGTGCTTTAGTGACTGTTAAAGATGCTTCAAAATTTATTGAAGAAATTGGTGGATTACAACGTATCAAGGATTATAATTTCAAACTAGCTAAACAAGTTGGTGAAGAAGTTTCAAAATTATGGAAAACTCAAGTCTTGGAAAACAAAGAAGGTTCATTAGTTTCATCATTAGTTTCAGTAGAATATCCAATTAAAGAAGGAACAATTATAAATGAATCAGATTGGGAAACTTTCAACATTTATAAATTAATTAGAGAAGGTATTGAAAAAAAATTGATTAAAGAATTCAATACTACAGCTCCAATTTTTTATCATAATGGTAAAATTTGGATTAGATTCTCTGCTCAAATTTATTCTGGGTTAGATGATTATATTGAAAGTGCAAAATTAATTGAAAAAGGTGTTGATGAATATTTATCAAGTAATACTTATAAAAAAATCATTGGTGCAGCAACAGATTGAAATCATGTAAAGATACATGACAAAATATGAAGACTGGTTCTTCCTTCCTTAAATATACTTCTAATATATATTTTATATTCTTTTATAAGCTGCTATTCATTGTATTAATTGTTAGTTATCGTTTTGATGCAAAAAGCAAAAAAATCTTCCCCGCCAAGAGTCGAACCTGGAATCTTCTGGTTTCAGAAGTAACTACTTAATTGATTAAATCGTAGCCAGACGCCGTGACCATTGGGCCACGAGGAACAGATTTTCGTTGAAAAATTTTGGTGTTTTTTATTTTTTGTTTGAATTTTTAGAGACACGTCGAAAATTTATTACATTT